AATAGAATAGAATACAAAATAGAATAGAATATGTATGGAAAATAGAATAGAATAGAATAGAATAGAATAGAATACAAAATAGAATAGAATATGTATGGAAAATAGAATAGAATAGAATAGAATAGAATACAAAATAGAATAGAATATGTATGGATAGAATAGAATAGAATAGAATAGAATAGAATACAAAATAGAATAGAATATGTATGGAAAATAGAATAGAATAGAATAGAATAGAATAGAATACAAAATAGAATAGAATATGTATGGAAAATAGAATAGAATAGAATAGAATAGAATAGAATAGAATAGAATAGAATAGAATACAAAATAGAATAGAATATGTATGAATAGAATAGAATAGAATAGAATAGAATAGAATAGAATACAAAATAGAATAGAATATGTATGGAAAATAGAATAGAATAGAATAGAATAGAATAGAATACAAAATAGAATAGAATAGAATAGAATAGAATAGAATAGAATAGAATAGAATAGAATAGAATAGAATATGTATGGAAAATAGAATAGAATAGAATAGAATAGAATAGAATAGAATAGAATAGAATAGAATAGAATAGAATAGAATAGGAAATAGAATAAATAGAATAGAATAGGAAATAGAATAGAATAGAATAGAATAGAATACAATAGAATAGAATACAAAATAGAATAGAATACTGTATGGAAAATAGAATAGAATAGAAAATAAAATAGAATATAGAATAGAATAAAATATAGAATAGAACAGAATACAATAGAATAGAATACAAAATAGAATAGAATACTGTATGGAGAATAGAATAGAATAGAATAGAATAGAATAGAATAGAATTGGAAGGGACCTTGGAGGTCTTCTAGTCCAGCCCTCTGCTTACCCTATATCAGTGGTTCTCAACCTGTGGGTAGGGACCCCATTTGGGGTCAAACGAGCATTTCACGGGGGTCGCCAAACCACGCTGTCCGCCATTTTTTTTCCTTTTCCCTAGCTGTCCTACTCCCTCTTATTGGTGGCCACACCCACTTGGGGGTCACCACAACATGGGGAACTGTATTATGGGGTCACGGCATTAGAAAGGTTGAGAACCACTTCCCTATATCATTTCAGTCACCCTGACCTAGAGATGGAGGGCAGGTGGGAGGGGTTAATAGGGATGCATGTAAGTCTAGGCTGCATCTGAGAAACCCCCGTCGGTATGAAGAACTCTGGTCTTGAAAAAAAACCAGGACTTCCGGATCCTAAATTTCCCAGAATCCCCAAACGTCTGGTATTTTTAGAATGAACCTTTCTTTGAGACTGATCCAAAGCCCTTGCTGAATGTGTCAATCACCTCCGTTAAGCCAAACCCCACACGTGGATTTTTCAGAGGAAGAACAGCTGGGGGGACAGGGTGGGCATCCCTTTGGCTCATGAATTACAGGCAGTCCTCGCCTTATGGCCACGGTTCATCCCAAATTTTCCATCGCTAAGCGAGACAGTTCTCAAGCGAATTTTGCCTCAGTTTGCCATCTTTCTTGCCAGCGTTATTAGGGGAACCACTGCGGACGTTAAGTGAGTCACAGGGTCGGCTTCCCCATTGACTTTGCTTGTCGGAAGGTTGCAAAAGAGGATCCCCTGACCCCAGGGGGACGCTGCGACCGTCATAAATATGTGCAAAGTGTCCGGATTTTTCTCACGGGACCCTGGGCGATGCTGCAGTGGTTGCTCCTAAAGTGGTCCTAAGCCACTTTTTTCGGTGCCGTTGTAACTCTGAATGGTCACTAAACCAATGTTGTAAGTTGAGGACTAGCTGTGCCCTTGTGGGGCACGTGGTCTGGCCAGGTTTCTGGAAGGGAGGACCAGCAGCCGACCAGAAGGTCCCGGTCCCCACACCCAGCTGCTGGATTTCTTCTGGCTACTTTGTAGGTGAGTCTATTCTCCGATGTGGTGGCTGCCATGTAGCGGCTTCTCTAAGCAGGATTGAGGGTCATCTCCATGATGCTCGTCCAGAAGATGGTGGCCTATTCTATGTCCCACTGTTTCTGGAAGCCCAGCTGATGCTTCGTCCCTTTCCAGAATGGGCAGAAAGAGGTCCACCGTCTCTACCCAACCCCAGCCTAACCCCGTCCTCTCCTTCCCTCCCAGTGCCGATCACCAGTTCACCAGCTCCATGGAGACCAATGTGGTGATCCGCTGCGACGGGCGGATCAGGTGGGACTCCCCGGCCATCACCAAGAGCTCCTGCAAGGTGGACGTCTCCTATTTCCCCTTTGACGGGCAGCAGTGTCCCCTGACCTTCGGCTCCTGGACCTACAACGGCAACCAGATCGACCTTCTCAGCATGCAAGAGACGGGGGACCTGACCGACTTCGTGGAGAACGTGGAGTGGGAAGTGCTGGGGATGCCTGCCCAGAGGAACGTCATCACTTACGGCTGCTGCTCGGAACCCTATCCAGATGTCACCTACAAGCTGGTGCTGAGGAGGCGGGCTTCCTTCTACGTCTTCAACCTTCTGGTGCCCTGCGTCATGATCTCCTTCCTGGCCCCTCTGGGCTTCTACCTTCCGGCAGACTCGGGCGAGAAGGTGTCCCTGGGGGTGACCGTTCTTCTGGCCCTGACCGTCTTCCAGCTGCTGGTGGCTGAAAGCATGCCGCCCTCCGAGAACGTGCCGCTGATTGGTGAGTGGCGAGCCAAGATTCCAGTTCTAGATCCCACCACCATCCTGTCCCCACTCAGAAAAACATGCTGACCTGGATGCCTGTGGCGATCCACTTCATAGTTGTCCCAAAGGTGTTTTTCCAAAAGGGTCTCATTATGTCCAGTCTAACGAAGAGAAGGACCAGGGAGTGACGTGATAGCGGTGTTCCAGTATCTCAGGGGTTGCCCCAAAGAAGAGGGGGGTCAAGCTATTCTCCAAAGCACCTGAAGACAGGAGAAGAAGGAATGGATGGACACCCATCAAGGAGAAAAGCAACCTGGAATGAAGGAGGAATTTCCTGACAGTGAAAACAATTAGTCAGTGGAACTACTTGCCTCCAGAAGTTGTGGCTGCTCCAACACTGGAGGTTTTTTAGAAGAGTCTTGAATAAAAAGTGAAACATTTCCAAGGAAAAAAAACAAGAAAGTCCAGTTGCCTTAGCAGAATAACAGAGAATGAGAAGTGATCTTGGAGATCTTCTAGTCCAGCCCTCTGCTCAGGCAGAAGACCCTACACCCGGGGTAGGCAACCTTGGCTCTTTTATGACTCGTGGACTTCAACTCCCAGAATTCCTCAGCCAGCATGGGGGAACTTTGGCCCCTTCATGACTCATGGACTTCAACTCCCAGAATTCCTCAGCCAGCATGGGGGAACTTTGGCCCCTTCATGACTCATGGACTTCAACTCCCAGAATTCCTGAGCCAGCAGGGGGGAACTATGGCCCCCTCATAACTCGTGGACTTCAACTCCCAGAATTCCTGAGCTGGCATGGCTAAGCATGGAAACCTCTCTCTTTTCCCTCAGCATGGCTGGTTGAGGAATTCTGGGAGTTGAAGTCCACGAGTCATAAAAGAGCCCAGGTTGCCTACCCCGGGTGTAGGGTCTTCTGCCTGAGCAGAGGTTGGACTAGAAGACCTCCAAGGTCCCTTCCCATTCTCTGTTATTCTGCTAAGGCAACTGGACTTTCTTGTTTTTTTTCCTTGGAAATGTTTCACTTTTTATTCAAGACTCTTCTAACAGGAAGAACTGAGGAAGCTTCTTGAATCCAAATCAAAACGTTTTCACGGGGAAACCAAGAAATGCAGTTGCGTTATTGGCACAACCATGACCTGGAAATGGCGTGTCCCCTGCCAGGGATTGCTCAGAAGCCCCGGATGACCCAATATGAAGGCTGCCTCTTCTGCCCTTGAGGCCAATTGCCTTGATAGGCTGAGAGTTTGTGTGAGCCCGTGATTAGCCCAGGGTGGCAGTAGCCATGGGGGGTGGCATCTGGGGGGCAGCAATGGTGACACACTGAGGGGGCTGCCTTAACCTTTCTTGGTGCCACAGGTTCTTTCACAGATACCCAGGTCAGTGGGCTCCCAAACTCCCAGAAAGCCAACACAACTCCACTTGAATACAGAATAACAGAGCTGGAAGGCACTTTGGAGGTCATCTAGTCCAACCTCCTGCTCAAGCAGAAGACCCTATACCAGAGGTCTTCAACCTCGACAACTTTAAGACTTGTGGACGTCAGCTCCCAGAAGTCCCTGAGTCATGAAGGGGCCATAGTTCCCCCATACTGGCTCAGGAATTCTGGGAGTTGAAGTCCACAAGCCATAAAAGAGCCCAGGTTGCCGACCCCGGGTCTAGGCTCTCTGAGGAACCATCTTGTCCCAATGGGTTGGCCTGCCCCACTGTTACGGAGCCCGTCAGCCAAAGATCTTCAACTGGCAGGGTACAAGAGAAGGGTCTTTTCTACCATGACCCCCGCCCCTCTGGAACATCATACCCCTTGAGGTGAGAGCTGCCCCCACCCTCTTGGCCTGCCAGAGAGGCCCCAAAACCCAGCTCTGCCAATTGGTCCGGGGTCTCGATGGGAGCCTTCCACGTTGGACATGACTAATAGATTACAAGATCCCACCTCCAGCCTGATATTCTGCTTCCTTCACTTATTTAATCTCTGCTTTTCTGATAGTGGGAACGATCAACCAATGGAACAGTTGCCTCCAGAGGTTGTGGGAGCTTCATCAGTGGAAGCTTTCAAGGAGAGGCTAGACTGCCATCTGTCAGAAATGGGGTAGGCTCTCCTGCTTGGGCAGGGGGTTGGACTAGATGACCTACAACAGGGATCTTCAAACTTGGCCCTTTGATGACTTGTGGACTTCAACTCCCAGAATTCCTCAGCCAGCGTGCCTAGCTGAGGAATTCTGGGAGTTTAAATCCAGGGGTCTTCAAACTTGGCCCTTTGATGACTTGTGGACTTCAACTCCCAGAATTCTTCAGCCAGCGTGCCTAGCTGAGGAATTCTGGGAGTTGAAGTCCAGGGGGGTCTTCAAACTTGGCCCTTTGATGACTTGTGGACTTCAACTCCCAGAATTCCTCAGCCAGCGTGCCTAGCTGAGGAATTCTGGGAGTTGAAGTCCACAAGTCATCAAAGGGCCAAGTTGGAAGACCCCTGACCTACGTCTCTTCCAACTCTGTTATTCTGATTTTCTCCATTTTAATATTTAACGTTATACAGTGTGTATCTCTGTTCTTATGATGATTGTAAGTCCCCTGTTAGTGAGGTGGGTGGCATATAAATATAATAAGAAAATAAATAAATTTGGAAGGTGGCAGAATAGAGAATTTGGCTTAAGTGGGAATGAGAATCTCTTCTATCAGAATAGAATTGGGAGGGACCTTGGAGGTCTTCTAGTCCAACCCCCTGCTTAGGCAGGAAACAATAGACCAGTCCAGACAACCCGCTGTCCAGTCTCTTCTTGAAGACCTCCAGTGTTGGAGCACCCACAACGTCTGAAGGCAAAGCTGTTCCGCTGGTTAATTGTCCTCACTGTTAGGAAGTTTCTCCTTAATTCCAGTTTGCTTCTCTCCTTGATTGGCTTCCCTCCGTTGCTTTTTCTTCCTGCCTTCTGGTGCTTTGCAGAATTGACGTTCTCCTCCTCTGTTCCCTCCAGGGAAGTACTACATTGCAACCATGACGATGATCACCGCCTCCACTGCCTTGACCATCTTCATCATGAACCTCCACCACTGTGGCCCTGGGGCCAGGCCTGTCCCCAGGTGGGCCCGCAAGTTCATCCTGCAGTACATGGCCCGCATCTTCTTTGTCTACGAAGTCGGGGACAGTTGCAAGAGTCCCCCGCAGGAGCCGGACCCACTCCCCCAAGTCCAAAGGGCCAATGGCGAGGAATCCACGGGGAGAGGACTCCCTCCCCGGGAGGCCCCACAGTTCCAAGGGCCCGGCCCCATCCCCAAGGAGGTGGAGCCCGAGGAACAGCCCCCTTGCCCCAGAAAGACCTGCTGGTGCCATCAGGAGAGCATCCTTCAGAACGTGGACTACATCGCCAGCTGCTTCCGAGACCAGAAGGCAACTTCCAAACGGATGGGCGAGTGGAAGAAGGTGGCCAAGGTTATGGACCGCTTCTTCATGTGGACCTTCTTTGCTATGGTGGTCATCATGAGTGTCCTCGTTATGGGCCAAGCTGTGTGATGCACAACGCCTGGGAAAGGAAGAGGACACTCCCAATAAGAGGGTTGTGAAGAACCAGGAGCACTCAGCGAGTTCACAACACAGAAGAGTTTATTATTGCGAACTATACCCAAGAATCTGGTCAACTACTGGTCAAAGCTAAATTGGCACTAGATGAGGCTCAACAGAATTCACAGGGAGCCGGACTTGGGTCTCCCGTGGCTGTGCAAAGATTCCAAACTGATGACATGTTTGACCCCACCTTCCAGCTCAGCCTGTTCATCTCCTACAACGGCCTCGCAGCAGCTTTCCCAGTCAATTGTGCAACCCCTATTGGCTGTTGTTTGGCATTTTAGGAGTGCCTGCAAAGCAGCTCTGGTGAATTGAAGGGGGCCCTGATATCCCCCAGCACTGCAAGTGCTATTGGGCTGTGCTGTGGGTCACAGGGCATAGACACAGGGAGTTGTAAAGCATCACACCTAAACTCCTCCTGCATGGGGCCGGTTCCAACCAGCTGGAGATTCAATCTTTGGTAACAAACAAAGAATTCCTGCCCAGCCCTGGTTCCTTTGGAGCAGTGATTCTCAATCTTTTTAATGCTGTGACCTCCAACTGGTCGTAAGTCGAGGACTACTCAACCGGTCGTAAGTCGAGGACTACTCAACTGGTGCAGCACCGTTTGCAGCACCGTTTGGCGGGCTCAGCAGGGCAGAGACAGCCTGGACAATTCCTATTGGCTTTTGAAAGCCAATAGAATTGGACTCTATTCAAGAGAGGCTATTCTATTGGCTTTCAAAAGCCAATAGAATAAAAGGGAGTAGCACAGCTAAGGAAAAGGGGGGGAAAAATGGCGGACTGCGTTGTTTGGCGACCCCCGTGAAATGGTCATTCGACCCCAAATGGGGTCCCGACCCACAGGTTGAGAACCACTGCTTTGGAGGCTGGCTGAGGAGAGACAGGAAGAAATGGGTGACATGACTGACATGGATAAATATGGAAGGGAATCTTTGTAGCTCAGAGTTGAACGGTGGGGTCCCTGTTGCCCTCTGAGCGTGGCGGTTTTCTTGCAGACGTTTCCTGACCCGACTAGGGAACATCATCAGTGCTAGCAAAGCGCATCCATGGACACCAATCGGCAGCCAGAAGGCATGAAATATCCTTAATTATGTAAGACACGGACAGATTCAACTATAGTTTCAAATGGGAAACTGTGAGCATCCTAGATCAAACTGAAAAATGCCAGACAATTCCCCGAGGACTGGCACTCAGACACATCAGCCATTAACAGGCACAGAGAGATGCACAACGTCTACACGCCATTGAAAAGAGACAATCAAAAAGCAAAAAAGAAAGCAAAACAAAAGAAAACACCTCCTTGCCAGCAATCAACATCCAGACAAGCACAGATTAAAACTAAGATTAACCCTAGACCAGCAATCAAGAAGTAAAAAATACCCCAATCAAGAAACTTTCAACAAATAGTAAACAGCCTAATCAGGGAAGCAACAAGAAACTCCCACCAACACTGGCAGGAAAAGCAAAGAACAAGTCTCTCTTCTTGTTAGCTCTGATGATGTTCCCTAGTTGGATTATGAAACATCTGGAAGCTCAGAGAGCACCAAGGCCCCCATCCTCCTCCTCCTCTTCCTCCTCCTCCTCCTCCTCCCTTCTAGCACTGATGATGTTCCCTAGTTGGGTCATGAAACGTCTGCAAGAAAACTGCCAAGCTCAGAGAGCACCAAGGACCCCACAGTCCTTCCTCCTCCTCCTCCTCCTTCTCTTCCTCCTCCTCCTCCTCTTCCACCCCTCTTCTTCCTCCTCCCCCCTCCCCCCTCCCTTCTACCACTGATGATGTTCCCTAGCTGGGTCATGAAAGATCTGCAAGAAAACCACCAAGCTCAGAGAGCACCACGGGCCTCACAGTCCTTCCTCCTCCTCCTCCTCCTCCTTCTCCATCTCCTCCTCCTCCCCCTCTTCTTCCTTCTCCTCCCTCCCTTCTAGCATTGATGATGTTCCCTAGCTGGGTCATGAAATGTCTGCAAGAAAACCACCCAGCTCAGAGAGCACCAGGGACCCCCCAGGAGATTTCTGTGGTTGGGTTCAGGCAACACACCTGGACCAGGTCTGTTAACCTTGGCTTGCCTTTGCTGGGTGTCATTCCATTCTAGGCTGATTGGTTAGTTTGGGGTTCATTGAGTTCCCAAATCTAGGAAATGGGTTAATTCTGTATCCAAATCAAATATACAATTATTGCACAATCGTGATCAGAGAGGCTAATTTAGCAGAGCCATCCAAGAACATCCAGGGTTCCTTTGCATCAGTGTCTTGCCAAAATATCACAATATCAGTTAATATCAGTTCTCATTTAGAAATCATGAACTCTGAGTGATGAACACCACCGTACTAAATTCCTTCAAGGGAATTAAGGCCTGGCCACTGAGCTAGACAGCCATTTTCGTGATGGTCATCTGAAGTTTCTCCTGGGAACGGCAGTGAAGCTTCCATTTTTATCTCTTCTGAAGGCATTTCCTAATTTGTCCATTTCCTAATTTGCACAAGCAGCACAACGGATGCTTTAAAGCAGGCATGTCCAACCTTGGCAACGTTTAAGACTTGCGGACTTCCACTCCCAGAATTCCCTGAGGAATTGTGGGAGTGGAAGTCCACAAGTCTTAACGTTGTCAAGATTGAGAAACACCAGACAAGGGGATCCTTCTGGTCTCTTCCCACTCTATCATTCACAATTGGCTGAGGAATTGTGGGAGTGGAAGTCCACAAGTCTTAACATTGTCAAGGTTGAGAAACACCAGAGAAGGGGATCCTTCTGGTCTCTTCCCACTCTATCATTCACGACTGGCTGGGGGAATTCTGGGAGTGGAAGTCCACAAGTCTTGAAGTTACCACGGTCAGGCACCCCTGATTGAAACGGTGAGTAAAACCAAGCAAGGAATCGCTCATGGAGACCACGCCAACCGGCCTCGTCTTCTGTTGCTGCTTCTGGAGAGGCGACCCAAGGAAAGGGTGGGGCTAAATCACAAGAGCCCCGGAGGTCCAAGGAGCCCCACGGCAAGGAGAGGACCCCAGAGGAGGAGCAGGGCTCGGCCTTCAGCGGAGAAGGGGCTCCAACTCCCACCTGCCCAGAGAAAGGGAGACGGTTGGCTCCTGTCCAGACGACGCCATCCACCCATCCCTGCCCAAGAAGAGAGGATGAAGACCCCCCCCCTGCAGGACCCCCATCCCAAGCAACCTCAGCCTCCAATTCCACCGTCATCCAAGGACAGCCTCCGGTGTGTATGCTTGTGTGTGTGTGTATGTGTGTGTGTGTGTGTGAAATCTGCTCTGTTTTACCCCCAGCTCTAAGGAGTAGGATGATGGGAAAGGCATGAAGATGACGAGACCCTTCCTCACCCTTACGGTCAGCAATTAGGCCGTTCTCCCCCAGACCTTTCTACTGGGTCCGTCTGCCTGCCCAGGCTTCCAGCAAGGGGTAACAGTCAGAAGGAGGTGTGCCTTATCCTTTTGTGCCAGTTTACCGTACTAGTCAGTTTCAGGCACTTTCTCTCCTCTGTTCCCCTTTGAATAGAAAATCCATTTCAGTTCTCAGGATTTGGCTGGCCTCACCATCCTGACTGTCTGCCTTCCTCCTCTCTAAGGCTCCCTCTGGCTTCCCAGATGTTTCTTTGTCCACCTGGTTTAGAGGGAAATGTGGGAGCCAGACCACCCGTCAACTGCCCAGGCAGAGTCCTGAAGTTCATCCACCACTTTCCCACTGCAGTGCCTGATGATAGAGATGCTCCCTAGGGCTGATGACCAACTGGACAGGGGAATCGCCAGTTATCGGCTCACTCCAAAATCAGCGCAACGCCCTGGGACAGAGACTGGGAAAGGAGTTCCAGAGCACTGGCTGAGGTCTGGAACAGAGAGGTCTCACCTGTGCTGAAGGGGCATCTCTGCGTCTTGCATGTTTTCTCTGCAAAGGCAAAAGAAATTTGAGTGGGAAAACAGATTGTTGGCCTTACGGGGAACATTTGCATATCACCAGAGGATTCTGGGAGATCACAGTGAGCAACAGAGAAGTAGGGTTTACCTACATGAATTAGGTATATTTAGCCTAATGAAGAAAAGGACTAGAGGTGACATGATAGAGGTCTTCCAGTATCTGAGGGGCTGCCCCAAAGAAGAGGGAGTCAAGCTATTCTCCAAAGCGCCTGAAGGCAGGACAAGAAGCAACAGGTGGAAACTAACCAAGGAGAGAAGCAACCTGGAACTAAGGAGAAACTTCCTGACAGTCAGAACAATTAACCAGTGGAACAACCTGCCTCTAGAAGCGGTGAATGCTCCAACACTGGAAGTTCTTAAGAAGAGACTGGACAGCCACTTGTCTGAAATGATGTAGGGTCTGCTGCTTGAGCACGGGGTTGGACTAGAAGATCTTCAAGGTCCCTTCCAATGCTGTTATTCTGTTCCACTCTTTTCTGGTTCAAGATTCTGATTCCCTGTTGTTCAGTCGCTAAAACGTGTCTAACTCTTTGTAGCCCCCCATGGACCACAACACGCTAGGCCCTCCCCCCCCCGTCTCCATTGTCTCCCGGAGTTTGACCAAATTCCTATTCATTGTGTCGATGACACCATCTAACCATCTACCACCTTCATTGCATTGAGGACACCATCTCACCATCTACCTAGCCGTCTGTCTGGTTCTTTAACCGTTACCTTTCACGAACAGACAGTTGTAGATGCTGGCATCTTCAAGCGAGAGAAGATGGATGAAGTTGGTCTCGTGACCCTTGGTGAAATTGACCACTCTGAACTTCTCAAAGGGAGGGATGAGGACCTCTTCCTCGCTCGGGAAGAAGGAGTAATTCTGGATGTTGACCCCGTAGCAGGTCTCAATGGTGACGAAGGAGTCTGTGCCGAACTTCAGGGCGCTCTCGTTGCTCCGGGAGGAGGAGGTGAATTGTCCGAATCGGACCGCCTTGGAGCGCTCGGAAGAGAAGCGGACGTTCCTGACCCCGCGATACACCTTGTGACATCGAGGCTGAGCGGTGACGCCCAGGAGGTGGAGGGCTCGCGTCAGGAGAAAATGGAAAGTCTTGAACGGGAAGCGGTTGAGATAGTCATCCCTGGTGCGCCCGGCTTCCCTCACAGCCGCGTTGAAGTCCTTGTGGAAACGGCCTTGGACGGTGTAGGCCATGAGGGCGATGGCGTGCTCCGGTTTCAGGGTGGAGGACCCCAGGAAAGAGGCCTTTCTCTCCCTCCACATGGAGGCCGCCTCTGCCCAGGCTTCAGCGTAGACCCTGTTGGCGACAAACTCCGTGCGGTTCAGCTCTGCCAGTTCTGCTTCCATCAGCTCCACGCAGCCCTTGTACTGGTCATCGAAAGAGGTCAGGGCCATGTTGAGCAGCACCTCCTTGACGGGGAAGAGGTCTCTTCTGATCTTGAGGGGGAAAGCAAAGACCTGGAGCAGGAGAAGAACGCGAATGGGCAGAAGGAAGTGGGTGGCCCAGATAGGGATGGTTTATAAGGTTATTTTGACATTTTCACTGTACTGAATGTCTGAGGAGAGGAGAAGAGAAGAGAAGAGAAGAGAAGAGAAGAGAAGAGAAGAGAAGAGAAGAGAAGAGAAGAGGGGGAAAGGAGGAGAGAGGAGAGGAGAGGAGAGGAGGGAAGGGGAGGAGAAAGGAGGAGAGAGGAGAGGAGAAGAGAAGAGAGAGAAGAGAAGAGAAGAGAAAGGAGGAAGAGGAGAGGAGAGGAGAGGAGGGAAGGGGAGGAGAAAGGAGGAGAGAGGAGAGGAGAAGAGAAGAGAAGAGAAGAGAAGAGGGAAAGGGGAGGAGGAGAGGCGAGAGAGAAGAGAGGAGAAAGGAGAAGAGGAGAGGAGGAGGAGAGAGGAGAGAGAGAAGAGGAGAAGAGAGGAGAGGAGAGAAGAAGAGAAGAGAGAGAAGAGGGAGAAAAGGAGGAGAGGGAGAGGAGAGAGGAGAGGAGAGAGAGAAGAGGAGGGAAAGGAGGAGAGAGGAGAGGAGAGGAGAGGAGGGAAGGGGAGGAGAAAGGAGGAGAGAGGAGAGGAGAAGAGAAGAGAAGAGAAGAGAAGAGGGGGAAAGGAGGAGAGGAGAGGAGAGGAGAGGAGAGAGGAGAGGAGAGAGAGGAGAGGAGGGAAGGGGAGGAGAAAGGAGGAGAGAGGAGAGGAGGAAAGGAGAAGAGAGGAGAGGAGAAGAGAAGAGAAGAGAAGAGAAGAGGGGGAAAGGAGGAGAGAGGAGAGGAGAGGAGGGAAGGGGAGGAGAAAGGAGGAGAGAGGAGAGGAGGAAAGGAGAAGAGAGGAGAGGAGAAGAGAAGAGAAGAGAAGAGAAGAGGGGAAAAGGAGGAGAGGGAGAGGAGAGAGGAGAGGAGAGAGAGGAGAGGAGGGAAGGAGAGGAGAGGAGAGGAGAGGAGGGAAGGGGAGGGGAGGAGAAAGGAGGAAAGAGGAGAGGAGGAAAGGAGAAGAGAGGAGAGGAGAGGAGAAGAGAAGAGAAGAGAAGAGGGGGAAAGGAGGAGAGGAGAGGAGAGGAGAGAGGAGAGGAGAGAGAGGAGAGGAGGGAAGGGGAGGAGAGAGGAGGAGAGAGGAGAGGAGGAAAGGAGAAGAGAGGAGAGGAGAAGAGAAGAGAAGAGAAGAGAAGAGAAGAGGGGGAAAGGAGGAGAGGAGAGGAGAGGAGAGAGGAGAGGAGAGAGAGGAGAGGAGGGAAGGGGAGGAGAAAGGAGGAGAGAGGAGAGGAGGAAAGGAGAAGAGAGGAGAAGAGAGGAGAGGAGAAGAGAAGAGAAGAGAAGAGAAGAGGGGGAAAGGAGGAGAGGGGAGAGGAGAGGAGAAGAGAGGAGAGGAGAGGAGGGAAGGGGAGGAGAGAGGAGGAGAGGAAGAGACGGGAGAGGAGGGGAGAGGGGAGGGGAGGGGAGAGGGGAGGGGGAGGAGGGGAGGGGTAAACCACACTTCTCCCTCCTAGCACCTTCTAGCTCTGGCTGGTTATAATTCCAACAGAGCCTGAGGATTCTGGCAGATGTGGTCCCTCACATCTGGAGGGCCACATGTTGGGGAAGGCTGACCTCCAGATACTAGCCAGCCTGCCTGGAAACCTGCCCTTTGTGGTTCTTAATAGGGCTGTGCCTCCTCAGATGGAGCCAGTGACAATATGGGCTCTTCCTGGAGTTATAGAGTACTTTATTTGGAATAGAATAGAACAGTTTATTTGACCAAATGTGATTAGACACACAAGGAATTCGTCTCCGGTGCAGAAGCTGGAAGAACAAGTAGCAGGAAGGCTCTGGCACAGACACACACACCCCGTCTGTTTCCTAAACCAACAGACCGTTTTCCATCCAGAGTGTCTTACAGGAGGACCTGCCTTCAGTTTATCCACAACACGACAACCCTGTCAGGTAGGCAGAGGAAATGACTGGTGCAGAGTCACCCAAGATGACTGTCCATCCCTGAGAGGAGAGGTGAATCCCGGTCTCCCAATCTTAGCTGCAAACTTTCACACCTTTACAACACCACAGTGGGTGATTTAAAAAGTCTACACTGAACTTCAGTGTTTTGTTTGTTGGCTTTGCTTACTTCCCCCCCCCAATGGATTTTTTCTTGAGGGCCTCAAAACGCAGGTATGCTTTCAGCGGGCCTGATAAAAGTGCTGCTTCCTTGTGGGTTTTGGAACAGTCTATTTGAACTCTGGTGCTGGAGAAGACTCCTACGAGTCTCCTGGACTGCAAGGCGATCAAACCGGTCGGTCCTAAAGGAGGTCAACCCCAACTGCTCTTGAGAAGGCCAGATCCTGAAGTTGAAACTCAAGGACTTTGGCCACCTAATGAGAAGGAAGGACTCCCTGGAGAAGAGCCTGATGCTGGGAAAGATGGAGGGCAATAGAAGAAGGGGACGACGGAGAAGGAGGTGGCTGGATGGAGTCCCTGAAGCAGTGAGAGTGAGCTTCAATGGACTCCAGAAGATGGCCGAGGACAAGAAGGCCTGGAGGAATGTTGTCCATGGGGTCTCGAGGGGTCGGACACGACTTTGCAACTAACAACAACAATTTTTATCACTTTGGTTGTCAATGGCCATTGCAAGCTTCCCCTTCCTACCTGAACATCCCCCACCAGCAGCCACATCCAACACAGCGCCAGGGATGTTGGGAAGGAGAGACGCGTCATTCTCCACTCCTTTCAAAGCAAAACAGAGAGATTGTCGTTCCCGTCTTTCCTGCCTTCAAAATAGAACAGAACAGAAGAGAATAACAGAGACCTGAGGTCTTCTAGCCCATCCCCCTGCTCAACCAGAAGACCGGCCTAATACTATTTCAGACAAATAATGGCGGTCCAATCTCATTTTAAAAATCTCCAGTGATTGAGCACCTACAACTTCCAGAAGGAAGCTGTTGATTGTCCTCACTGTCAGGAAATTCCTCCTTATTTCTAGGCTGAATCTCTCTCTGGTGAGTTTCTTCCCGTTACTTCTTATCATCCTACCTTCAGGGGCTTTGCAGAATAGGCTGGACCCCCCCCCCTCTTCTCTGTGACAGCCCCTCAAATATTGGAAGGCCAACACAGTGCTAGGCTGCATTAACAGAGGGATATAATGAAGATCACGTGAAGTATTAATACCACTCTTCAATGCCTTGGTAAGGCCACACTTGGAATACTGCATCCAGTTTTGGTCACCACGATGTAAAAAAGATGTTGAGACTCTAGAAAGAGTGCAGAGAAGAGCAACAAAGAGGATTAGGGGACTGGAGGCTAAAACATACAAGGAATGGTTGCTAGAATTGGGTATGTCTAGTTTAACGAAGAGAAGGACAAGGGGGGACATAATAGCAGTCTTTCAGTATCTCAGGGGCTGCCCCAGAGAAGAGGGAGTCAAGCTATTTTCCAAGGCGCCTGAAGGCAGGACAAGAAGCAACGGGTGGAAACTAATCAAGGAGAGAAGCAACCTAGAACTAAGGAGAAACTTCCTGACAGTGAGAACAATTAGCCAGTGGAACAGCCTGCCTCCAGAAGCGGTAAATGCTCCAACACTGGAAGTTTTTAAGAAGAGACTGGACAGCCACTTGTCCGAAATGGTGTAGGGTTTCCTGCCTGAGCAGGAGGTTGGACTAGATGACCTCCAAGGTCCCTTCCAACTTTACTACTATTATTATTATATCGCCCCAGTTCTTCTCTTCATTAAACTAGATGCGCCCAACTCCAGCAACCATCCTTCATATGTTTTAGCAGGGATCTTCAAACTTGGCCCTTTGATGACTTGTGGACTTCAACTTCCAGAATTCCTCAGCCAGGCACGCGTGCCTGGCTGAGGAATTCTGGGAGTTGAAGTCCACAAGTCATCAAAGGGCCAAATTGGAAGACCCCTGGTTTTAGTCTTCAGTCCCCTAATCACCTTTGTTGCTCTTCCCTGCATTTCCAAAGTGGGGTCTTATCAAGGCATTACAAAGCGGTACCATCAGTTCACGTGATCTTGATTCTACCTGACGTAGAAAGCAGATTTGGGGGCTTACAGATCTCTTTCGGGATGTCCCTTCCCATCCAGCCCCAACTCTCCATCCACCCAAAGGATCCCCTGAACTGCAGGGATTCTCCTCCTGGAAGAAAAGCGGAAACTAACATTCGTCTTCCCACCAAAAAAAAAAAAAACCATGGAGGAAGGCTAGGAAAAGTCAGGAGGGGTTTTTCTACTGAAATTAGAGTTTCAATGCAGGGGAAAAAAAATCCATCTTTGGAGGATGCTGCCTAGATGTGGAGACCCAGGGGGCTCTAACTTTTTAATTTGCAATTTGTTAAATTTTCTATAAGCAGAGGCCTGGTCAACTTTCAAGATTGCCTCTGGGGGTGCCTCCAGGCGAGAAGGGTTGTGTATAAATTAAACAAAGTCCACAAGGAGGCTACAGAGCACCAAAACCTGACTTCCTGCTCCCTCGCCAACTGTGAGTAAATGCAGGTAGAACATTTTTCTGCCTCAGAAGAGGAAGAATTAAGAGTTTTCAAGGTGGTCCAAACTGGGATTAAAGAAGGGCCGATGTTTACCTTTCTTCGTACCGGCTGGGAACGATGGGGCTAGGTGGCTAAGTCCACTCTCCTTCTTCCAGCCCTTTGCCTGCTTTCTCGGTGGCTCTTCTCAGCTGTGGGAGGCCGTCAACGTGACAGGTGGACAGAGAGACGGTGCTTTTTATAGACCGTGCTGGAAACCCCTGTTGCACCCGGGTTATATATACCCAATGGCGTCGTACACAAAGCCGTCTGGAATAAAAGTGACTTCCAAAACAAGGGAAGGAAGAAGTCTCTCTTGAAGAACGATACAGCTTAGATCCCCCCCCTTGCTTCAAACTGTTGCACTTCAGATCTGGACAGACACTGGGCAGGATAGGATCTTAATCAGCTTAAGGGTACCAGTGGAAGGGCCCAGTATTACAGTTGGAGAGACTTCCCCAACATCCGGCACAAATGCCATTGGGAAAGGAGTCCCATTTCAGAAAATTTTATTGTAGGGTCCTTGGTGCTCTGCAAGGCTGGTTGTTTTCTTGCAGACATTTCATGACCCAACTGGGTAACACCATCAGTGCTAGAAGGGAGGGGGTGGTTGTGGAGGGGAGGAAGAGAAAGAGAACGGAGGAGGAGGAGAAGGAAAAAGAAGGAGGAAGAGGAGGAGAAGAAGAAGAAGAGGAGGAGGAGGAGGAGGACAAGGGGGGACATGATAGCAGTATTCCAATATCTCAGGGGCTGCCATAAAGAAGAGGCAGTCAAGCTATTCTCCAAAGCGCCTGAAGGCAGGACAAGAAGCAACGGGTGGAAACTCATCAAAGAGAGAAACAACCTGGAACTAAGGAGAAACTTCCTGACAGTGAGAACAATTAATCAGTGGAACAGCTTGCCTCCAGAAGCAGTAAATGCTCCAACACTGGAAGTTTTTAAGAAGAGACTGGACAGCCACTTGTCCAAAATGGTGTAGCGTTTCCTGCCCAAGCAGGGGGTTGGACTAGATGACCTCCAAGGTCTCTTCCAACTTTACTACTACTATTACTATTATTATTATTATTATTATTATTATTATAAGAAGAAGAAGAGGAGGAGGAGAAGGAGGAGAAGAAGAAGAAGAAGAACAACAACAACAACAACAACAGCAGCAGCAGCAGCAGCAACCGCAACAACAACCACAACAACTGAGGGGTCCTTGGTGCTCTGAGTCTGGTGATTTTCTTCTAGATGTTTCATGACCAACGAAAGAACATCACCCGGGCTGATGGACACGGGTTTTGCTTCCTGCAGCTTACCCTGACAGTGTTGATGGGTTTTGTGGTTCCTTGGCTAGAGTATTATTTTATGCTTGATTATTTGTCTGGAGTTAATCCCTGCTTATCTGGGTGTCGGCTGCTGGAGAGGACCTGTTCTGCTATTTTTCTTTCCTTCTTAGCTTTTTTATTGTCTCTTTGGAATGGCCTGTAAATGTGGTTTATCTCCGTGTGCCTCTTGACGATTGATTTGTCTGAACGCCAAGCATCCAGGAATTTGCTAGCATTGATGGGTTTGGCTCGTTCTAATCTATTAATAGTTTCCAAGTTGAACCCATCACCGTCCTTCTTCGTCAAACCACATTTCCCCCACATTTGTATGTATCCACGTGTGCAAAGATGTCGGTGGGAATCTTAATTTTTAATCCTACACTGCAATGCATAAGCAGCAAGCTTTATTGCACTGCATAAAAGAATAAAACAGGCACCGAAGCAGGTAAACATTTGGTAACTATTTTATTTATTTACTTATTTACTTAGTCAGTTATCAAATGAATTTGTCACCCACCTCGCAGTTCAAGGCCACTCTGAGCGGCTTACAGTTTATAGCAAGTTCAGTGAAATAAGCGATGCCCGACGCAGAGCAGTTATTTTATTTGTTTATTTGCTGGAGATCCTCCCAAACTGTCCTCGTTACGGGAGCAAGAAAACCTCATACCAGAATAAACGGCGAGCACGCAACGTCTTCTGCTTCTTCTAAGTGTGTTTGCAATAATAGCACAACTACAGCAGGACCTGCCTAGGGAGCCTCCCTGTGCTGCCAAAGAGGACATCCAGCCCTATTTGTGCCCCTCCCCCAAGAAAACCTCTGGGACGGGGTCTGGATTGTCCTCCAAAGGATGGCTGCTTGGCGAAGCATGTGGTGGTCAAAGAGGGGCCACGGCCGTCCTTTTTATAGACGTCGAAGCGCCCACCTGCCTGGTGGCGGGTCAGGATTCTGGCGCTTGACCTTCCCTCGCTTCCGTGTCCTCCTGAGGCTCGTACTCAGGAAGGCCTGGCTCAGCCTCCTCCTCAGCCCCCATCAGACCCCCCATTTCATCCTCGGCCTCGCCCCCTGTCTCATCCTCGGCCTCGCCCCCTGTCTCATCCTCGGCCTCGGCCCCGGTCTCATCCTCGGCCTCGGCCCCCGTTTCTGCCTCTGCCTCTGCCTCACCCTCCACCTGGCCCTGCTTCTCCTCCTGAAAGATCGGCAGCGCGCCTTCCCCGACGAGGGGCACGTCCGGGTGCACCACCACCTCCACGGGGGAGCCCTGGCCAGAGCCCCCCATATCGGGCTCATAGTTCTGGAAGCTGTTGCGCACCTTCATGATGTACTTGCGCAGCACACTGGCCCCGTCCATGGGGCTGCTGGCCACCCCGCCCACGGCCACCGACTGGCGGAGGTGCTTCATCTCTGTGTGGAGACGCAGCACGGACTTGTTCAGCTCGGTCAGGCGGTTCCCCAGATCTGTGGGCCAGAACAAGAAGCAACGGGTGGAAACTAATCAAGGAGAGAAGCAGAACTAAGGAGAAACTTCCTGACAGTGAGAACAATTAGCCAGTGGAACCACCTGCCTCCAGAAGTGGTGAAGGCTCCAACACTGGAAGTCTTTAAGAAGAGACTGGACAGCCCTTTTGTCTGAAATGGTATAGGGTTTCCTGCTTGAGCAGGGAGTTGGACTAGATGACCTCCAAGGTCCCTTCCAACTTTATTATCATTCATCGCACAGTCAGCCAGATGTTCAGACTGGATTTGGCATTTTGTCTACCTATCGAGTCCTTACCCAGGACCTGGGATAGGCAGATGTGGATGTTTGATGGTATTACAGGTATCGTCGCAGGATGGAAGCAGTTCCTAATAAGGCCGCCTTTTGCAATTGACTAATTTATTATTATTTATTATTTATTATAATTTATTATTATTATTATTATTATTATTATTATTATTATTATTATTATTATATCAGGAGGCAAGAGAGGGCGGGTGGCATGGGAGAAGGCCGAGGCTTCGTCTCCTAGCCCAGATGCAGCCCTTGGCTAATCCCCCCAGAGAGTTGTTGTCAGTTTTGCCCCGTTTTACGACCTTTCTTACCACAGCTGTTAAGTGAATCACTGCAGTTGTTAAGTGAGTCACAGGGTTGTTAAGTGAATCTGGCTTCCCCCGTTGACTTTGCTTGTCAGAAAGTCACAAAAGGGGATCATGTGACACCCCCCCGGGACACTACGACCATCATAAATAAGAGTCAGTTGCCAAGAGTCTGAATTTTGATGATGTGACTGTGGAGATACTGCAATGGTTGTTAAGTGTGAAAAACGGTCATAAAAGTCACTTTTTTCAGTGCCCTTATAATTTGAACCATCAGTAAATGAAGCCAAGGACTACCTATGACAGGGGGAGGCAATCGTGGCTCTTTTATGATTGGTGGACTTCAACTCCCAGAATTCCTGAGCCAGCATGGGGGAACTATGGCCCCTTCATGACTGGTGGACTTCAATTCCCAGAATTCCTCAGCCAGCATAGGGGAACTATGGCTCTTTTATGACTCGTGGACTTCAACTCCCAGAATTCCTGAGGCAGCATGGGGGGAACTTTGGCCCCCTCATGACTCATGGACTTCAACTCTCAGAATTCCTGAGCCAGCATGGCTCAGCATGGAAACCTCTCCCTTTCCCCTCAGCATGGCTGGCTCAGGAATTCTGGGAGTTGAAGTCCACCAGTCATAAAAGAGCCTAGGTTGCCTACCCCTCACCTATGATATTGGGAATCCAGCCTCCAGGGCAGCCATGGCTGAAGCACGGCAACCCTCCCCAGGCGACGGGGCTTGGGGGAGGAGACCGAGGCTACAGACTGGAGACCCAAACAGGAGCAGAGGGGCCGACCCCCAGGAAAAGTGGGGAGGTTGTTCACGTATTTGAATCCTACCTCTGACCCAGCACCCAACGAGATGCGCCTCCCAGCACGGGGGTCTTTAATGGTGGCCGCCTTCTCCTTGCCTTCGTGCACAGGACCACCCCAAGGAGACCCCCCTCCCCAATGCCTCCCAGAGCCACACAGGACATGCTTCAAAAGGGGGGAACGACGTGCACCCAGAGCGTTTGAAACTTAGTCGGGGGGCAGCGCCCAAAGCCTGCCTCCCCGGCACTCTCAGCCTCCGAGTGGGCCTCCCCAAAGACCCTCACCCTTCCTCCGGCTCTCCTCAAGCTCCCGCCTGGCCGTATCGATGTAGCGCTGCACCAGCGCCTTGAGCACCTGGCGCCGATAGGAGACGCGGCCTTCGGTCCGGATGCCCCCTTCTTCCAGCGAGGGGTTGCTCTGGAAGGCAAAAGCCCAGGTCAAGATGGTTCTTTCTGCCCACAGGAAGCAGGCTGGGAACCCAGCCAGGGGCGCTGAGTTCCAAACAGGGCCTGCAAAAAACCGTCCCGTCTGAGTTTGAGGAGCTTGAGAGTCCTCCTTGCTCTCTTCCCTGTTTCCTAAACTTGTTTGTTATCTAAATTCACATTCGCACGCAACCACACACCACATTAGTTTGCGGGGTTCTTGGTGCACTCGGAGCTTTGTTGTTTTCTTGCTGAGTGTTGTTTGCTCTCTGTTTATATGCAAAGAGCTGGCTTGCAGAGAGCCAACCCCACTCCCTTCCTATATAACATAACTTGGGCCTTAATAATAATAGTAATAATAAAGTTGGAAGGGACCTTGGAGGTCATCTAGTCCAACCCCCTGCTCAGGCAGGAAACCTTTACCACCACAGACAAATGGCCGTCCAGTCTCTTCTTAAAAACTTCCAGTGTTGGAGTATTCCCCACCTCTGGAGGCAGGTAGTTCCACTGGTTAATTGTTCTAACTGTCAGGAAGTTTCTCTTTAGTAGTTCTAGGTTTCTCCTTAGTCCTAGCACTGATCAAGTTACCTAGTTGGGTCATGAAATGTCTGCAAGAAAACAACCCAGCTTAGACAGCACCAAGGATCCCACCTGGTTCTTCTTCTTCTCCTCCTCCTCCTCCTCCTCCTCCTCCTCCTCCTCCTCCTCCTCCTCCTCCTCCTCCTCCTCCTCCTCCTCCTCCTCCTCCCTGCAAATCCTGCTCCCTTCTCCCTGCATTGATAATGTTACCTAATTGGGTTATGAAGTGTCTCTGCGAAAAAACCCACCCAGCTCAGACAGCACCAAGGACCCCCCTCCCCAGTTCTTCTCCTCCTCCTCCTCCCATCGCCACTTCCTCCTCTCCACAAACCCCCTCCCTTCTAGCCCTGATGAGGTCCCTAGTTGGGCCATGAAACGTCTGCAACAAGAAGCCCCTTAGAGAGAGCAGCAAGGACCCCGCAGTTCACCCCTGAGCCACATTCTCCTCCATTGGTCCCACCTCTGTTTAAAGAGGGAGTGGGCGCACTTTCCTGCTGGGAAAGCCGGGCAAAGGGACCTTCTGAAGCTCGGAGAGCGGAACTTACGATGGTGTTGATTGGCGGGTATTTCTGACTCTTCTTCGATTTGAAACAGCACAGGAAGCGAAAGGAACCCCTAAACGGTGAAAAATCAGGAGAGAAGACTTAGCCAGGAAGCTTCGGAGGCAGACCAAGAAGGCTGCTTCATTGCAAAGTTGGGGGGGGGCAGGGGTAGGCAACCTTGGCTCTTTTAAGACTCATGAACTTCAACTCCCAGAATTCCTGAGCCAGCATGGGGGAACTATGGCCCCTTTATGATTCGTGGACTTCAACTCCCAGAATTCCTGAGCCAGTATGGGGAACTTTGGCCCCTTCATGACTGGGGGGACTTCAACTCCCAGAATTCCTCAGCCAACATGGGGGAACTATGGCCCCTTTATGATTCGTGGACTTCAACTCCCAGAATTCCTGAGCCAGCATGGCTCAGCTTAGAAACCTCTCCCTTTCCCCTCAGCATGACTGGCTCAGGAATTCTGGGAGTTGAAGTCCACCAGTCATAAAAGAGCCACAGTTGCCTAAAAGGACCTCCAGGATGCTTGTAGGTTGGCCCATCATCTTTCCATGAGGCCAGTGAGGGGGACACTCTTAACCCCAAAGGCCACCCCAGGTTCTGCTCCAGGGGGGCTTTCACAAGACCCCCCCCATCTCCCTAAGTTACACCTGGCTGCGCTAGAATCAAGTGTGCCATCTTGGAGCCTGGTGTCTTGCAGCCGGTGGGCTTCCTGCCCTCCCTGCAGGGAGACGTGGGGCAGGGGACCGGTTCAGAGGAGGGGACCGTGTGGCCGACCTCTTCCATGCCCCCCCATACCTGATGGCGTAGAAGATGGACTTGGGCGTCGGGATGATGTTGAAGGGAACCGGCAAGGTTAAACCTTCCCGGAAGAAGGACAGGTAGAGTTTTGAGCGTGCAAATTTCCACTCTACGTCAGCATCGTTCTGTGGAAAAGAGGAGGTGGGGGAGGTTCCCAGAAATGAATGCGACACGAGGAAGAAGAGTGTGTCAGTTTTAAACGGAATAACAGAGCTGGAAGGGACCTTGGAGGTCTTCTAGTCCATCCCCTGCTGAAACAGGAGAGCCTAGACCAGGGGTAGGCCACCTTGGCTCTTTTATGACTCGTGGACTTCAACTCCCAGAATTCCTGAGCCAGCAGGGGGGAACTATGGCCCCTTCATGACTGGTGGACCTTCAGGTGCTTTGGAGAATAGCTTGACTCCCTCTTCTTTGGGGCAGCCCCTGAGATACTGAAGACTGCTATCCTGTCCCCCCTCGTCCTTCTCTTCATTAAACTAGACACACCCAATTCCAGCAACCATTCTTTATATGTTTTAGCCTCCAGTCCCCTAATCATCTTTGTTGCTCTTCTCTGTACTCTTTCCAGAGTTTCAACATCTTTTTTACATCGTGATGACCAAAACTGGATGCAGCATTCCAAGTGTGTCCTCACCAAGGCGTTGTAAAGTGGTATTAATTGTTAATTCAGTTGTTGTACAGGTGGTCCTGGACTTACAACTGATTTCTCAGTAACCGTTTCAAGTTACGATGGAACCCCTCCCCAAGGCTACTTATGAATGCATTTGGGTCAATATAAAAGGGGGGGGATGACATTGCCATAGGTGGTATACTATAGGCCATCCAAGCAACCAGAGGAAATAGATGAACTTTTTGCTAGTCAGCTAACTAAGGTATGTAGGAAGCACATCACAATAGTAATGGGGGACTTTAACTACCCTGACATCAACTGGGAGACAAACTCCGCACCAAGTGGAAGATCAAACAGGTTTCTGGCAAACCTTGCAGACAACTTTGTCTCCCAAAAAGCAGAGAAGGGAACTAGGGGATTAGCCATTTTGGATCTAATCCTCACTAACAGAGATGAAATGATAGAAGGTGTTGAAGCCATAGGAACCCTGGGAGGAAGTGATCATGCAATATTGGAATTCAACATTATGGAAGCACAAGCAATAGAACACAGTCAAACTAGAGTCTTGGACTTCAAGAGAGCGAATTTCAATAAACTTAGAGAGGGCTTGGGAAGGATTCCATGGATGAGAATCCTCCAGGGGAAAACAACTCAAGAGGCTTGGGAAATTTTGAAAAGTGAGATAATAAACGCCCTCCCTCCGCCTCGCAGGGCTGTTGTGGGGGAAATAGAAGGAGGAAGGTATGTTGGGTATGTTCACCTCCTCGAACTATTTGTAAGTAAATAGATAAGTATCCAGTTTCTTGTGTTTCCATCCCTGAGGAACACTTGCCTCGATCTTCTGGAAAGAGCTGGTGATCATGGCGACGAGCATGTTGAGGAGCACGACCACCATGACGATGGTGAAGATGCCGTAGAGCACTTGGCCCACCAGCTCAGCCACGAAGAACTCGGGCATGTCAACCACGTCATGCTCCTCCATGCCCAGCATGGTCCAGAAGAGGAACTGGAAAGTCTCGTTGAAGCTACGGACGAGATACGAGTTATCAGGTAGAGCCAGCTCAACATTGTGGAGATCCCCAGGTCCCCATCTGAGTAAGCGGCAGTGCTGCCCACGACCGAGCCGATGGACTTTCCTCCTAAGGATCTGAAGAACTTCATTCCCCTAAGAAGGAATGAACTTCATTCCCCAAGAACGGACCTAGAAAATGGCCTTCTGAGCTGGGGTAGAGGCCACCTCCGGCATGCCAGGGGATCTGGCTGGCGTGTCCTGTGTGGAGCAGGAGACCAAGGTTCCCACTGGATGAGGTTTGGGAGGGGTCCTAGGCCAACCCCTTCCTCCTTTGGCTTCTCTTAACAATTGTTGTGAGTGAAATAGGGGGCGGGGGGGGGGAATCACCAGACCCCTTTCTTTGAGGGCTTGCTGAAGGAGGAGGACAGGTCAACATGTCAAAAAAAAGGTAGAGATGAAGGTAGAGATGAATGGATGAGAGATAGATAGATAGATAGATAGATAGATAGATAGATAGATAGATAGATAGATAGATAGATAGATAGATAGATATAGATAGATAAATAGATGATAGATGGATAGATTTATCCAGATAGATAAATAGATGATAGATGGATGGATGGATGGATGGATGGATGGATGGACAGAAAGATGGAATGATAGATGATAGATAGGTACATAATGATAGGTAGGTAGGTAGGTAGGTAGGTGGATGGATGAATGGATGGATGGATGGGCAGAAAGACAGACAGACAGACCGACAGACAGACAGACAGACAGACAGACAGATAGATAGATAGATAGATAGATAGATAGATAGATATAGATAGATAAATAGATGATAGATGGATAGATTTATCCAGATAGATAAATAGATGATAGATGGATGGATGGATGGACAGAAAGATGGAATGATAGATGATAGATAGGTACATAATGATAGGTAGGTAGGTAGGTAGGTAGGTGGATGGATGAATGGATGGATGGATGGATAGACAGACAGACAGAAAGACAGAAAGATGGAATGATAGATATAGATAGGTAGATAATGATGGGTAGGTAGGTGGATGGATGGATGGATGGATGGATGGACAGACAGACAGAAAGATGGAATGATAGAAAATGATAGATAGGTAGATAATGATAGGTAGGTAGGTAGGTAGGTAGGTAGATAGGTAGGTAGATAGATAGATAGATAGATAGATAGATAGATAGATAGATAGATAGATAGATAGATAGATGATAGATATAATTGGAGTGACAGAGATGAAGATGGAGAGAGAGAGAGGTAGCACTGATGATGTTACCTAGTTTGGGTAATGAAACGTCTGCAAGAAAACAAGCAAGCTCAAAGAGGTGAAAAATCTTACAAAGAAAGTTGGACCTGCTTCATTCATTCATTCATTCATTCATTCATTCATTCATTCATTCATTCCACTGAACTTCTTCCTCCTTCAAGAAGACCCAGCGCCCTCCCTCCAGCTCTGCTTGGGCTTCAGCATGGTGGCTTTCCCACCCAATCCTGGCCTCCCCTCCCCAGACCCACCAGTTGCCCTACCTTCCCAGACGCTTCGATTGCTGATAATAGACATAGATGTTGTTCATGCCACACAGGAAAGCTGTCAGGATGATCATCATGATGAACATGAATCTGAGGAGAAGCCAAACGGGGATCAGACCCAAAGGAGGTGACCTCCCCCCTCTCCTTCCCCAAACACGGGCAGGGTCTGCGGTGCCATTCCTCTGTCAAAGCCTCTCCTCAGGTCCCTCACTCCCGGCCCACCCGTCACTTCTAAGAGGCCTTCTCCAGTTTGGGGGAACATCTCAAGAGCTTTACGTGTCCTCCTCAGACTCCAGAAAGGGCCCTGAGTCGGAGGACGGCCTCCTGGGGTCCATACCGAATCATGTCATCGATCATCTTCCCGATGGAGATCTGGAGGGTCCCCAGGGTCTCGTGGGCAGGGAGGATGTAGGCCAGGCGGGTGAAGCTCAGCATGCTGGTGACGGCAAAGAGCACCTCGGCCATGAACTGGGGGTCTTCCGTGTGCCAGTCCAGCCGCTCTGCGTCAAGAAAGGGCGGGGAAGGAGGAAGGTTAGGCACGGGCGGTCTGCAGGGACCCACTTGCTCACTTCTCTAAGGCGGGTTCCGATCAGCGACGCCTGAACACGGCTCACGGCTCTCTTAACGCAGTGCTAGGTTGCCTTGACAGAGAGACAGTTTCAAGATCACGGGAAGCGAAAAGACAGCTGTAGACTGCCCTGCTAAGGTCACACTTTGAACACTGCTTTCAATTCTGGTCACCACAATATAATGAAGATATTTATTTATTTATTTTTGAGACTTATATACCGCTTTAAGTGCAAGCATTCTCTAAGCGGTGTACACCAGTAAGCAATGTATATATATATTTACATTGCCCCCAACAATCTGGGTCCTCATTTTACCTACCCCGGAAGGATGGAAGGCTGAGTCAACCTTGAGCCGGTGAGATTTGAACCGCTGACCTGCTGAACACAGTCAGCTAAAGTGGCCTGCAGTACTGCACTCTGACTGCTGCGCCACCTCAGCTTTGCAAAGAGTGCAGAGAAGAGCAGCTGATTAAAGGGCCAAAACATACAAAGGAATTGGGTTTGGCCAATCTAGAGAAAAGAAGGACATGGTAGCAGCATTCCAGTATTTGAGGGGCTGCCACAAAGAATAGTTGGGGGTCACCCTATTCTCCAAAGCCCCTGAAGAAGGCAGGACAAGAAGCAACGGATGGAAACTCATCAAGGAGAGAAGCAACCTGGAACTAAGGAGAAACTTCCTGACAGTGAGAACAATTAACCGGTGGAACAGCATGCCTCCAGAAGTGGCGAATGCTCCAACACTGGAAATTTTTAAGAAGAAACTGGACAGCCATTTGTCAGAAATGGCGTAGGATTTCCTGCCTGAGCAGGGGGTTGGACTAGATGACCTCCAAGGTCCCTTCCAACTTTACTACTATTATTATATTATTAACTGGACTTGGCCACAGCTCTTTCTACTTTTGTAATAAGAATCCTACTCTTCCTCTTCCACCCAGCTTCTTCTGTAGCTCAGTAGCTTGTTTGACAAGAACATCAGTGTCCATCTTTGGTTTTGTCTGGTTGATCACTTGAGCGTCTTCTAAGGCGGGGGCGTCCAGCCTTGGCCACTTGAAGACCTGTGGACTTTAGCTCCCAGCTGGCTGGGGAATTCTGGGAGCTGAAGTCCACAGGTCTTCAAGTGGCCAAGGCTGGACATCCTTGCTCTAGGCAGAAAGGTGGACTCACAATTGTAGCCAACAATAACGACCCAACGGCCTTGACTCCCCTGGGTCAGCAGACTCACTAGCTTGGGTATAATAGTAGCACTCCGGAGTCGAAGGCTGGACCTCCAAGCAGAAGACTTGCCCTTTGAGGTAGACCAGCAGCTTGAGCACAAAGGAAGCCAAGTACATGCTCAGGATGACGATGTCCAGGAAGTTCCACCAGTCGAGCAGGTAGCTGCGCAGCCCTTCGATCCAGACCTCCTTGCACTCGAACCAGAAGAAGCCTGGGAGGACAACGGTGGTCAGGACAAGAAGCCTCCGGGACCCTCTGTGGTCAACACCCAACAAGGCCCCGGCGGGGTCTTCTCCACCCAGCCAACCCCAGCCAGGCCTCTTCTCTGCATCTTCAACTAGGTGGGGCCTGAAAGGACCGGCTGGCTCCCAGCTGTGCAAAATCTCCCACCTTCCAGGTCTAGTCTCCCACAAAGCCCCCCCCCCGATCTTCCAAAAGGCCCCCACCCTCTGCCCCCTTCCTCCCCGTTAAGGGCTCTTCTGCTCCGGTCCTGTCCCGACCGCAAATGGTCCTCTCTGGTGGCCAGGTGGAGGCTGTTAAACGGATCAAGGCATTTCGCTGCCAGGATAACACGGACCTCAACGCTGGCAGCTGAGGAGACCCATCCGATTCTTCCTCCTCTGTCTTCCTCCTCTTTCTTCTCCTCCTTCCCCTTTTTCTTCCCTGCTTTCTTCCTCCTCCTTTTTCTTCTCCTTCTCCTCGTCTTCTTTTCTTCCTGTCCTCTTTTTTCTCCTCCTTCCCTTGTTTTTTCTTGTTCTCCTCCTCCTTTTCCTCCTCCTCTTCCTCCATTTTCTCCTTCCCACTTTTTTCTCCTCCTCCTCCCCTTGTTTCTTTCTTGTTTTCCTCCTCCTCCTCCTCCTTCTCCTCCTCTTTTCTCCTTCTCCTCCTTCCCTTTTCTTTCCTCCTCCTTCTCCTTTTTCCTTCCTCTTCCTTTTTCTCCTTCCCATCCTTTTTTTCTCCTTCTCCTTCCCTTGTTTTTTTGTTTTCCTCCTCCCCCTCCTCCTGCTCCTCCTTCTCTTTTCTCCTTCTCCTCCTTCCTTTTTCTTCTGCTTTCCTCCTCCTCCTTCTTTCTCTTCCTCTTCATTTTTCTCCTTCCCATCTTTTTCTCCTCCTCCTCCTTCCCTTGTTTTTTTTCTTGTTTTCCTCCTCCTCCTCCTCCTCCTCCTCCTCTTCCTTTTTCTCCTTCTCCTCCTTCCCTTTTTTCTTTGCTTTCCTCCTCCTCCTCTCCTCCTCCTTTTTCTTCTTTCTCTTTCTCTTTTTTTCTCCTTCCCATCCTTTTTTTCTCCTCCTCCTTCCCTTGTTTTTTCTTGTTTTCCTCCTCCTCCTCTTCCTTTTTCTCCTTCTTCCCTTTTTTCTTCTGCTTTCCTCCTCCTCTCCTCCTCCTTTTTCTTCTTTCTCTTTTCCTTTTTCTCCTTCCCATCTTTTTTCTCCTTCCCTTGTTTTTTCCTTCTGTTTTCCTCCTTCCCCCCTGCCCCCCACTGGTGGGGACACCAACAATGAGCGCAAAGGCTGTGATGGACAGAGGGAAGGTTATGAGGGCGCCCGACCAGGCTGTCCAGCCACCAACGTGGCGATTTGATTGGAATCCAGACCGCCCCCCACTTTCAGCTCTCCCGCTTCCCTGGACCCCCAGGAAGCAGCCCAACAGGTGCAGAAGGAGCAGGGCCCCCCTCTTCCTTCCCTCTCCCCTCACTCTGAGTGGGGATATGTGTGTGTGTGTGTGTGTGTGTGTGTGTGTGTGAGCGCTCAGCCACCTACCCATGACCCAGATCATGTGAAGGGACGTCTCCCACATGCTCTGGTTGCGCTCCATGAAGATCTCCTGATGGTGCTCCAGGATCAGGGACTCCACCAACAGGAAGACCAGGAACCAGACGTAGGAGGCCGAGTGCAGCAGGAATTTGATCACTGGGATCTTCAGCATTTTGCCGATCTGCCAGCAGGGAAGGAAATAATTTTTTCCCCTCCCGAGTTTCCGAAAGGTGGGAGAAGCGTCCTTGAGCCCCCCCCCAAGAGGGCCATTATTATCTCATCCCTCTCCAGCCAGTGCACCATTGAGGTCCCTCAGGCTCTGCCCCACTCAAGGCAACCATTAGCTCAGCTGATGCCCCAGGACTTCCAGGACTTCAAATCTCAGCATTCCTGGCTAAAAGGGTGAGGAATTCTGAGCTGAGCTGAGCTGAGCTGATGAGATGAGATGAGATGAGGAGAGTAGAAGAGAAGAGAGGAGAGGAGAAGAAGGGGAAGAGAAGGAAGAGGAGAGGAGATGAGGAGAAGAGGAGAGGAGGAGAAGAGAAGATGAGGAGAAGGAGGAGAAGGAGAAGAGGAGAAGAGGAGATGAGGAGAAGGAGGAGAAGGAAAAGAGGAGATGAGGAGAAGGAGGAAAGGAGAAGAGGAGAAGAGGAGAAGAGGAGATGAGGAGAAGGAGGAGAAGGAGAAGAGGAGAAGAGGAGAGGAGATGAGGAGAAGAGGAGAAGGAGGAGAAGGAGAAGAGGAGAAGAGGAGAGGAGGAGAGGAGAGGAGGAGAAGGAGGAGAAGGAGGAGAAGGAGAAGGGAAGAGAAGAGAAGAAGATGAGGAGAAGGAGGAGAAGGAGGAGATGATAAGAAGATAAGATATAAGATAAGATAAGATAAGATAAGATGATAAGATAAGATAAGATAAGATAAGATAAGATAACCTTTATTGTCAATTTCTTACTGTGGGCACAACAGCACACATCACAAATGAAATTGAGTTGCCCGCTCTCAAACTGAAACACATACATGACACACACCTAAACATACTATGAACAACATAGGTATAGACCCACACTCCTCCATCTACGTAGCAAATCAATATTTAATACTGTCCATCTTGAATAGATAACGGAAGGGTTCCAAAGACCAGGGCAGGGAGAACATCACCCGCTGGGTACCTTGCCTTCAAGCTGTTCTGTGAAGCTGCAAATCCAATCCACACACACACACACCCCACGCTTGCTTGGTCAGCCCTGCTTGGCCCGATCTGGACTCCAGGGACCCACCTTGGATTTGGGGGCGAAGAAGTAGGTCAGGGCGAGGAAGGGCATGGCCAGGAAGATGGAGAAGGAGACGAAGACCTTCCAGAGGCTTTTGCTGCCCCGCCAGCTGGGCAGGCTCCCACACCAGATGGACGAGAGGACTTGCTGGCAGACGGGGTGGGCCACAAACTGAGCCGGGAGGGAAGAAAGAGGGAAGGGGAAGTCAGCTCCGGCGCCTGGATTCCAGCTGGGGGCACCCCACAAATCCCGGAAGCTCAGGGCAGGACGGAACCCCCACATCACGGACCTCAGGATAAGCACGGATGTCATCGTCCCCAACCCCGAATTCGCTGATAGAGGCAGTCCTTGACTTACGACCGACTGCTTAGCGACTGTTATGACAGACCTCCCCAAAGCTAGAAGTGACCCAGATTGGAACTTCTGAACAGTCAGTGCCCCGGCCCAGCAGTCACGCGTTCAACCCCTGGCCCATGTTTACATCTGTTTCTGGCACCCAGCAATTCGCAGTGTTGTTTTTTTTTATCAGAAACCAGCATTTCCATCTGATGTCCAGCAAAAAAACCCTCATTGCGGACAAGGGATTTGCGTAACGACCGCAGCATTCATTTAACGCCCCTGGCGTTCGCTTTACGACTGCCACATTTGCTGAACGGCTGCCACAAAAAAAAAATTAAATTAAAATAAGGCACAGTCACAAGGGGGCCTGCTTAATGACCGGGGCCTCTTTCTCTCTCTCCTCTTTCATACTTTTTACTTTAACGAATAACCTTTAAATCTAAACTTTCAAACAATCGGGAACAGGGCAAATAAAACTGAAATAAAAATATTCTAAGAAGTAATTCACCCCCTGCCCCCCCCCCCGCCACTGAGTTTTGCAGTCTGAACAGGCTCCATAGTTAGCTTTCCCAGCATTTAACAAATCTTTTTCTTTTTTTTTTTTTTAAAAGTGCATTATAATATAAAATAGAAATAAAAACGAAGGCTCCGCCCCTGCTTGTAGATCTGCCCTCTCCCGGTTACCCTGCCTGCCCTTTGCCGGCAGCCTCACCCGCTTCTGGTTGTAGTTGACGGCCAATCTGAGCCTGGCCAGGTTGGGGATGCCCTCCTCAAAGGCCTGGTCATCCATCTCTTCATCGTCATCCACGGCATCGTCCCCCAGCTCGTTCAGGATGGCCGTCACCTCGCTCTGGTTGCGGCACATGCCCATCAGCTCAAAGGCAAACTCCTGGCACAGGTTCTCCAGCGCCAGGTAATCTGGCTGGATCAGAAGAGATGGGGAAGGGGCCTGAGCAAAGCCTCCAGAGACCCCCCCCAAGCCCCACCGCTCTGCTGCCTTACGTCATTGCAACCCTCCTAGCTAGGTGTTACCTAGCTGGGTAATGAAACGTCTGCAAGAGAACCACCAGGCTCAGACAGCGTCAAGGACCCCCACAGTCAGCGCTTCCTTCCTTCCTTCCTTCCTTCCTTCCTTCCTTCCTTCCTTCCTTCCTTCCTTCCTTCCTTCCTTCCTTCCTTCCTTCTCCCTTCCAGCACTGATGGTGTTACCTAGCTGGGTAATGAAATGTCTGCAAGAGAACCACCAGGCTCAGAGAGCACAACCCCACAGTCCTTCCTTCCTTCCTTCCTTCCTTCCTTCCTTCCTTCCTTCCTTCCTTCCTTCCTTCCTTCCTTCCTTCCTTCCTTCCTCCTCCTCCCTTCCAGCACTGATGATATTAGCTAGCTTGGTAATGAAATGTCTGCCAGAGAACCACCAGCAAGGACTCCATATTCCTCCTCCTCCTCCTCCTCCTCCTCCTCCTCCTCCTCCTCCTCCTCCTCCTCCTCCTCCTCCTCCTCCTCCTCCTCCTCCTATCTTTTGGCACTAATGATGTTCCCTAGTTGGGTCATGAAACGTCTGCAAGAGAACAGCCAAGCTCAGAGAGCACCAAGGACCCCACAGTCCCCCCCCTCCTCCTCCTCCGTAGGACTTGAAGGAGGACGAGGCTACGGGGGTCTTTCAGTTGGGCCTCCAAAGCAGAATAAAAGGGACCAAAGCAGCAGCTGAACAAAACATCTCTTCTGCAGTCAAAACTACCATTCCAGCTAATTCAAATATTGCTTTTCTTTGGGGTGCCTTCAAGTCTATCTTAATTCCTGATAACAAGTCCCTGCAGCTGCAGACGACCCCAAGCTGGCAGGAATAGCCAACACCCCGGAAGACAGGCTCAGGAGCCATGGATCTCGACAGACTTGATCACTGGGCCTTATCTAACAAAACGAAATTCAGTGTAGAGAATAGTAAAGTCTTACACTTAGGCAAGAAAAACCAAATGCACCAGTAGGGTATACTATAGATGGTACCTGGCTCAGTAGTAGCAACTGTGAGAGGGATCTTAAAATCCTAGTGGGTGACCCCTTAAACCAGTGGTTCTCAACCTGTGGGTCGGGACCCCATTTGGGGTCGAAGGACCATTTCACGGGGATCGCCAAACAAGGCTGTCCGCCATTTTTTCCCCCTTTTCTTTGGCCACACTCCTGGTACCCGGTGATATATAAGTGGTTGGGGGTCACCACAACATGGGGAACTGTATTATGAGGTCGCGGCATTAGAAAGGTTGAGAACCACTGCCTTAAACACAAGCCAGCTGTGTTTGGCAACAGCCAAAAAAGCAAATACAATCCTGGGTTGTATAAACAGAGGCATCGAATCAAAATCACATGAAGTCTTAGTACCGCTTTATACAGTGCTTTTTTTCTAAAAAAAAAAATTAAAAAAAGGTGCCAGAACTCACACAAGTCATACAACCCACCTTGCCTATTCTATAAGGTTCCATCCAAAAAAAGTGCCGGAACTCCGTTCTGGGCGTTCAATGAGAAAAAAAAAAGCCCTGGCTTTATAAAGCCTTAGCCAGGCCACACCTGGAATATTGCAACCACTTTTGATCATCGCGCTACAAAAAAAGATATTGAGGCTTTGGAAAAAGTTCAGAGAAGAATAACAAAGGGGACATGATAACAGTCTTCCAATACTTGAGGGGCTATTACAAAGAAGAAGGGGGGGTCAACCTATTTACCAAAGCACCTGAAGGCAGAACAAGAAGTACCGTATATTCCGGTGTATAGAGCGACCCGGCGTATAAGACGACCCCCGCCTTCGACGCCGAGTCGCATGCCTAGAAAGTCGTCTTATAAGCCGGAAACTACCGTTATTTCCAGCGTATAAGACGACTCGGCGTATATAAGACGACTCCCGACTTTGGCGCCGATTTCAACGCTCTCGAAAGTCGTCTTATACGCCGGAAAGTATGGTAACAGATAGAAACTGATCAAAGAGAGATTTAACCTAGATCAGTGGTTCTCAACCTGTGGGTCGGGACCTCATTTGGGTTCGAACGACCATTTCACGAGGGTCGCCAAACAACGCAGCCCGCCATTTTTTTCCCCTTTTCCTTAGCTGTGCTACTCGCTTTTATTCTATTGGCTTTTGAAAGCCAATAGAATAGACTCTCTTGAATAGAGTCTAATTCTATTGGCTTTCAAAAGCCAGTAGGAATTGTCCAGGCTGTCTCTGCCCTGCTGAGCCCGCCAAAAGTCCCATTCTACACATGGTGCTGCACCAGTCCTCTACTTACAACCGGTTGAGTAGTCCTCAACTTACGACCGGTTGGGGGGTCGCGGCATTAAAAAGGTTGAGAACCACTGACCTAGAACTAAGGAGAAATTTCCTGGCAATGCAAACAGTCAGTGGAACAGCTTGTCACCTCTTGTCTTTCTTTTCTCTAGACTGGACATACCCAAGTCCTGCAGCCATTCTCCATATGTTTTAGCCTCCAGTCCCCTAACTAACAGTCCACTAATGCTCAGCATCTTGTTAGGGTTAGATAAGGGTAGACAGACTTCAAGGGGGGGAGCTGGATTTCGTTCCTTTGTGGCCATGTAGGGATTCTAGGCTGATGCCTCTTTTAACTCCATCTCCAGCTCTACCACTCCTTCTCCTACAAGGACTAACGGCTTGGCAATTTCCCAGGCTTCCCTCTGCGGCCCTCCCAACGACAGACCTTGAACTCCGGCTCCTTCTTGGAGAGCCATTTGAGCTCCCGGCTGAGTTTGAAGGCCGTCAACATGGGGTCCTCGCTGGCGATGGAGAGGTAGGCCCGGCTGGCGATGCCTTTGTAGGTGTTGATGCGGGAGAGCGAGAACTTGAGCAGGTCAAACTTCCTGCCGTTCGAGCACTCCAAGCAAGCGCAGGAGACCTTGTGTGGCCGAGGAATGGTGTGGCCCTTCTTCATCAGCATCTCCACGATCTCGTAGAGGTCCTTCTCACAAGCCAAGGTGAGCGGGGTCACCCCAGGGGCGAAGCGGGAGTTGTCGATCGAGTTATCGAAGAAAGCCATAGAGAAGGACTTGATGTCCATCTTCATACCCTTCTCTTGGTCAAGCCGATCCAGGAGCTGCTTGACCACACTGGGCTGGTTGGTGTCCACTGCCACCAGAAGGGCCTCGTGGACCTGCCGAAAGTCAAACTTCACGAAGCGTAGCAAGGTCTTGGTGATCTCCGCCCCGCCGGTACGGATGGCCAAGTTGAGCGCCTCGCGCCAGGCCCGGTCCTCCGTTTCATCCAGCTGCCGCAGGATCCCATCACTGACGTGCAACATCTGCTGGATCTTCGTCAGCTGGCCATCTTGAATGGCCGCCAGGAGGCCTTCGGGAAACTTGAGCTTCTTGTTGACTATCTCCTTCCAGTTGGTCGGCTAAAGGGTGAGAAAAAGATTTGGGTGAATTCCTTCTCCTGTCATTACAGATCCCGTCGCCATGGGTTCCAGTGGATCCCAAGAACCGTGGTGGCTCAGTGGTCAGAATGCCCACAGGCGAAGGGAAGGAAAGGGGGGAGGTGGGGGGGCTCCGACCCTCCGTTTGCCACCACTTTATTCTCTTACTCGTCACTAGATGGCGCTCGAGGCAACCAGATGCCCGCCCCTCCGTCCAGAGTCACCCTTGATGGCACAGCTGGCTGTGGATGATGGGAGTTTCATCCAGCACCTCTGGAGGATAACAGCCTCTATGACTGAATATCTGCCGTGGTGGCTACGATCCAGGGCTCATTCTGAGAACCCACAGGCTGGTCTGTGCAGGGCGTTTGTGTGTTGTGTCAACCCAGAGAATTTGGCCAGGTTGGGGGAAGGCAAAATACTTTGGGGGTCTAGAGGCAAACTCCCCCCCCCCTCAAGTAACAGTGTCTGGTGAGGTTGGAAAAAGTCGTGATAGCGCCAGAACTTGATCAATAGGGCAAGTCTTTCTTCAAAGTGGTGTGGCTGCCAACTCCTTTCTTCCTTCCTTCCTTCCTTCCTTCCTTCCTTCCTTCCTTCCTTCCTTCCTTCCTTCCTTCCTTCCTTCTAGCACTGATGATGTTCCCTAGTTGGGTCATGAAACGTCTGCACAAAAACCACCCAGCTCAGAGAGCACCAGGGACCTCCCAGTCCTTCCTTCCTTCCTTCCTTCCTTCCTTCCTTCCTTCCTTCCTTCCTTCCTTCCTTCCTTCTTCCTTCCTTCCTTCCTTCCTTCTAGCACTGATAATGTTCCCTAGTTGGGTCATGAAACGTCTGCACGAAGACCACCCAGCTCAGAGAGCACCAAGGACCCCACAGTCCTTCCTTCCTTCCTTCCTTCCTTCCTTCCTTCCTTCCTTCCTTCCTTCCTTCCTCCCTCCCTCCCTTCCTCCCTTCCTTCTTTTTCTTTCTTATTTATTAAATGTACATGCTGCCCATCTTGCTAACAAATGGACTTCTTCGACCTGCTGCCCCCAAGGAGAGATGGCAGCAACGGAGGCATTTGAACTCGGAAGAAACGGGGGGGGGGTCGCCTTCCTGTGGAGGGGCTCTAGGGAGACCCCCTCGGCCGCTGGAACCTCCCCAGGGGCCGGGACCAGCCCCCCTCTCTCGGCTCTGCGCTTTCTCATTCTCCCCCCCCCTTCCCCTCTCTCTCTTTAGCCCTTTGCCGGCATCTCCGGGGCCCCGGCCGGGAAGGGGGGGGAGATCCGTGGGCTTTTCTTGCGGGGGGAATTGGGCTGAGTGGGCGAGGTGGAACCACCCATCCGGACCCCTCGCCCCTCTTCTTCTGCTGCCCAAGGCGTGGGGGAGCCTCCCGCTCCACCTTGGAGAAAGACCCCCGGGGGTCCGGGCGTGCGTGCGGGCTTGGGGGGGGGGGGCTGCAGGACAACCCCGAGGATGCCCAACCGCCTGGGGCAAAAGAAGCGTGCCCAGCAGCTCGTGTGTAACCGAGAGAGGCGACCCGTGTTGGGAGGAAGACTCGGGGGTGGCACCCCGGGGAGGGGGGCCACCGGTTGCCATGAGGGCGGGGGGCGCTTGGCAGCCCGGGGGCCCGTCGCGGCTCCTTCGCCCGGGCTGGGGGGGCTTCCATCCGACGCTGCGGGGGGAGCTCAGCCCTCCCGCCCCGGGACGCCCCTCCGGACGCCGCGGCACTTACCGAGATGCCCTCGTACTCCGTCGCCATCGCCCCTGTCCCCGCAAGGCAGCCGAGCCTCCTGGCCCTCGGCCCCGTCGCTGCCCGATCGCCGCGCTTGTTTTTCCCGGCGCCGGGAGGAGCCCCGGCGCCCGCCTGCCAAGCCCCGGGGGTCCCGGTTGCCACGCGGAGGCCTCCTCCCCGGGGAGGACGGGAGGCGCAGGTGGCGGCGGGCCCTTCCCCGGCCAGCCTGCAGGAGGGCCCTCGGGGCGCCGGGCTCCTGCGCCCGCTCTCCGCCCAGGGGGTCCCCGAGAGGGTCCCTTTGGAAATAAAAGGGGTCCGGGGTTCCAGGGCAATTTGCAAGGCAAGGCTCGGTGGGATCAGGGCAAGTCTTCCTGCTCTTCGGAAATCCCTTTCAGGCACACCTTAAAATGTTGGGGTCCCTGGTGCCCTCTGAGCTGGGTGGAGTTCTTGCAGACGTTTCATGACCCAACTAGGTGACATCATCAGTGTTAAGAGGGAGGGGAAGGAAGGAAGGAAGGAAGGAAGGAAAGAAGGAAGGAAGGAAGGAAGGAAGGAAGAAGGAAGGAAGGAAGGAAGGAAGGAAGGAAGGAAGGAAGGAAAGACAGACTGTGGGGTCCCTGGTGCTCTCTGAGCTGGGTGGATTTCTTGCAGACGTTTCATGACCCAGCTAGGTGACATCATCAGTGCTAGGAGGGAGGAGAAGGAAGGAAGGAAGGAAGGAAGGAAGGAAGGAAGGAAGGAAATAAAGACAGACTGTGGGGTCCCTGGTGCTCTCTGAGCTGGGTGGATTTCTTGCAGACGTTTCATGACCCAGCTAGGTGACATCATCAGTGCTAGGAGGGAGGAGAAGGAAGGAAGGAAGGAAAGACAGACAGACAGACAGACTGTGGGGTCCCTGGTGCTCTCTGAGCTGGGTGGATTTCTTGCAGACGTTTCATGACCCAACTAGGTGACATCATCAGTGCTAGGAGGGAGGAGAAGGAAGGAAGGAAGGAAGGAAAGAAGAAAGAAAGAAAGAAAGACAGACAGACAGACAGACTGTGGGGTCCTTGGTGCTCTCTGAGTTGGGTGGTTTTCTTGCAGACGTTTCATGACCCAGCTAGGGAACATCATCAGTGCTAAGAGGGAGGAGAAGGAAGGAAGGAAGGAAGGAAGGAAGGAAGGAAGGAAGGAAGGAAGGAAGGAAAGAAAGACTGGGGCCCTTGGTGCTCTCTGAGCTTGGTTGTTTTCTTGCAGACGTTTCATGACCCAACTAGGGAACATCATCAACTTCAACTCCCAGAATTCCTGAGCCAGCCTGGCTCAGCTTGGAAACCTCTCCCTTTCCCCTCAGCATGGCTGGCTCAGGAATTCTGGGAGTTGAAGTCCACAAGTCATAAAAGAGCCACGGTTGCCTACCCCTGGTATAAATAAATAAATACATACACAAACCCAGAATGAAGGGCTGATCAAAGCCATTCACTCTTATCCTTTGTAAGTAGAAACTGACTCTTGTAATTTTTTTTTCCTTTTGGCAAACCTCCATTTACACATATGTATTAAATGCAATATTATTACAGCCACTACTCAAGTTCTGTTTACTGGATGGGAACTGGAATATTACTTAATTAAATCAGAGACTTTCTGGATTCTTTCCTTAATTATTTGATCAAGGCCAGACCTTGTCCAAGGCAAGCATAGATTAAATCTTTGGCCATTTGCCCAGCAAACTTTCTTTTTGTTTACAGTCTTCCTGGAGGAAACCCCAAAAAGCTGGCAGAAAGTTGTGTGACTTTGAACGGACTTCAGACCAGCGGTTCCCAACCTTTTCTATTCCCCCGCACCCCTACAACACTTCTGACATATCCTCACACTCCTTACAGAAGTTTGAGACGAATTATTCATATACACTATGATTTTGAAACTTCTAAGTCCAGGTTTTCGCACCCCCTGAGGTCTCATCACACACACACACACACACACACACACACACACTATTGGGAGCCCCTGCTTCAGACTTTGATGAACAGAGAGGACAGAGTTAAATCCGTGGATCCAACTGTGAGGCTTTGAGTGGCCCAAATGGAGGAACTGCAAGAATATGCGGCACAGAGCAGAACAATCCTTGTAAAATTATACCAAGGCCTTATTGTGATTGCATCGAAAGCCTTTTTTTCCACAAATCGTAACTCTTTCCATCTGTCACAACTCTCCCTGGAGGCAGCATTCCGAAAAAATCAAACCATTTTGCAAAGCACTAGACAGCTGTAACAGGAATCCTCAACTCTGGCAACTTTTAAGACTTGTGGACTTCAACTCCCAGAATTCTATAAGATGGAGCACCCACAACGTCCGGAGGTGGGTAGTTCCACTGGTTAATTGTTCTCCCAGTCAGGAAATTCCTCCTTAGTTCCAGTTGCTTTTTTCCTTGATGAATTTCCATCCGTTGCTTCTTGTCCTGCCTTCAGGCACTTTGGAGAATAGATTGACACACACACACACCCTTCTCTGGGGCAGCCCCTCAAATATTGGAACACTATGTCACCCCTCGTCCTTTTGTTTCTTTGGCTTTCTCAGCAGTTAACGTCCTGTTAGAACAATTAACCAGTGGAACTCCTTGCCTCCAGAAGCCGTGAATGCTCCAAGACTGGAAATGTTTAAGAAGAGACTGGGCAGCCCTTTGTCTAGAACAGTACTATATAGGGCAGTGGTGGCGAACCTATGGCACGGGTGCCAGAGGCGGCACTCAGAGCCTTCTCTGTGGGCACGCGCGCCGTTGCCCCAATCCTGGGCTTTCAGCTGGGTTTTATAAAACCTTTTCGCTTTAGGCCTCTACTGCTGTGTGCAAAAACAAAAAAAAAAAGGTTCAATCAATCAATCAATTTCAACTTCTTGTGGGGGAAAAAAAAGATCTTGCAAAGTTGGAATTGATGGATTGAACTTTTTAGTCCCACCCAGTCTGCCGTTACCACCACAACCACGCCCACCCAATGGGACACGCCCACCCAATGGCCACACCCACCAGGCACTTGAAGATGCATAAGTGGGTTTTGGGTTGCAGTTTGGGCACTCGGTCTCTAAAAGGTCCGCCATCACCGATATAAGGTTTTCTGCCTGAGCAGGGGGTCAGACTAGAAGACCCCCCAAGGTCCCTTCCAATTCTGGTACTCTGCAACAAACCTAGTGTCACTCTTGGCATTTCCCTTCCTGCATCAGTCCACTCCCAGGCACGGGAGACAGGCAGGCAGGTGGACGAGAGCCCTGGGAAGCGCCTCCCGCTCACCAGCTTTGCCCACGGCACCAGCCGGGCTCCCTGCAGCTGCCCAGGATGCGAGGAGGCCGCAGGGTGGGCCCCGCATCCCCACCTGCCTTCCTGTCCGGTCTTCTGGCTGCCGATCAAGAGGGCAAACAAAGCGGTGAGACGCAAACGTCGCCCCAGGAGAGCAGCCCGAGCGCTCATCCCAGCCCCGGAGTCAATCAACAATGTTGTTGATCCAGAAAGCGAGAAGAGGCAGCTTATAACGAAGAGTTTGCAGTCTGTATTTCAACCTGCGAGGTCAGCAGCCTTCAGCCCCCAACTCTCCCTTGCAGGGAGGCCCCGGCCCTGGGGTCTCCGTGCCAGTCCATCCTCCGAGGTGGGTTACAGCCCCCTCCCCAATTCTTCCTCTCCACCCATCCCACAGAAGGCCAAAGGCTCTCGAGTCAAGTCACAATCTCTTCGCCCTGCTGTGAAAAATAAAAAAAAAGGAAGCAATCTGTCGGGCTGACAGGTAAAAACAAACTCTGGAAGTTTGAAAAGTTCCAGTGAATCCCACGCTGCCCAGGTGTGCAGACCCCCCCCCCCCACTTAGTCACCGCAATCTGTTTGGTGGGCTGTGTGTGTGTGTGTGTGTGTGTGTGTGTCCGTCACAGGCAAATGGCTGTGGATGGGTGGGTCACGGAGTCCGGCTCCAGCATCTCGGATGCCCCCAGAGGGAATCTGGAATTGCCGTGTGCTCTGGTGGGTCTTCTCTCCCGAGGCCTTGAGGGAGGGTCTCCCAGCCCCTCATGTCTGAACCAGAGAAGCCGAAAGCCTGGGATGCCGAGGACCCCCCCAGGACGCAAAGGGCACTCCGGCCGCCCTCCTCTTTGCAAGCGAGCTGGGACGGAGGGTTAAGGGTATTCTTCCCCGCAGCGGCTGGCGTGCGCCTCCACCTCGGAGGCGGGAAACGGGTCCTGGCAGATGGGGCACTCCACCCAAGACCCCCGCCCGGCTGACGGAGAGGCCGCTTCTCCGCAGGCAGAAGCGTGGATGGGCAGGACCTCGGCAGGGAAGCGACCTGTGGGGGGGGGGGGAAGAAGGCAAAGAAAGGGTTAACCAGCATCAGCTCCTTCCCACTGGGAAGCTGTGAATGCTTCAACACTGGAGGTTTTTAAGAAGAGACTGGACAGCCCTTTGTCTGAAAAGGTGCAGGGTTTCCTGCCCGAGCAGGGGGTTGGAGTAGATGACCTCCAAGGTCCCTTCCAACTCTGTTATTGTTATTTTTTCCTTCCTTCCTTCCTTCCTTCCTTCCTTCCTTCCTTCCTTCCTTCCTCCCTCCCTCCCTCCCTCCCTCCCTCCCTTCCTTCTCCAACACTGGAAGTTTTTAAGAAGACACTGGACACCCACTTGTCTGAAAAGGTGCAGGGTTTCCTGCTTGAGCAGGGGGTTGGACTAGATGACCTCCAAGGTCCCTTCCAACTGTTATTCTGCCTGCCTGCCTGCCTGCCTTCCTTTATTCCTTCTCCAACACTGGAAGTTCTTAAGAAGAGACTGGACAGCCACTTGTCTGAAATGGTATAGGGTTTCCTGCCTGAGCAGGGGGTTGGACTAGATGACCTCCAAGGTCCCTTCCACCTTTATTATTATTATTATTACATAACAATACAGGGACTTGTCAACCTATAACTGTCGGTTTAGTGACTGTTGGAAGTTACAACGGCACTAAACAAAATTGACTTAGGGCCATTTTTCACATCACTGCACTATCCCTGTGATCAAAATTTGGACGTTTGGACGCTGACTCATATTTATGACGATCCCAGGGTCATGTGATCCTCTTTTATGGGGAAGATGGAGCTGCTTAACAGCCATATTAGTGACTTAATCTGCAGTGATTCGCTTAACAGCCGTGGCAGGAAAGGTCGTAAAACGAGGAAGGACCCGCTTGACAGCTGTCTTGCTTAGCAATGGAAATTCTGGACTCAGCTGAGGTTGTAAGTCGAGGACTGCCTGTATTTCCCGACCAGCCTATGGTCTGCACAGCCGAGTTCCAGTCGGATTTGCAGCAACCCAGGTCTGCCAATCACGCAAAGCACAAACGGGCAGAGAAACAACAGCTGATCCTTAAAGCAGGGGTCTTCCAACTTGGCCCTTCTATAACTTGTGGACTTCAACTCCCAGAGCTGAAGTCCACAAGTCATAGAAGGGCCAAGTTGGAAGACCCCTGGACTTCAACTCCCAGAATTCCTCAGCTAGGCACACTGGCTGAGGAATTCTGGGAGTTGAAATCCACAAGTCATCAAAGGGCCGAGTTAGAAGACCCCTGCCTTAAAGCCTTTCTCGACCTCAGCCCCTCTAAAGATGGGTGGAGCCCCACTCCCAGAATTCCCCAGCCAGGGTGGAATTCTGAGAGGGGGGTCCACCCATCTTTAGAGGGGCCAGCGCTGAGAAAAAGGAGCAGTTGGACCACCTTATAACCTCCAAATCAGAGAGGCAGAAGAAGTCCCCTGCCCACCCTCCACATTTGTGGGGAATGCAGCAAGCAGGGTGTGTGTGTGTGTGTGTGTGTGTGCAAAGCCACTCTGCAAATGGCCATCTTGCTGGGAGGGGGATTTCGGGAAGAACACCCCCAGGCCTATTCCAGAGCTTTGGTTAACTTTCCTTTTACACGTCTGCTTCAGAGGTTCCTGTGTGTAAAAAGTGAGGTATACACCCCTACGCTGATATTTTAAAATACTTTCAGGATGTTAACCCCCAAACCTACCATCCCTGCTCACCCTGGCACTACAGAGGTGGGTGTGCTAGGGGGCAGACACACACACACACAGAGCCCAGCACAAATATCTTTGGTGTGGTCTTCTGCACACAGGGGTCTCCTCTGCCCTCACCACCTGCAGAGTTTTCCACTTCCAGGGATTCGGTTCACCTGCACAGATTGGGCAGATGCCCAGCGTGGCTCCTCCTCCTCCTCTTCCTCTGCTCTCCCCTTCTTCTTCCTCCTCTTCTTCCTCTTCGTCACTTTCCCAGGCTGGTGGGTTTCCTCGCTGGCTGCGGGCTCCCCCGTCCCTTCGTGAGCCGTTCCTGGGTCTGAAGAGAAAACCCTTTTGCAGGCCGTCCTCGGCACCCAACCCTTTGCTTAAGGACAGTTCAAAGTTACGGCAGTGCCGACAAAAGTGACTTATGACCATTTTCATACGCCGCGGCATCCCCGTGGCCACGTGATCAAAATTCGGACGCTCGGGAACCGATTCGTACTTACGACGGTCGCAGCGTCCCGGGTGGGAGTCACGCGATCCCCTTTTGCGACCTTCTGACCAGCAAAGTCAATGAGGGAAGCCACGTTCGCTTAACGACCCTGTTGCTAACTCAGCTGCCGTGATTCACTTAGCAGCTGTGGCAGGAAAGGTCGTGAAGTGGAGCAAAACGTTCTTAACAATTGTCCTGCTTTAGCAACGGGGTTTTTTCTGGTCTCTTCTCTGCCTGCCTCTCTCCTCTCAAGGTGGAAGGATTTTTTTTCCTAATAGGCAGAATTCCAATCAAATACAAAGTCCTCACCCCCCTCCCCATTTCTGATAAGCAAAGTCAAGGGGGGGGAAGACGGATTTGCTTAATGACCGTACGATTCATTTAACAACCACAGCGCTTCCCTTAACAACCACGGCAGAAAATCAGGCGGGCTTCGCTCCACGACCGCCTGGATTAGCAATGGAAAATCAGGAAGCCTCAACGTGGTCGTAAGCCGAGGACTACAGGGAGTGATCCCCAACAGGCCTAGCAGAAAGCAAACCGGGTCAGAGGAGCAGAGCCTCGCCCCCTCACCTCCTCCTGGCGCTGCGCTGCGACCCAGGTCTCCTCCTTGTTTTCAAGCGGCTGTTGCTCGCCTGTGGCTCCACTTCGGGCCCTGGGGGATAAAACATGCCGGCAACATAAATCCCCCGGGAACGGCTTGCCAGTTAAAGAGCAACCAACCAGAGGAGACAGGGGTGATTTGCAAGATCCCACAACAGAAAAGGTGATCTGTGGGGAGTTTCCTGCGTCCCGCCAGGCGCAGCTCAGCTCCTAATTGGAGGCGAGCCACGCTTACGACGGAGGATGTTGTTCTCCCAGCCCTCTTCATTTCCAGACTTCTGCTTTGCAGGTTTCTGTTTTTTTCTTTAATATATATTATTATTATTATTATTATGTAGGTCTTTGGTTGTTCGGGTTATTATTATTATATATATATGAAGTGTCGCTTTCTAATATATGAGCTGCCCAGAGCCAATAAGGATGGGGCCACCAGACTGGCTTTCTAAAGGTGTCAGAAATCTAGTAAGCTCGTGGCCAACGGAGGTCACAGCACCTGACTGGTCTTAGGTGACCTCGAAAAACCTCACCGGGGTGAGGCACAAAAACTAACCCTCGAAGAGTGGACGGTAAAGGCGATGCAGTGAGCAGAAGTGGCTAAAGGGACAGTTTAAGGGTGGGGTTCCTGGGGCTCTCTGAGCTGGGTGGGCTTTTTGCAGACGTTTCGTTACCAAACTAGGTAATATGAGTGCACTGAGGATGTTCCCTAGTTGGGTCATGAAATGCCTGCAAGGAAACCACCCAGCTCAGAGAGCAGCAAGGACTCCACCGTCCTCCTCCTCCTCTCTGCAAACCCTTCTCCCTTCTAGCACTGAAGATGTTGCCTAGTTGGGTCATGAAACGTCTGCAAGGAAACAAACTCAGAGATCACCAAAAATCCCTCCTACTCCTTTTTTTTCCCTCTTCCTCCCTTTCTCTGCAAACCCTTCTCCCTTCTAGCACTGAAGATGTTGCCTAGTTGGGTCATGAAACGTCTGCAAGGAAACCATCAAGCTCACAGAGCACCCAGGATCCCACAGTCCTTCCTTCCTCCTCCTCCTCCCGCTTCTCCTCCTCCTCCCCCTCCTCCTCCTTTAGCATTGATGAGGTTCCCTAGTTGGGTCATGAAACGTCTGCAAGGAACTCCCTCCAGTTCTAAGCACACCAAGGACCCCACAGTTCAGCCCCGTAGTAGCGCTCGACTTACAAGAGTTCATTTAGGGACTGGTCGACGTTACGCCGCCACTGAAAAACATGACTTAGGATCATTTTTCGCACTTACGACCGTTGCAGCATCCCCCATGGTCACGGGATCAAATTCCAGACGCTCGGAAATTCTGGGGCTCAATGGTGGCCATTAGTCGGGGCTACCTGCACAAATATTCTCTTCTATCGGTGCCAAAGTCTCCTGGCCGGCTTTCGTGGCTCAGGCGGGACTCGAACTCACCGTCTCCTGGCTTCTAGGCCAGCACTTGAACCACTAGGCCAGAGTTCCCCAACCTTTTGGGCATCAGGGACCGGTTCCATGGAGCGAGGTTTTTCCACAGACCGGAGGGGGCGTGGTTGTGTGTGCTGCCTGCATCCCACGGATGGGGCTTTGCTTGCTTGTGCGGACCGGTACCAATCCACACACCGGGAGTTGGGGACCCCTGGACGAGGCCAAACTGGCTCCCATCTTAACCTCTCCTGGCAGCCTTTCCGGGTCCCATCTAATCCGCCTCTTGGGATAAAGGGACCACGAAGCCCGCGATCCCCCCCCGCCCTCTGGCCACGGCCCAGAGCCTCCCTCCCTCCTGGCGCTCACCCGGTGCCCTCGGGGCCTGGCCAGCCTCTCTGGCCCTTGCGGCTGGCGGTGGAGACCCAGTGGGCAGGGCAGGGGCTCGCTTGCGGGCAGAGGCTGCCGCCTTGAGGACCAGCTGGGCTGGGCGACTCAGGCCAGCCGGTCCGAGCCCTTTGCCGAGCAGGGTGGAGTCCAGCCTCTGCAGCTGGTTCTTCAGCACCGTCTCCTCCTCGGGGCTGCACCTGGAGGAAAAAAAGCAGCAGATCCTAGTTGAATGTTGGGCTGGGTTCTTCTGCACACCCAGCGGGGGAAGCGCCAGGATTTCGGGGCGCTGACGAAGGGACAGTTTCACCCCTTCGTGACAGAGAAGATGCCCGTGAGAACCTGGTCTTTCCTGCTCTTAACGTCTGAATCAGGTGGGTTTTGATAGTTTTAACGTTATTAATGTTTCAAATAAATAAATGACCGCCAAGGAGCCAGAGCTGCTCACGGCAAAGCTGGGTACTTACGTTGGTCCTGCTGCGGAAAGACTCCCGCCAAAAGCTCCACTGGAGACCCCTGGCTTGGGGGAAGACCCCGGAGAAGCCTAGGAGAGATACAGAGGAAGGAATTAATTCGGAGGAGGCAGGCCTTGAAATGAAGGCAAAGAACAAGGACTGAATCTCCTTGTTCATTATTCATTCATGGGCAATAGTCCTCGGCTTACGACCACAATTGAATCCAACATTTCTGTTGCTAAGCAAGACATCTATGTCAGGGGTGGGCAACCTTGGCCCTTTTATGATTTGTGGACTTCAACTCCCAGAATTCCTCAGCCAGCATGAGGGAACTATGGGCCCTTTATGACTTTGGACTTCAAGTCCCAGAATTCCTGAGCCAGCAGGGGGGAACTATGGCCCCTTCATGACTAGTGGACTTCAACTCCCAGAATTCCTGAGCCAGCATGAGGGAAAATTTAGCCCCTTCATGACTCATGGACTTCAACTCCCAGAATTCCTGAGCCAACACGGGGGAACTATGGCCCCTTCATGACTAGTGGACTTCAACTCCCAGAATTCCTGAGCCAGCCTGGCTCAGCTGGGAAACCTCTCCCTTTCCCCTCAGCACGGCTGGTTGAGGAATTCTGGGAGTTGAAGTCCACCAGTCATAAAAGGGCCAAGGTTCCCCACCCCTGGTCTATGTGAATCTTCCCCCTTTTTACAACTTTTCCTGCCACTGCTAAGCGAATCACTGCAGTTGAGTAGTAACACGGTCGTTAAGCAAATCTGGCTTCTCCCCATTGACTTTGCTGGTCAGAAGGCCGCAAAAGTGGATCGCGTGACTCCCCCACCCGGACACGGCGATCGTCATAAATATAAGTCAGTTGCTGAGTATCCAAATTTTGATCACATGACCCCGGGGAGGCTGCAGCGGTCGTAAGTGTGAAAAATGGTCATAAGTCACTCTTTTTCAGTGCCGTCGTAACTTCGAACGGTCACTAAATGAACTGTACAGAAAAATCCTCAAATTTACAACCGGGGGATGGGAGATGGCTGGAGAATTCTGGGACTTGAAGTCCACAAGTCTGAAAGTTACCTTTACCTTTAAAGCCCTATATGGCTCAGGGCCAGGCTATTTGCGAGACCGCCTACTACCTCATAGTTCCCTTCGTCCGGTTAGATGCCACAGGCTGGGCCTCCTTCGGGTCCCGTCGGCAAGCAGTGCCATTTGGCGGGGCCGCGGAGGAGGGCCTTCTCTGTGATGGCGCCCACGTCTTGGAACCAGCTCCCCCCAGAGATTAGGACCGCTCCCACCCTGTTGGTTTTCCGCAAGCTGGTTAAGACCTGGCTTTTCCGGCAGGCCTGGGGTTTATAAAACCTGACCCCTGGATGAATGTTATTGTATTGTTTGTTTTTGTCATGTTATATGGTGTTTTTTATTGTTAGCCGCCTGGAGTCCTGCGGGAGTGGGGCGGTTTATAAATTTTAAAAATAAATAAAAATAAATAAATAAAAGTTGCCCGCGAGGGACACCCCCCGATGGAGCTGCCCCCCCTGAACCCGGGCAAAGCCGTACCTGACAAGGGGAGGGGGCTGCTGGCTCCCCTGGGCTCCCCTCCGTATCCTGCGGGGTGCGGATGCGAAGGAAGGCGAGGCCAAACTGGGCGTGCCTGTTGAAGGGCTGGCTGCAGGTGACCCGCACCCGGTCCCACTTCTCCGCCAGAGCCGAAGGCAGCAGGTCCCCTGCGCGACACAACAAAGTCGACTCTCACAAGCCCAGCTCCAAAACCTGGGCTGGAAGGGGCCTGGGAGGTCCTCTAGTCCAGCCCCCGGCCCATGGCAGGCCAGCGACCGCCTCTCTTTTACCTTCTTTAAACATCCGGACCCCGGAGCGGTTACGGTCCAGCTTGGCATCCGCTGGCATCATCAAGGTGGCGGTGGGCAGCAGCGTGAGATAATCGCGGCCTGGGGGCCAGGAGGAGCGGCCCACCTCGATCTGGAGGAAAGCGGAGCCCGAGTTCCCTGGGGGGGGGGCAAGACAGGCCAGCCTCTTACTCTCCAAGGGAAGCCCCCTCCGGCCCCCCACCAGAAAGCCCCCCCCTCGCTTCCGCTGGGCCCGGGTTACGGCACACGGCCAGGCAGGCGAGTGTTTAGGAGAGTCTAAATCACTACGAACTGGATCCTCACAGCTTTTTACGTATGTCTTTTGGCTTTTGATATAGTTTGCTTTTAAGATTATAAGTAAGATGGTCAGCCAGTAAATTTCACAAATAAGTAAAATAAACTGGGCCCGATTCTTAGCTGGTCTCTCTCCCTCCAGGCTCTGGAACACAAATCTTTTAACCCCCCCCCCAAAGCATTTCAGACCCCACTCATCCCCCCCCCGTCCCGGGCTTACCTACATCGATGTAGCCAATGCAACCGGCCTGCTCCAGCTGCAACTCGGCCCTCAGCTGCCGGCTGTGATCTGAGGGGCAGCAGAGCCAGGGCTGAAGCCTCTCTTCCAGCAGTAGGTTCTCCACGGGATACTTCGGGTCCTGGCCCAGAAAAGGGGGGATCAGAGGAAAGCATTTAATTAAGGTTTAACGTTGATACTCAAGATGTGTCAGGGGCAAGGAAGCTCTTAGTCCAGGGATAGGCCACCATGGCTCTTTTATGACTGGTGGACTTGAACTCCCAGAATTCCTGAGCCAGCCATGCTGAGGGGAAAGGGAGTGGTTTCCAAGCTGAGCCACGCTGGCTCAGGAATTCTGGGGGTTGAAGTTCCCAAGTCATGAAGGGGCCATAGTTTCCCCCGTGCTGGCTGAGGAATTCTGGGAGTTGAAGTCCAGGAGTCATAAAAGAGCCAAGGTTGCCTACCTGTCTTAGTCAAATAGGGCCCAGGCTCCAATAAGGCTCCGAGGCAGGAAGATCACTTAATTGCAATTTATGCAGAATGTTCTGATCAAAGAGGATTCACTCTCATTTAAAATCCTTAGCTTACATTTTCCCTTTTATAGTTCTCCCATCAAAGAAAATGGTGAAGTTGATTGGACAGGATAAAAGCAATCCCTGCTTTGCATAGTAAACGAGCTACACGTAAGAGAAACATGTTACATGTGTCTCCATTTAATTGAGGTCTGGTGAAAGAGGGGCATAAAATTTAAGGTGTTAATGTGGGAATAAAGTCATAAGGTTGTCTGGGGGGGGATTCACCAGGAGACAAGCCAGGTACCAATTAGTGCTAACAAGCTTTCTCTCATCAGAAGACAAACTCCAGACATCCCAAAAAAACAGTTTTTTTCTTTTCCATTTAGGAATGTCAGAAGTTCATCAATCAATCTATGCAGCCATTTTCTACATCCTCCTCTGCAACGGTTTGACAAACCTGCATCCTCATTTTAAAAGAGAAAAATAAACCCAATTTGAGATGCAAAGTAGCCACGTTAGTTAGCAAGTTTAACCATACAGGGAGTCCTCAATTTACAACAGTCCATTTAGTGACCGTTCAAAGTTACAAGAGCACTGGGAAAAAGCGAGTTATGACCTTTTTTCAGCCCTACGACCATCGTAGTACCTCCACGGTCACATGATCGAACTTGCTTGGCAACTGACTCGTATTTATGACGGTTGCTGTGTCACGTGATCCCCTTTTGTGACCATCTGTCAAGCAAAGATCGGGGGTCTTCCAACTTGGCCCTTTGATGACTTGTGGACTTCAACTCCCAGAATTCCTCAGCCAGCGTGCCTAGCTGAGGAATTCTGGGAGTTGACGTCCACAAGTCATCAAAGGGCCAAGTTGGAAGACCTCTGAGCAAAGTCAATGAGGAAGCTGGGTTCACTTAACAACTGCAATGATTCGCTTAACAATTCTGGCAAGAAAGGTCGTAAAGTGGGGCAAACTTCACTTAACAACCGTCTCACTGAGCAATAGAGATTTTGGGCTCAGTTGTGGTCGTAAGCTGAGGACGAGCTGAACTACAAAGCCCATGTTGCGTGGCCCACAAACCCGAACCACTGAGCCGATCTCTGTATTACAGACAGTCCTCGACTTACGGCCATTCACTTAGCCGCTCCCCCACCCCGATTTCCCCCTTAAGGGATGGCCGGGGGGATCTCGGGGACCCTCGCCCCAGGGCTGTCAGGGCCGGTCCGCCCTTCCCATTCAGCGCTACAAGGCTCCCATGAGACGCGTGTCGTGTCCCGGAGCAGACGCGTGTCGGGTTCGGCCGCATCCCGACGACCAAGCCACTCCCCCGAGGCCTCCCCGCCCCGGACCGGAGGCCGCGTCACCTGCGAGGAGAAGGAGACCACGCAGCGGATCTTCAGCGGCGCCATCGGACTACAACACCCATCGCCCCCAGCCGCGGCTTCGCTTTTCCCGCCAACCCCGACCTGGCCCCTCCCCCCGCTCCGGATAGGCCGGCGCTCCGCTCGCGCTCTGACGTCTTCGGCCCCGCCCGCCAATAGATCAGCCCCGCTCGAGGCCGCCGGGAATGCCGGGAGGCGTAGTTCTCTCCGTTCACCCCGGGGAGTGTCTCCCAATATCTCTTCCCTGGAAGCGGCGTCGAAAGCCGCCTCTCCCTCCGGAGCCCGGATCCGCCGGGTCTCGGCACATTCTCCGACAACCCCCGCTCAGGCCTCGCTCCGCGGCCCGCCTCCCCCGCGTCTTTGCAATGGTTCCGATCGAAGGGGAGTGCGGCACTTGCTCGACGCTCCCTGACAACCGCCCGCCCCCCGCCGCCGCCTCTGGAGGGCACGATTGGCCGAGCGGGATCCGAGGGCGGTGATTGGCGGGCGTCGGCGGAAGCGAGCTGGCGGCGAGGCGGGGGCAAGATGGCGGTGGTGGAAGTGGAGGTGTTGGGGGCGCCGCTGGAGCCCGGCGCCGACGAGGTGGGTCGCCGGCGGGGGTCGGTCGGGGAGACGGGAGAGGGGAGAGGAGGAGCGGGAAGAGGGCCGGTCCCCTTTCTCAACAGCCCTGCAGGGCAGGCCTCCCGCCGAGCCCGGCCTCCGGTCAGCTGGCTAGAGCCTCCAGCGCCAGGGACAGTCTACCTGGGAGCCAGCCAACGAGCCGCTCTGAGGGGCTTCCCCCGAAAAAGACCCCGCCAAGCACCCCTGGAAAAGTCCCTTGGGGTCTCTGGAGCCTGTCTCTGATGACTGGTCGCAAGCGGGACTTCGCTGGGCTCTTGTGGCGGGGAGTTCCACGGTCCTGCCAAGGGACGATGCCGCCAAGAGTCTAATACAGCGTCTCTCAAGCTTGACAGCTTGAAGAGGGCTGGATTTCAACTCCCAGCGTTCCCAACAAAGTTGTCCAAATCCTCCCAAGACCTCCTGGGCTCTTGTGGCGGGGAGTTCCGCGGTCCCTGCCAAGAGACGATGCCGCCAAGGGCCTAATGCAGCATCTCTCAAGCTTGACAGCTTGAAGAGGGCTGGACTTCAACTCCCAGCGTTCCCCAGCCAGCAAAGCTGTCCAAATCGGGACTTAGCTGGGCTCTTGTGGCGGGGAGTTCCACAGTCCCTGCCAAGGGACGATGCCGCCAAGAGTCTAATACAGCGTCTCTCAAGCTTGACAGCTTGAAGAAGGCTGGATTTCAACTCCCAGCGTTCCCAACAAAGTTGTCCAAGACCTCCTGGGCTCTTGTGGCGGTGAGTTCCGCGGTCCCTGCCAAGAGATGATGCCGCCAAGGGCCTAATACAGCATCTCTCAAGCTTGACAGCTTGAAGAGGGCTGGACTTCAACTCCCAGCGTTCCCCAGCCAGCAAAGCTGTCCAAATCGGGACTTAGCTGGGCTCTTGTGGCGGGGAGTTCCACCGTCCCTGCCAAAGCGGTCTAATGCAATGTCACGCTTGAGAAAAACCATCCTGCTACGATTCTCACTGCACATTCCCGTCTGTTGGCAGCCCTTCCTTTGCTCCCAGGCGTGAGTTCATTTCCCAGCCTGACCTGGAGCTGCGATTCAGGCAGGGGCTCAACCGGGGAAAGAGGCTCTACCTGCCTGACTTCTCCCTTCCCTTCTTAGGCCGCCCAGAGTCACCTGTCGGGGCAATGGGCAGCCTATAAATTGAATAATAAAGGTAAAGAAATTGAAACTTCGCCCTGGAGCTTCCCGTTGGGTCCCCAAGGCCCATGGAGGGCGACGCTGGTTTAAAAGAAGTGACGGGGATGACGGACATTGAGCGAGTCTTAATATTGTGTGTGTGTGTGTGTGTGTGTGTGTGTTTGTGTGTTTATATCAGCCATGCTGTTTGACTTACGACCACAATTAAGCTCAAACGTTCTATTGCTAAGCGAGTCGGTTAAGCAACCTTTGCCCCCTTTTTAACGGCATTCCTTGCTCCGGTTGTTAAGTGAATCACTGCGGTGGTTAAGTTACCTACACGGTCGTTAAATGGATCTGGCTCCCCCATTGACTTTGCTCGTCGGAAGGTCTTAACTTCGTTGTTACACAACGGCAACAAAGATATTCTGTTCTAAGGTGGGAAAAGGGGATCACGTGACCCTGGGACGCTGCGACCGTCATAAATATGAGTCGGTGGCCCAGCTTCTGAATTTTGATCACGTGGCCGCAGGGAGGCTGCGATGGTCACAAGTGTGAAAAACGGTCCTGCAGTGCCTTTGTAGCTTTGAACGGTCACTTAAATGGACCGTTGTTAGGTGAGGACTATCTGTAATGTATTGCTTGTGTTTATTTCTCACTGTTGTGACTCCAGACAGCTTAGAAAGAAAAACAGAAGGTGAGGCAAAAGCTGTCGCCAAAACGTTAAATCATTTGAAAACATAAAACTGTGAAATAATGAAAACATAACCCGCGGGAGAGTTCTAGGCTATTCTAGAACATTCTATCAGTTGTCTCACCTGTCCCAAGAAGCCAGTCCAGTCCTCCACAACACGGGCAGTCCTCAGCATATGATCACAATGGAGACTAGAATTTCTGTTGCTAAGCGAGACGGTCATTAAGCAGGTCCTGCTTCCTTTGGTTGTCAGAAGCCGGCCTGCAAGATGACCAATGGCTGTCATAAATACACGCCAGTTGCCAGGCGTCCAGATTTTGCCCACATGACTCTACGGATGCCGTGACGGTCGTAAGCATGAGGATCAGTTGTCAGTCACTTTTACAGTGACGTTGTGAGTTTGAACAGTTGCTAAATTAACTATTTTAAGTCGAGGACATCTTGTGGGGTTCTAAGCACAATTAGCTATCCTGATTATATATGTATGTATGTATATGTTTGTTTATTAAGCTTGTAATCTGCCCATCTTGCCTAATCAGGGAGAAGAAGGAAGCGATGGAAGGTGAGGTTAGATGGGTGAAATAATGGGAGCACAGGGGTCCTGCTGTGGGGGGGGGGGCAACTCTGACAACTTTATGACCTGTGAATTTTGGATTTCAACTCCCAGAATTCCTGAGTCAGCCATGATAGCACCTTCCAATAATGTCACAGGGAAGTTTTATTCTCCAAAGCGCCTGAAGGCAGGACAAGAAGTAACAGGTGGAAACTAACCAAGGAGAGAAGCAACCCGGAAACTAAGGAGAAACTTCCTGATAGTGAGAAGAATCAACCAGTGGAACAGCTTGCCACCAGAAGTGGTGAGTGCTCCATCACTGGAGGTTTTTAACAAGAAATTGGACAGCCACCTGTCTGAAATGGTGTATGGTCTTCTGCTGTGAGTAGGGGGTTGGACTAGAAGACCTCTAAGGTCCCTTCCAGCCCTGTGTTCTGGGTTCCAAACACCTGTGGAAACTCTTGGTCTGTTAAGTGGAGAAAATGGTGAAAGCCAGTTATTGTGTGGCAATAATTGTGAGGGTTTTTCCTGGCCCCTCATCCTGCCTCTAGGACAGTGGTTCTCAACCTTTTTAATGCCGAGACCCCCCCCCCAACCGGTCGTAAGTCGAGGACTACTCAACTGGTCGTAAGTCGAGGACTACTCAACTTTTGCAGAATGGGACTTTTGGCGGGCTCAGCAGGGCAGAGACAGCCTGGACAATTCCTATTGGCTTTTGAGAGCCAATAGAATTAGACTCTATTCAAGAGACTCTATTCTATTGGCTTTCAAAAGCCAATAGAATAAAAGGGAGGAGCACAGCTAAGGAAAAGGGGGGAAAAAATGGCGGACTGCGTTGTTTGGCGACCCCCGTGAAATGGTCGTTCGACCCCAAATGGGGTCCTGACCCACAGGTTGAGAACCACTGGTCTAGGAGGAGGAGGAGGAGGAGGAGCTGTTCCACTCCGATCACCAGAACCTCCTCAGCCAGTGGCTGAGGTGTGCTTTACACACCTTTGTAATCTTCTGAAGGGTGACTCACCTGCATTTAGTAGCGCTGCTCTCCTGTTAGAGCAGGGGTTCTCAACCTTGGCAACTTTAAGACTTGTAGACTTCAATTCCCAGAATTCCTCAGCCAGCAAAGCTGGCTGAGGAATTCTGGGAGTTGAAGTCCACAAGTTTTAAAGTTGCCAAGGTTGAGAACCCCTGTTTTAGAGGGGTGCTGGTGAAATCCTCCACCTAGCAATTGCAGTCCCCTCAGAGAGATGCAAAATGATTTCTTTCTAATAGAATTATAGAACAACACCGTTGTGAGAGGGACCTTGGAGGTCCACTAGTCCAACCCCTTGCTCAAGAAGACCCTATATATCATTTCAGACAAGCAGCTGTCCAATCCCTTCTCAAAAACCTCCAGTGACAGCCAGGGATGTTTTCATTCACTGGGTCAACAGCTAAACTAAGAGTGGATCAGCTGATGTGAATAAAACAAAGCTTGATTTGTGACTCCACACCACACCAAAGAGATGCGAAAGCAGGCGGCTCGCTCGTCCTTTTTGTGTTGGCAACAACCTTTGCACTATGCCTCACCAGCTGTTGGGAAGGACTGAGCAAGTGTAGCTGGGGCTTATCTCTTGAGTAGCTAACAGCTGGAGGTCACAGAGGCTTGCGCCAAGGATATTTTTGCAAGGATATTTTTTTTCCAGTTTGAACTGGGGACTCGTTAACAAACGGACTTCCGTGAGGCAGTTGGTGCCCTCTGAACTGGGCGGTTTTCTTCCAGATACTTCACTACTCAGCTAGGTAACATCCTCAGTGCTAGAAGGGAGTGGGGTTGGCAGAGAGAGAAGAAGGAGAGCTGGGGGGGGGTCCTTAATGCTCCCTGCACTTGGTTGTTTTCTTGCAGATGTCTCAAAGCCAACCCAGTGCTAGGCTGCATTAACAGAGGGATAGAATCAAGATCAGGTGAAGTGTTAATACCACTCTACAAGGCCTTGGTAAGGCCACACTTGGAATACGGCATCCAGTTTTGGTCACCGCAATGTCAAAAAGATGTTGAGGCTCTGGAAAGAGTGCAGAGAAGAGCAACAAAGATGATCAGGGGACTGGAGGCTAAAACATATAAGGAACGGCTGCTGGAATTGGGTATGTCTAGTTTAATGAAGAGAAGGACGAGGGGGGACAGGATAGCAGCCTTCCAGTATCTCAGGGGCTGCCCCAAAGAAGAGGGAGTCAAGCTATTCTCCAAAGCGCCTAAAGGCAGGACAAGAAGCAACGGATGGAAACTCATCAAGGAGAGAAGCAACCTAGAACTAAGGAGAAACTTCCTTACAGTGAGAACAATTAACCAGTGGAACCACCTGCCTCCAGAAGCGGTGAATGCTCCAACACTGGAAGTTTTTAAGAAGAGACTGGACAGCCATTTTTCCGAAATGGTATAGGGTTACCTGCCTGAGCAGGGGATTGGACTTGATGACCTCCAAGGTCCCTTCCAACATTATTATTATTATTATTATCATCATCATCATCATAATCATCATTATCATCATCATCATCATCATCATCATCACCCAACTAGGGAACATCCCCCAGCACTGAGGAGGTTACCTAGTTGGGTCATGAAAATTCCATAAGAAAACCACCAAGTTCAGAGAGCACCAAGCACCAGTCTTCGTCGGTCTCCTCCTCCTCCTCCTCTCCACAAACCCCTCTCCCTTCTAGCACTGATGAGGTTATCTAGCTGGGTCATGAAACATCTGCAAGAAAACAGCCCAGCTCCGTGAGAGCAATCACAGAACTCAGTTTGTTACCCCAGTTCGAACTGGGGAAAAAAAGAAGTTATCTCCCACAGTTCCACCACAGACTCCATTCAGCCACCTCATTCTCTGTCGTCCCCTTCTTCTCTTGCCCTCCATCTTTCCCAGCATCTGTCTCTTCTCCAGGGAGTCCTTCCTTCTCATTAGTGGCCAAAGGAGTTGAGTTTCCACTTCAGGATCTGGCCTTCTAAAGAGCAGTCGGGGTTGATCTCCTCTGGGACTGACTGGTTGGATCACCTTGCAGTCCAGGAGACTTGCAGGAGTCTTCTCCAGCACCTTAAATCAAAGGCCTCCATTCTTTGGCGCTCGGCCTTTCTTATGCAATTGTTAGCCTCACAAATTGGGGAGTGTGGAGGAAGCCCTGGCAGGTCCGAGCCTTTGGCTCCCGTAATCTTCAAGGTAGAGAGAGCAGCAGAAACACCTGGGCTGCCCTAACAGGTTTCCCAAAAGGTGTTGTATTAAAAAGGAGTCTATTTATTCCAGAGGTTAACCGTTGGCCCTTCACAATATTAAGATGTGAAACGTCATTCTGTCCATGATCCTGGACATCTGTCTGCTGGCCATCTGCTCTGTGTGTATTAGGATAGTTGTAAACTGCCCTCAGCTACTTGTGGGACAGCGGGCAAGCATCGTTGGCCTTTGAGTGAAACGCTGACCGGTCTTCTGCAGAGGAGAGAGAGAAGGCCTGACCAGGGTCTTGGGGGGGGGGGGCTTAGCGTCTTCCGTCTTCTGACCTGCACTGCGCTTGACGTGCTGTCAAGGGCCAGAAAGAAAAGTCCGGTGGGGCTCAGGACAAGGAGAGCTGGCTGGTGGCTGGTCCCTGCGGAGGCCAGCAATGCCACGTCACAATGCGGGTGGAATGTCTGCGCTCGGGAAGTTCTCGGAGGGATTTGAAGATTGCTCAGCGCTTCACTCAGAGGAGAGCCAAGGCATGTCCTGAGTGGCTGCAATGGCCGCCTTGCAGGTGAGCGGGGGGGGGCGTTCACAGCTATCCTAAGATCCACAGCACCCCCATTAAGCCCCCCCCTCCAGGCATATCTGAGTCTGTGAATATAACCCTGGTTGGTAATTTATTTATTTATTTATTTATTTTCAAATATTTATATGCCGCCCAATCCCAAAGGACTCAGGGCGGCGTACAGAGTTAAAACAATCATAAAACAATAAAATAATGCAGTCATACCGCGAGTCCGATCATATCCCGGCCTCCCCGGGGACATCAGCCCCAGGCCTGCCGGAACAGGAGAGTTTTAACGGCTTTCTTGAAGGCCGGCAGGGTGGGAGTAGTTCGAACCTCGGGGGGAAGTTGATGCCACCACAGAAAAGGCCCTTCCCCGAGGGCCCGCCAGCCGACATTGTCTGGCCGACGGGACCTGAAGGAGGCCCAATCTGTGGGACCTCACCGGTCTCTGGGAACTGCGGCAGTATGCGGTCCTGTAAGTAACCTGGCCCTATGCCATGAAGGGCTTTAAAGGTGATAACCAACACCTTGAATTGCGTCCGGAGACCCACAGGAAGCCAGTGCAGCTCGTGGAGGATAGGTGACACGTGGGCGTCGCACGTTTGTCGCACTTTTCCATTTCTGGATGCTGGTGGAGGCAAAGGGGGTTTGGAGAGCCCCTCTGCTTGAGACTGCGGGACCTTCCCCCTGGGGCCCTCCCTTGTCTGCAGCCCCTCTCTCTTGTTCTCTGCAGGTTGACCTGTCGCACCTGGACCCCGATGAGAGATGGAGGTGAGTGCAAGGCTGCCTGGCGACCTTGAGGGCGCCTCTCTCTGTGGGCAGCTGCCCCCCCCCAGTGGGGAAGCAGGAGGCGAGCGACCTCATCATGCAAGACCCACCTCCAGCCGATAGGTTTACTTACGGGGCTGGGATAGATGGCCTTGTGGGTGCCCCCACCCGGTGCTGGGGCTACTCAGCTTGTTGATTCTTGGGCCTTCCACTCCCTGCTTTTTGGACTCAAGGAAGATGGGCCAATGTCGTTTGCGTCCCAGAGTGTGTGTCTTCCTTCCTTCCTTCCTTCCTTCCTTCCTTCCTTCCTTCCTTCCTTCCTTCCTTCCCTCCCTCCCTCCCTCCCTCCCTCCCTCCCTCCCTCCCTCCCTGGCAGGGAAGGGGTGATACTGGCTTTTCCTGATTGTCTCTTTATTCCTTTAAAACCAGACCCTTTCCCCATGACAGCCATCCTATGCCAAAACCCAGAAAAACTATAACACCCCAATTTTCTGTCCCCCCCCCCAAATGCCAAGCTTTAGCTTCCCGGAAGCCTCCCACCTACCATGATGAAAAAGCACGATGATGCAGAAGAACCCACCATGTCTTCATCAAGACCATTTCCTGCTTATCTGCATCACATTAAACTAGGTCAGGGGTAGGCAACTTCGGCTCTTTTATGACTCCTGGACTTCAACTCCCAGAATTCCTGAGCCAGCATGGGGGAACTTTGGCCCCTTCATGACTCGTGGACTTCAACTCCCAGAATTCCTGAGCCAGCATGGGGGAACTTTGGCCCCTTCGTGACTCGTGGACTTCAATTCCCAGAATTCCTGAGCCAGCAGGGGGAACTATGGCCCCTTCATGACTCGTGGACTTCAACTCCCAGAATTCCTCAGCCAGCATGAGGGAACTATGGCCCCTTCATGACTCGTGGACTTCAACTCCCAGAATTCCTGAGCCAGCATGGGGGAACTATGTCCCCTTCATGACTCGGGGACTCCAACTCCCAGAATTCCTGAGCCAGCCTGGCTCAGCTTGGAAGCCTCTCCCTTTCCCCTCAGCATGGCTGGCTCAGGAATTCTGGGAGTTGAAGTCCACGAGTCATGAAGGGGCCAAGGTGGCCCACCCCTGGCCTAGGTTGAAGACAGGGTGGAGAGCGAGAGCTCCATCAAGCACCCTTGGGCTTCCTCCTATCTGTAAACATGTTTATGATTGTGATCACAAGAACAGATGCACAGAAAAGAAGTTCACACGCCATCACGGAGGCTGTGCAAAATCCCCCAGGAAGCCCCCCCCCCAATGGTTGAGGCTGGGTCTCCCCAGGCCGGCTCTTTCCGTGGTCAGCCCCAGCCCAGGTTGTGCCACGTCTTGGCCTCTTGCCACCGGAGGGGAACCCTCCTTTCATAAGAACAGGACTCTGGGCTTCCCAGAACGTGTGGGTCAAATTAAGCTAGAGGTTTCTCCTGGTGCTCTAGTCTTCAACTCCCAGAATTCCCCAGCCGGTTTGAGAACGTGCAGAGAAGATGGGAAGTCACCCTATCTCGGTCCAAAGCGCCTTAGGAACCAGCTGTCTGTCTGTCTTTCTTTCTTTCCTTCCTTCCTTCCTTCCTTCCTTCCTTCCTTCCTTCCTTCCTTCCTTCCTTCCTTCTTTTTTCTTTGTTTCTTTTTTCTTTCCTTCCTTCCCTCCTTCCTTCTTTTTTTCTTCCTTTTTCCTGCCTTCTTTTTTCTTCCTTCCTTCCTTCCTTTTTTCTTTCTTTGTTTCTTTTTTCTTTCCTTCCTTCCCTCCTTCCTTCTTTTTTTCTTCCTTCTTTCCTGTCTTCTTTTTTTCTTCTTTCCTTCCTTCCTTCCTTCCTTCCTTCCTTCTTTTTTCTTTCTTTGTTTCTTTTTTCTTTCCTTCCTTTTTTCTTCCTTCCTTCCTTCCTTCTTTCCTGCCTGCTTTCTTTCTTTCTTTCTTTCTTTCTTTCTTTCTTTCTTTCTTTCTTTTTCTTTCTCTTTCTCTTTTCCTTCTTTTCCTTTTCTTTCCTCTTTCTTTCATCCTTTCTCTCTTTCTCTTTCTCTTTCTGTCTCTCTCTTTCTCCTCTCTCTCTCTCTTTATCTCTCTCTCTCAGTCGTCCTTCTTCCTCAGAGAGGGACTCTGGGTGGTGGGCAATGTAATCAACATCTCAAACAGTCTATCTGAACAGTTGCCAGGGGCTGTTGTGCAAGAGGCTGACCTGCCCGGCTCTCCTTTCAGGATCGAGCACGCCCGGATGCACGCCAAGCACCGGGGCCACGAGGCCATGCACGCCGAGATGGTCCTCATCTTGATTGCCACATTGGTCGTCGCCCAGCTGCTCCTGGTACAGTGGAAACAGAGGCACCCTCGCTCCTACAACGTAAGGCAGCTCCTCAGCCTTCCCATCAAGGAGAATCTCTGTGGCTCAGGGGCCTGGGGGTTTCCTTGCAGACGTTTCATGACCCAACTAGGGAACCTCATCAGCGTTAAAGGGGAGGAGGAGGAAGGAAGGAAGGAAGGAAGGAAGGAAGGAAGGAAGGAAGGAAGGAAGGAAGGAAGGAAGGAAGGAAGGAAGGAAGGAAGGAAGGAAGGTGGGGCTCTTGGTGCTCTCTGAGCTGGGTGGTTTTCTTGCAGACATTTCATGACCCAACTAGGTAACATCATCAGTGTTAGAAGGGTGGAGGAGGAGGAGAAGGAAGGAAGGAAGGAAGGAAGGAAGGAAGGAAGGAAGGAAGGAAGGAAGGAAGGAAGGAAGGAAGGAAGGACGAACTGTGGGGTCCTTCTTGCAGACATTTCATGACCCAACTAGGGAACATCATCAGTGCTAGAAGAGAGGAGGAGAAGGAGAAGGAAGGAAGGACAGACTGTGGGGTCCTTCGTGCTCTCTGAGCTGGGTGGTTTTCTTGCAGATGTTTCATGACCCAACTAGGGAACAACATCAGTGCTAAATGGGAGGGGGAGTGTCTCTGCAAGCAAGCTATCTGGATATAAACAGAGTGCAAACCCTACTTCATTCTAGCGCTGATAACGTTCCCTAGGTGGGTCATGAAACGTCTGCAAGAAAACAACTCAGCTCCGAGAGCACCCAGGACCCCACAGTCCTAATCTCCTCCTCCTCCTCCTCACGTCTACAAGGAAACCACCAAAGTCAGAGACCCCCGGGGACCCCACAGAGGGCCCTCTGCCAATAATGCTTTCATTTGGATCCTTGCTGAATCAACCTTGGCCTAAACAATATGTGGCCCATCCAGTCTGAAAAGTAGTCTGATGCTGGGCCACAATGCTTTGCCCACTGCTTGGGAAGGGTTAATTTCCAGATCCTTTACTAGAATTCCTTAGGGCAGGAGTAGGCAACCTTGGCTCTTTTATGACTCATGGACTTCAACTCCCAGAATTCCTGAGCCAGCATGGGGGAACTATGGCCCCCTCATGACTCCTGGACTTCAACTCCCAGAATTCCTCATCCAGCATGGGGGAACTATGGCCCCTTCATGACTGGTGGACTTCAACTCCCAGAATTCCTGAGCCAGCATGGGGGAACTATGGCCCCTTCATGACTCCTGGACTTCAACTCCCAGAATTCCTCAGCCATCATGGGGGAACTATGGCCCCTTCATGACTCGGGGACTCCAACTCCCAGAATTCCTGACCAGCCTGGCTCAGCTTGGCAACCTCTCCCTTTCCCCTCAGCATGGCTGGCTCAGGAATTATGGGAGTTGAAGTCCACCAGTCATAAAAGAGCCACGGTTGCCTACCCCTGCCTTAGGGATTGTCTGAACCGTCTAGGAAATCGTGCAAAGGGGGATTCCCATCGAGAGGCAGCTCTCCAGGGGGATTTTGGGCTGCCCCCTCCCAAGCCCCCTCCCCTCTCGTTGCAGATGGTGACCCTCTTCCAGATGTGGGTCGTCCCCCTCTACTTCACCGTGAAGCTGCACTGGTGGCGGTTCCTGGGCATCTGGGTCGTCTTTTCGGCCATCACGGCTTTCGTCACCTTCCGGGCCACTCGGAAGCCCCTCGTCCAGACCACCCCCAGGTGAGCCAGCGGGGCCTGTGGAGGGAGGCCGCTCGTCTCCTGCAGGGGGCGCTTTCCTCCTTGGAGGCTGGTGAGGCCGGTGTCCTCTCCCGACAGGGCCGGTTACGTCCGACCCTTCCCCTTTGGGCCTGGCCTCAGTTGGTGTTTTAAAATCGCCCTCCTTTGCTCGCTGCCCAAGCAGAGTCGGCACAAAGCAACTGAACGTTTGACGTGCTAATCCAGTGGTTCTCAACCTTTTTAATGCCGCAACCCCCAACTGGTCGTAGGTCGAGGACTACTCAACCGGTCGTAAGTCAAGGACTACTCAACTGGTGCAGCCCCGTTTGCAGAATGGGACTTTTGGTGGGCTCAGCAGGGCAGAGACAGCCTGGACAATTCCTATTGGCTTTTGAAAGCCAATAGAATTAGACTCTATTCAAGAGAGTCTCTTCTATTGGCTTTCAAAAGCCCATAGAATAAAAGGGAGGAGCACAGCTAAGGAAAAGGGGAAAAGAAAATGGCGGACTGCGTTGTTTGGCGACCCCCGTGAAATGGTCGTTCGACCCCAAATGGGGTCCCGACCCACAGGTTGAGAACCACTGTGCTAATGGAATGCAGGCCGTCCTCGGCTTATGACCAAGATTTTCCGTTGTGATTCAGGACAGTTAAGAGAAGTTTGCCCCGTTTTACAAAACTTTCCTTGCCACAGTTGTTAAATGAGTCACTGCAGTTGATAAGTTAGTAACTCGGTTGTTAAGTGAATCCGTTCCCCCCCCCCCCATTGGTTTTGCTCGTCAGAAAGTCACAAAAAGGGGATCGTGTGACCCGGGGACGCTAAGTGTGAACCCCTTGCCGAGCGCCTGAATTTTGATCCCGTGATCCTGAGGATGCTTCAAGGGTCATAACTGGAAAATGGTCATAAGACCCTTTTCAGTGCCGTCGTAACTTAGAACGGTCACTAAACGAACTGTAAATCGAGAACTACCTTGCCTGAAGGCAGGAGAAGAAGCAACGGATGGAAACTAATCAAGGAGAGAAGCAACCTGGAACCAAGGAGGCATTTCTGTCTTGTTTACCGACGGAAAATCGGGTCCCCGTTGTGTTCCCAGTTTGACAAGCTCTCCAGTCAGTGAAACCCACATATTTGTTTGTCTATTTCAGGGGTAGGCAACCTGGGCTCTTTTATGACTGGTGGACTTCAACTCCCAGAATTCCTGAGCCAACATGGGGCAACTATGGCCCCCTCATGTCTTGTGGACTTCAACTCCCAGAATTCCTGAGCCAGCCTGGCTCAGCTTGGAAACCTCTCCCTTTCCCCTCAGCATGGCTGGCTGAGGAATTCTGGGAGTTGAAGTCAGCGAGTCATGAGGGGGCCATAGTTCCCCCATGCTGGCTCAGGAATTCTGGGAGTTGAAGTCCACAAGTCATGAAGGGCCCATAGTTCCCCCATGCTGGCTTAGGAATTCTGGGAGTTGAAGTCAGCGAGTCATGAGGGGGCCATAGTTCCCCCATGCTGGCTCAGGAATTCTGGGAGTTGAAGTCCACGAGTCATAAAAGAGCCACGGTTGCCTACCCCTGGTCTATTTCATCGGATTTGGAGACTAAGATCCTGAGCTTCACATTGGGGATTAGAGTTGATTTTTAATGCCATTCTGTAACTTCAACGTTTACTGAAAAAGGGGCAGTTTTCCTTGGAATGTTTGTCTGTTTTTTAGCTGGCAAGTGGCAAACAGTGCGGGTTCCTTTCCACGGGATGTTTATATAGCTGTTTTGGGATACATTTGATTTTCAGAAGATGCCCTGGCTTTCTTTTAAAGGGGAAAGCTTTAGCCAGCGTTGAAATAACAAGGCCATTTTTAGGTAAGATAAGATAACCTTTAATGCCATTTTTTTTACTGTGGGCCCAACGGCACACATCAAAAATGAAATTGAGTTGTCCGCTTTCAAAGTGAAACACATATGTGACACACACCTAAACATACTATGAACAACATATGTATAGACCCACACCCCTCCATATACGTAGCAAATAAATATTAAATGCCGTCCATCACGGAAGGAGGAAGCTTGAGAGTTCACAAGGTTCATGCTGTGTGGAATGAAACTCTGGCTGTAGAACTTCAGAAGCAGAAACCGCGTCCTGATTGCATCCTCTGTGTCTCTGTTTTCTTTCCTGGAACTAGGCTGGTGTACAAGTGGTTTCTCCTAATATACAAAATCAGCTACGCCACAGGCATCGTGGGCTACATGGCTGTCATGTTCACACTCTTCGGACTTAACTTATTATTCAGGTGAGAAAAATCTCTCTCTCTCTCTCTCTCCTCTCTTTCTCTCTTTCTCTTCTCTCTCTCCTCTCTCTCTTCTGTCTTCTCTCTCTTTCTCTTCTCTCTCTCCTCTCTTCTCTCCCTCTCTCCTCTCTTCTATCTTCTCTCTCTCCTCTCTCTCTCTTCTGTCTTCTCTCTCTCCTCTCCCTTCTCCTCTTTCTTTTCTCTCTTCTCTCTCTCTTCTCTCCCTCTTCTCTCTCTCTCTTTCTCTTATCTCTCTCTCTCTTCTGTCTTCTCTCTCTTCTCTTCTCTCCTCTCTTCTCTCCCTCTCTTCTCTCTCTCTTCTGTCTTCTCTTTCTCCTCTCCTCTCTCCCTCTCTCTCTCCTCTCTTTCTCTCTTTTTCTTTTCTCTCTTCTCTCTCTCTCTTCTCTCTCTCTCTTCTGTCTTCTCTCTCTCCTCTCTCCTCTCTCTTCTGTCTTCTCTCTCTTTCTCTTCTTTCTCTCCTCTCTCTTCTCTCCTCTCTCTTCTCTCTCTCTTTTTCTCTTATCTCTCTCCTCTCTCTCTTCTGTCTTCTCTCTCTCCTCTCTTTCTCTTCTCTCTCTCCTCTTTTCCTTCTCTCCTCTCTTCTGTCTTCTCTCTCTTTCTCCTCTCCTCTTTCTCTTCTCTCTCTCCTCTCTTCTCTCCCTCTCTCCTCTCTTCTATCTTCTCTCTCTCCTCTCTCCTCTTCTCTCTTTCTCTCTCTCTCTCCTCTCTCTCTTCTGTTTTCTCTCTCTCTTTCTCCTCTCTCTCTCCTCTTCTGTCTCTTCTCTCCCTCTCTCCTCTCTCTCTTCTCTCTCTCCTCTCCTCTCTTCTCTCCCTACTCTCCTCTTTCTTTTCTCTCTTCTCTCTCCTCTTCTCTCTCTCTCTCTCTCTCTCTCTCTCTCTCTCTCTCTCTCACACACACACACACACACACACACACCAGACTTCAAATGTAAAAACAGTGGGGTCCTTGGTGCTCTCCGAAAACCTTGGTGGTTTTCTTGCAGACATTTCATGACCAAACTAGATACCATCATCAGTGCTAGGAGGGGGGGGAGGAGGAGAAGTCTGGAGTCCTGGGTGCTCTCTCAGCTTGATGGTTTTCTTCCTAGATGTCTCATTTCCAAACTAGGTAAAACCATCAGTGCTGGCACTAATTTAATAATTATAATTTGCACCACGAAGAGTAGGGGGCTGTCTAGAAGACCCCTGACCCTCATCAGCAAACAGCCCCAAAGGACGGCTCAGGGAAGGCAGAGATCCTTGTCGCCAACTAGCTGGAACGCCAGGCAGGGCTTCAAGGGGTCCTGGGTTCGAAGCTTCCGCATCCCTAACCCTTGAAAGCTGCATAAAGGGTTCCAAAGTCTCTTCACCCCCCCCATCCCCGGCAGAATTAAACCAGAAGACGGCATGGATTTTGGGATCTCCCTCCTGTTCTACGGCCTCTACTACGGAGTCCTGGAACGCGACTTTGCGGAAATGTGTGCGGATTACATGGCCTCCACCATCGGGGTAAGAGCCTCAAGGGGGGGTGTCTGGGCTGGGGTGCAGCTCCTTCGAGGAAGAGGGAGCGCTGGGGAGGGGGCTTGGCCTTCCCTGCCCCTCAGGACCCTCCCTTCCCTTTGCTGCGCCTGCCTTTCCCCCCAGCCAAGCTCCCCTCCTCCGCCTCGGGCCTTTGGCCCCGCCCTGCCCTCCCCTCCAGATGGGCTTGGCCTGGGACCCTCCGCCAGCTGCTTCCTGGAGGGTGAGCCCTCTTGGGGTCAGGAGGGCAAATGACTTCCTTCGACCCCCTTCTAAGGCAGCGGCCTCTCAAGCTTGGCCTCTTTAGGACGGTGGACTTCAACTCCCAGAATTCCCCAGCCAGCTATGAGGAAGAAGGAATGAAGGAAGAAGAGAAGAAAGACAGGGAGGGAGGAGAGGAAGGTGGAAGGGGGGAGCGATGGAAGAGGGGAGGGAGGGGGAAGGAAGGAAGGAAGGAAGGAAGGAAAAGCATGAGAAAGTAACGAAAAATGGAAGCAAGGAAGAAGAGAAGAAAGGGAGGAGAGGAAGGAAGGAAGGAAGGTGAAATGGGAGGGAGAGAAGGAAGGAAGGAAGGAAAGTATGAGAAGGTAGCAATAAATGGGAGCAAGGAAGAAGAGAAGAAAGACGGAGGGAGGGAGGAGAGGAAGGAAGGTGAAGGAGGGATGGAAAGAAGGAAGGGGGGAATGAAGAAAGGAAGGAAAAATGTATGAGGAAGTAATGACAAATGGAAGCAAGGAAGAAGAGAGGAAAGGGAAGGAAGGAACAGAAAGAAGAAGGAAAGGATAGGACGGGAAGGGAAGGAAGAGTTCCGCTGACTGGGGCATTCTGGGAGTTGAAGTCCACCTCTGGCCAAGCTGGAGAAACGGAGGCGCGCAGAGGGACTTTGGCCACTAGCTGGCGCTGTGGCTCTTTCCTACCGGGTGGGGCAAAGCCTGTCCCGGAGATTTGGGGGCGGGGCTTGCAGGGGCCGGGCACCCTCTCTGCCCATCGCCTTGGAGGGGCTTTCACAGCTGTGGCTTATGGGGCCCACAGTCCCTCCTTTGTATTGGGGTGCTTCCCCGGAAGGGGGGGGGGTCCTGGCTGCCCCAGGGCCTCTTGCAAATCACCCCCTCCCTCCCTCCCCGCCGGGGCAGTTCTACAGCGCCTCCGGCATGCCCACCAAGCACCTGTCGGACAGCGTGTGCGCCGTCTGCGGGCAGCCGATCTTCGTGGACGTGAGCGAGGAGGGGATCATTGAGAACACCTACCGGCTCTCCTGCAACCACGTGTATCCTTGCTTCCTGGGGGGGGGGGAACGGGGGGAGCAGCTGTCGGGGGCTGCGGTTGTGTTTGCCCACACATCTCCCCGTGCACGCGCACACACCACCCACGGACCGCTTGCCTGTCACAGGAAGAGAGTCCTGTCCGCACTCTGGACCACAGGCGGTCCTCCTTTAGGTCACTAAAGTGTCCTGGGGCCATTTTCCACACTTACGACCATCGCAGTCCTTGACTTAACGACGGTTCGTTTAGTGACCATTCGGAGTTACAGCAGGCACTGAAAAAAGTAACAATAATAATTATTAATAATAATATAAAGTTGGAAGGGACCTTGGAGGTCATCTAGTCCAAACCCCTGCTCAGGCAGGAAACCCTATGCCATTTTGGACAAGTGCCTTAGGACTGTTTATCCCAGTGTCCCCCTGGTCACATGATCAAAACGGAGGCACTCGTGCCAACTGACTCATGGTTATGACGGTCGCAGCGTCCCTGGGGGGGATCACACAGTCCACTTTTGCGACCTGCTGACATGCAAAGTCCACGGGGGAAGCCGGATTCACTTGTGTGTGTGTGTGTGTGTGTGTGTGACTAATTTAACAACCACCCTGGACCACTGAGCCTGCAGCCCCCGGGCCGAGCTTCTGCCCATGGCTTGGGGCTGAGCATGACCACCAGCAGGCCATGCCAGGAAGACCCCTGTCCCTCTGTGTGTGTGTGTGTGTGTGTGTGTGTGCACGATCTCCCCTCTGCCCCCGTGGCGTAACACACACGTGTGCAGAGGCTCAGCGCTTCCCTGGCTGGGTCTTCTGGGAAGCCTTCACGCGCTCGGTCCCCTGGAGAGCCTTAAGGGGAAGCCACGGGACCATGACTCAGCCCCCTCCCGCAGGGGATTCCTCTGACTTGGGGGCAGGGGGGGACTCCTCTTTGTGTGTGTGTGTGTGTGTGTGTGTGTCAAAGGCGAGGTGACTCACCCACCCCACCCCGGAGGGGAACCCCAGGCAGAAGAAAACAAGAAGCAACGGATGGAAACTAACCAAAGAGAAAAGCAACCTAGAACGAAGGAGAAACTTCCTGACTGCTAGAACAATTAACCAGTGGAACTACCTGCCTCCAGAAGCAGTGAATGCTCCAACACTGGAAGTTTTTAAGAAGAGACTGGACAGCCATTTGTCTGAAATGCTATAGGGTTTCCTGCCGGAGCAGCGGGTTGGACTAGATGACCTCCAAGGTCCCTTCCAAGTTTATTATTATCATTATTATTATAAAACAGCAAGGGCGGGTTGTCCCCTATTTAACGGCCGCAATCGGGCCCAGAATCTCCACTGCTAAGCGAGGCAGTCGTTCAGTGAGTTTTGCCCCACTTTACGACTTTCTGGCTGCCGCTGTTAACGAATCATGGCAGTTGTTAGTACAGGTAGGACTCAAGTGATGTCAACAGTGGAGCCCAACATGTATATTGCTAAGTGAAACATTTGTTCAACGAGTTTTGCCCCACCGTTGTTAAGTGAGTCGCTGCAGTTCCTAAGTGAGTCACCCGGTTGTTAAGTGAATCCGGCTTCCCCCGTTGACTTTGCTGGGGGAGGCTGCGACCGTCATAAATACGAGTCAGTTGCCAAGCGTCCGAATTTGGGTCAGGTGACCACAGGGAGGCTGCAACAGTCGTGTGAAAAACGGTCCCAAGTCACCTTTTTTCAGTGCTGTCATAACTTGGAACGGTCACTAAAAGAAATGTTATAAGTCGAGGACTCCCTGCAGTGCTCCTGTCCCTACTCTGGGCCAGGCCTTTGAAAACAGGGGCTGGCACTCCCCAGTTTGGGCTCTCCACCTGGGCCGACCTGTAGCACCCAGAGGGCTGGAGAGGATGGGAGTTGTAGTCCCCAGCCTGACCTGTGAGGGGCGCAGTGAAGCGATGGGAAGCCCCCCCCCGTGCCCTTTGGGGCCAGGGCAGCACAGCCGCACAGCAGGCGCATGGGATTGTGGCCTGGGGGCAGGGAAGGGAAGGCACAGCCCGGATTCCTTGGAAGCCTCCGGAGCAGTGGTTCTCAGCCTGTGGGTCGGGACCCCATTTGGGGTCGAACGACCATTTCACGGGGGTCGCCAAACAATGCAGTCCGCCATTTTTCCCCCTTTTCCTTAGCTGTGCTCCTCCCTTTTCTTCTATTGGCTTTTGAAAGCCAATAGAAGAGACTCTCTTGAATAGAGTCTCATTCTATTGGCTTTCCAAAGCCAGTAGGAATTGTCCAGGCTGTCTCTGCCCTGCTGAGCCCGCCAAAAGTCCCCTTCTGCAAATGGTGCTGCACCAGTTGAGTAGTCCTCGACTTACGACCGGTTGAGTAGTCCTCGACTTACGACTGGTTGGGGGTCGGGCATTAAAAAGGCTGAGAACCACTGCTCTGGAGGAACAGCCCGGAGAAGAAGGGCAGGGCCTGTCCTCCCACTCCAGGCCGCCTGGCGTGACCCCCAGTGTCCTTTGCCCTCACACACCCCTGCTTTGTCATGCCTGGATGCACAGACTGTGAGTCGCATGCCTGTGGCAGAGCAGTCACCTCCCAGGGGGATGTGGGAGCCAGCACAGCTCACTTCCAGTGTGCCTCTTCGCCCTCCTCCTCCTCCTCCTCCTCCTGGATCAAATCTAAAAAGACACCCAGGAGATCCTGAGCTGGAGGACGGTGTTTGGGTTTGGCTAAAATTGGTCATCCCAATTAGGATGCCTCCCCAGAGAGTAGTGGGGAGAATTGGATGTGGCTGAAGCCTCCGTTCACTGCATTGTTAACCAGGGGGGTCCCTGGTGCTCTCTGAGCTGGGTGGTTTTCTTGCAGACGTTTCATGACCCAACTAGGGAACATCATCAGTGCTAGAAGGGAGGAGGAGGAGGGAGGAAGGAAGGAAGGAAGGAAGGAAGGAAGGAAGGAAGGAAGGAAGGAAGGAAGGAAGGAAGGAAGGAAGGAAGGAAGGAAGGAAGGAAGGAAGGAAGGAAGGACTGGGGGGGGGTCCTTGGTGCTCTCTGAGTTTGGTGGTTTTCTTGCAGACGTTTCACAACCCAACTAGGGAACATCATCATTCCTTGGTGCTCTCTGAGCTTGTTTTTCTTCCAGACGTTTCATGGCCCAACTAGGGAACATTATCAGTGCTAGAAGGGAGGGGGAGGGAGGGAGGGAGGGAGGAAGGAAGGAGGAGAAGAACTGTGGGGTTCTTGGTGCTCTCTGAGCTGGGCGGTTTTCTTGCAAACGTTTCATGACCCAACTAGGGAACATCATCAGTGCTAGAAGGAGGGAAGGAAGGGAGGAAGGAAGGAAAGAAAGAAGGAGGAGGAGAACTATGGGGTCCTTGGTGCTCTCTGAGCTGGGTGGTTTTCTTGCAGACGTTTCATGACCCAACTAGGTCATGACCCAACTAGGTAACTAAAGGGGGGGGATGATGACAATGACAACAAGTGTGGGGTCCTGGGTGCTCTCTGAGCTGGAGGGTTTTCTTGCAGACGTTTCGGGACCCAGCTAGGAAATGTCGTCAGTGCTAACGCTAAGGACGATAGCCCTGATGATGTTCCCTACTTGCGTCATGAAACATCTGCAAGAAAACAGCCCGGCTCAGGGACCCCCACAGCTCAGTCCTGAGCTGCAGCGTTCTTTTCCATCAACCTCCGGGCTCTGCCTGCCTCACCTGCTCCTTGACTGGCTGCCCTCCAGCTTTCACGAGTTCTGCATCCGGGGCTGGTGCATCGTGGGGAAGAAACAGACCTGTCCATACTGCAAGGAGAAGGTGGACCTCAAGCGGATGTTCAGCAATCCGTATCCTTCATCGCTCGCCGTTATAACAGCCCCCCCCCCGAGGGCTGGACTAGATGCTTTCCGTGTCCCCCTTGATCCTTATTTTTTCTCGTGTGTTGGCTTTGGGGGGCTGGCGGCTTGGTAGGCACTGAACGCATCTCCATGCAAACGGCTTCCATGCAGGGCTGAGCCTGAGCACGCTCACGTCGTCTCACGGCCTTCCTGGGTCTGCAGTCCCTTTTCTCACCCGGGGTGGACAAATGACCAAAGCTGAAGGTTAATTGCTCTGGTGGGACCTTGAGTCCTAGAGCCATGTGAGGGCATGCTGGGCTGTTGACTCCACCCTAGCCTTGTGGCTTCCCTTAACTGAGACCTGGGTGTTTTACACACACCCCTCCCATCCCTGGGCCACATCTGGCCCCTTGGCTATCCCTGCCCACCCTACGTAGATTGCTTTTATTTTGAAACCCACGGCTATTTTTTTTTCCAGTTTACACACGTGCCCATCACGTTCATAGTCCTGTTGACTCAGCCCTCCACAACAGTCCCAGTTCCTCACGTGGAAAAATGAATTGCTTGCCCCACTTTTAGAGAGGCGTCAACCGGCTTAAAAGGTGCCAGAGAAAGTCTACGTTCTGACGGTTCGAGTCCCAGCAAGGCATGGCAGGGTGAGCTCCTGTGACTTGCCTCAGCTCCTACCAACCGAGGAGAAGTTGAGTGCAAGTAGATGAATAGGTACCACTTTGGTGGGGAGGTAACAGCATTCCACGCGCCTTTGGCGTACAGCCATCTTGGCCCCGTGACCGTGGAAAATGTCTTCAGGCAGCCTAGCTCCCTCGGCCAAGAAACAGACATGAGTTGGACACAACGAGACAGGGCAACCATTACCCTCATTAAGAGGGGCGCGATGGCTCAGTGGTCAAAGACCCTGAGGTTGTCCGCTGTAAAGTCAACAGCCCAGGTTCAAGACCCGAGCGGTGTGTGATGGGGTGAGCTCCCGTGCTCCCCCAGCTCCTGCCAAATCAGCAGTTCGAAAGCATCTTACATGCAAGTAGATAAATAGGTAGCACTTTGGTGGGAAGGTAACTGGGCTCTGTGACGTCACGCTGGCCACATGAAATGTCTTTGGACAGCGCTGGCTCAACAACCTTGAAACGAGCCACCCTTAAAGTCGGCTACGAGTGACCGCGGAAAACCCGTGGGGACTCCTCGACGCTTTATCCTTACATGGCCTTAACTCCGGCTCGCAGCTGGGAGAGGCCGCACGTGATGTACGGACAGCTGCTGGACTGGCTGCGCTACCTGGTGGCCTGGCAGCCGGTCATCATCGGACTAGTGCAAGGGATTAACTATATCCTGGGCCTGGAATAACACCCCCCCCCCCGGTTCTTGCCCCAGAGCCAAAGCGCCCCAGGGGAGCCCCATGGCCATGGACGCTGCTGGAGCCCCAGGAGAAGCGGTCTCCATCACTGACCTCTCAGGACCCCGGCCTCGGCCCCCGGGCGGCGCGCCACGACCCCAGAGGGACGGACGGATGGACGCTGCGCATAAGAAGCACCGCCGAGGCCGGCTTCTGCTGCTTGTAGGCTGGAAAGAAAGAATGTTTTTTCTTTTTTTTTTTTAGCAAGAAAGAATTATTTTAACAAGCCTATCGAAACATCTTTTTATTCCTGGATGTTTCCCCTCCGTTGGCCCTCTGGAATTGTGCCTCTGTGCCAGGCCTGGTGGCACCACCGGCCCCTTCCTCGGCCGCTTCCGGCTGGCCGGCTGGCTCAGGACACCCCTTCCCCCAGTGGGATGGAGGCCAACCAAGCTGGACAGCCAGCGTGGGGCGGAGAGTCCCCTGCCCTGTCTCGCGTTCCCCAGCCCCATCGTCCCCAGCCTCTGATGCCAACCCAGAGGGCTCCTGCCTGCTCTCTGGCGTTCCCCCGTTTCTCCTGCCCTCCTTGGGCCTTCAGGAGGGGCCCCATCCTGATTTTTTTTGGGGGGAGGGGCTCCTCGGCCTTCCGCCCTCTCCTCTTGAAAGGTCTCTTGGGAATGGGTCCCAGTCAAACCCGAGACTTTTCCTGCCTGCTCGTTGGACCAGTCAAGCTTTGGAAGCAGCAGCTGAAAAAACCTGGGCAGCTAAACAAGCCGACCTGCCAGATGGAGGGTCTCTGGGGGGGGGGGCACCAGCTCCTCCACTTCGCTTGGAAGGAAGCAAGGCCGTGCCGTGCTCGCCCCAACGTCGCTGAGGGGTCCTGCTCAATCTGAGAATCGCTGGGTGGCCTCCCATCCCCGCCCCTGCCTGGTTATTTTCAGGGCTTGGCGGTGCAGCGTTTGTTTTCATGAACAGCAGTGTTAAGGTAAAGCCGGGGGTTGCTTTGGCGCATTTTTAACCCCAGGAGATGGGTGGGCGCGGTGGCGGGTGGCCCTTGACCCACGGAGAGAGCAAGAGGCTCCCATCGCCTGGGACCCCTCGCACCTGGGTCTGTATCGGGAGGGTGGGCCTTGTGTGGAGCTGGCTTCCCTGCACCCCACAACATGAGGGGAGACGAAGGATGCCGAGCGGGCAGGCCCCCTCCTACAGGGAGGCTCCCGGACCCCTTGCCAGGGGAAGACCTCACTGAGGACAGGCTCCGGGATCTCAAAGGCGATCCAGAAGTGGTTCCCCACCTAGGCAGCTGCCTCCACCCAGGGAACGGGAGGGGGGCTTCTGCTGCGGGGTCCATCTCTGGCTCACCACCCACAGGGCAAGTTCAGAGCTGGGTCTCTGCCACATTGGGGGTCTCGCCTTCCCGGGCATCATCCTGTAGTAGGGGGTGCTTTGCAGCGGGTCACAGCCTCTCCCTGATCCCAAATAAAAGGAGGAAGGGTGCCCCCCCCCGGATCACTGGGAGGAAGGTGGGACGGTTGGGGTCTGCTTCCTAGCCATGGTTGGCCTCCCTCCAGATGTGTACACCTGTACAACGCGCACACACTCAGGTGTCTGTTGCAACATCAACAACAGCCTGGGCCACTTGTGCGGCCTACTGCCAACGGGGGATCGCTCCTGTGGCCAAATCCTTAAAAACTCAGAGCGCACGGATGGATTTTTTCTCTCTCTCTCCCCCCCCCCTTTGAAATAATGTGTAATAAATTCTGCTAAATTGCTGCTCCTGTGGTTTTTGCAAGTTGTTGCTTTGGAAAATGTTGTTTTTATTTACTTGGTGTCTCTAGCCACCCAACTCAACTCAAGGGTTACGAAAACCCGAAGGAGAAAAAGAGGTGAGGGAATTTGTCCTCGGGGGTGGGGGCAGAAATGCGGAGATCCATCCGGGAGGATTTACAGAAGACCTTTGCAGTGGATTTCAGAAACGTTTGGGGTTTTTTTATAGGCCTCGGTTGAAGAGGATATGGGGGTTTTGGACTGGAATTAATAATAATAATGTTGGAAGGGACCTTGGAGGTCATCTAGTCCAACCCCCTGCTCAGGCAGGAAACTCTACACCATTTCAGACAAATGGTTGTTCCAGTCTCTTCTTAAAAACTTCCAGTGTTGGAGCATTCACTGCTTCTGGTGGCAGGTTGTTCCACTGATTAGTTGTTCTAACTTTGCAATTTTTGCGAAGAGGCTGAATTTAAATAGATTTTTAATGAAATGTTTCTCAACATCCGCAAAGTTAAGATGTGTGGGCTTCAACTCCCAGAACCCCAAGGCAGCACAGCTGGCAAGGGAATTCTGGGAACCGAAGTCCCCATGTCTTAAAAGTTGCTGGCACTGAGAAAACACGAGTTTAATCTCTCTCTGCAGACTTCGCAGAGATGTTTCCTGTTCCACCAAATTCCCCTTAATTCAGGGCAGTTGCTGTCTCAGCCTTCAGCGCCGGTCATTTCCGTTACTCAAAATAGCACCCCACTTCTCTAAGCAGAAGATGGTGCCGACCAATTTGGGGGGAACCCCAGGGGCTGTGGAAGAACTAAAGGCTGAAGGAAACCAAGGCCGGCTGCTGGGGGGGGGGAGACCCAGAGGTGAACGTAGGGGAGAAGGGGGGAGATTTGAAGGGTGGGAGCTTGGGGGGGGGGGCGACCTTGAGTGCCAGATCTTTTTGCCAAAAAACCAAGGAAATAAATACACGAAAATTAAAACTGTCTTTGCATTTGAATAGTCCTCTTTGGACCCCCAGCCTGATCCTCCTGCCTGAACTGTATGTTGGGACAGACTTTCTTTCTTTCTTTCTTTCTTTCTTTCTTTCTTTCTTTCTTTCTTTCTTTCTTTTCCTTCCTTCCTTCCTCTCTTTTTTCTTCCTTCTTCCTTCCTTACGTCTTTTTCTTTCTTTCCTCCCTCCCTCCTTTCTTTTTCTTCCTCTTTTTTCTTTTTTTCTTTTCCTTCTTTCTTCCTTACATCTTTTTCTTGCTTGCTTGCTTGCTTGCTTTCCTCCCTCCCTCCCTCCCTCCCTCTCCTTTCTTTCTTTCTTTTCCTTCCTTCTTTCCTTCCTCTTTTTTTCTTCCTTCTTCCTTCCTTACATCTTTTTCTTTCTTTCCTCCCTCCCTCCTTTTTCTTCCTCTTTTTTCTTTCTTCCTTCCTTCTTTCTTCCTTACATCTTTTTCTTGCTTGCTTTCCTCCCTCCCTCCCTTCTTTCTTTCTTTCTTTCTTTCTTTCTTTCTTTCTTTCTTTCTTTCTTTCTTTCTTTCTTTCTTTCTTCGGTTTCTGTAGCTGCCCACCTCAACCAAGTCACTTGGGGTAGAGGAAGGAAGAAATCAAAAGCTGGAATGAAAGAAGAGGGAAGTCATTTTTTTCTGAAAATGGTCTTTTGGGCCTGAATATATTAAGGGTTGTTTAGAAGGAAATAAGTACAGGTAGTCCTTGATTAATGATGATTCATTTAGGGACTGAAGATACAATGCCATTGTAAAAAGTGACCTCGTTTTTCGCACATAAGACCATTAGAGCATCTCCTTAATCACGTGATCAAAAGTCAGCTGCTCGGCAACTGGCATGTGCCTAAGACGGTTGCAGTGTCCCAGGGTCACGTGATCCCCATTTATAACTTTCCCAACCGGCTTCTGACAAGCCAAGTCAATGGGGGAGCCAGATTCACTGAACAGCCTTGTTACTCACTTAACAACTGCCGTGATTTGCTTAACGACCGCAGCAAGAAAGGCCGTAAAATGGGGCAAAATTCACCAAACAATTGTCTCACTTAGCGATGGAAATTTGGGGCTCAAGTGTGGTCGTAAGTCAAGGACTCCCTGTAATTCTGTTGGCTCTTTCCTTGGACTCGTAAAGATCAAAGCTTTTCTGGCTTGCACAAGAGTCACTCCCTGTTGTCGTGGTTGTGAAAACCAGCTCCGATCAACCTTCGCTGTCGCTTTATCCCACAACTTTAGGAATTCTGGGAGTTGAAGTCCACAAGTCTTAAAAGTTGCCACATTTGGAGCCTCCCCCCCCCACTCACATTTTGCACAAGTTCATTTCTGGGAACTTCGTTACATGTGACTTAATTTGAAAACAAAACCTAAATGTGCTGAGAAAATGACATGCGAGTTTCAGATGGTTTGATTTGCCCACGTTGTGGGTTTCAGGTGACTTATCTCGGCTACAATCCAGCTGAGAAAAATTGCTGAGACTCTGGAAAGAGTGCAGAGAAGAGCAACTAGGAGGATTAAAGGCCTGGAGATAAGAACATGTGAAGAAAGGCTGCAGGAGCTGGGAATGGCAAGACTAGAGAAAAGAAGGACTGGGGGGACAAGATAGCAGCATTACAATATTTGGGGGGCTGCCACACAGAAGAGGGGGGCAACCTATTTTCCAAAGCACCAGAAGGCAGGATGGATGGATGGATGGATGTTTGGATGGATGGATGGATGAACTGATAGAGGGAGGGATGAATTGGGTTGATAAACTGATGGAGGGAGGGAGGGATGGTTGAATGGAGGGATGAATTGGTGGATGAGTAAATTGGATGAACTGATGGATGGATGGATGGATGTTTGGATGGATGGGTGGGTGGGTGGGTGGGTGGATGAACTGATGGAGAGATGAATTGGGTTGATAAACTGAGGGAGGGAGGGAGGGATGGTTGAATGGATGGATGAACTGATGGATAGATAAATTGGTGGGTGGATGGATGCAGCGATGCCAGCTGACTGATGCCAGTCAAAGCAAGGGTTTGCCCCCAACCTGCTGCCCAGGGAGAGTCATGGAGAAAGTCCAGTTGCCTTTTGGCAAAAGCACCACTGGGACACGGATGACCTGAGTGGCTGAGAAGCTCCACAGACCTCTGCCAGGAACACATTTTGTGGGAAAACAAAAAGGGAAGGGAAGGGAAGGGCTGTCTGCTACACGGGTCAGCAGATGGGCAGCGCAGCTGATGACTGACACACTGGGCAGGAATATGTTAGGAGTAGTCAATGGAACCAGCACTTTATTTTTAACGTCTGTAGTTTGAACTTTAAGAAGAGGAATTACGTAACCCGTATTGTGCAGAGCGAATGTGTCACCCCTCTAGAAAATAACCACTCAAAATGGGCCGGGTATGACTTTTCCAAAACTTGAGTGGATGACAACACAAACATGCACACACACATAGCCATGTGATGAGCTATTGTGAAACTGAAACCGTCTGTGGTGCCAAGGAAGGATCCACTGTGGGAAAGGCATTGAGTCAGGGGTCCTGATGAAGCTCAAGGTGGGAATTCCACCATCTGGAGGCAAGGACCCCACCCAGGAGGCATCACCCACCCCCGGATTGCCCCCAGTCTGCTCCAAAGCGGCCAGCAACGGTTGCCAGAGCATTGATGGTGCCTGTTCTGGTGCTGCTTTTCAGAAAAGATAACGCAGGTGTGCCTTGCTCTAGGAAAGAGCAGTCAGAACAAAAGTGTTGGGAATGACCTTGGGGGTCTTCCAGTCCAACCCCTGCTACAGCAGGAGACCCCACACACCATTTCCGACAAATGCTTGTCCAATCTTTTCTTAGAAACCTCCAGTGACGGAGCACCCACAATTTCTGAAGGCAACTTCCCTTCCACTGATTAATTGTTCTCACTGTCAGGAAATTCCTCCTCAGTTCCAGTTTGCAAAAAACAACAACAACAACAACCACAACCAAACTGAAAATTGGGCCTGAGACTCCACAAGGAACTGTGAGGTTTTCCACTGAGCCTCACAATTGCCCCAGCGTTACTCGGGAATTTAAAAGAGCCAAAGAAACGCCAGAGCCGAGGTTTCAGCAAGCAAACAACTTTGATTTTGACCCAAATAGAGTTGGGTGACCCCGTCTCTCTTCGTGGCTGGTGGAGAGATGAAGGCAACAAGCAGCAATGATGTCTTCCACCTTTTATCCCTTTTCAGAACAAAAAGATCAGGTCTTGGGGCCAGGCATAAGATAGCCCCCAAAAAACAATTCCAAGATGATGACTTATACACAGCAACCCAGGCTCCATCTGTAACTCCTTTTCCCCCCTCCCCTTACCGTGCTCTTTGCATGTAAGCAATCATCTGTACCTAAAGAATGAAACATTTGCTTTTATATAACTAATTTCCCAATATAAAGAACCTACAATGCGACTCCTGGGCATATTTATAATAAAAATAAGGAAGATACGACCACCAGGAGAACTTAAGTATAAAAATACTTTACTAAAACCACCAAGCTTTCGTTGGGAACTCCCAACATCTTCAGGGCTAAAAGCCAGATAACAACGATGACTCAAATAGGTTTGGCTGACATTTGCACCCGGCTCCTGGGCCGCGTCACTGGCCCAGGCCGGTCAATTTGTGTTCCAGATGTTTCTTCGTTACTCTCATTGGGTTTCCTTCTGTCATTCTTCCAGATTACTCCTCCTACTATTTCGTGGCTAACATTCAAGTTTGTTAACACCCCTTCGTCCTCCTTCTTTCTAATGCTATTAACACTACCCGTAGGAGTAAGGAGGAGAGAAAAGGGAGCATAGAACAGAGGGAAAACATTGATCCACAGTTAAAGGGGGTGCGAAGAAACAACCAGAACCCCAGTGAGACTGATGGCAGTGTTAAAAGAGCACCAGATACCCCCAAAGTAGATAGTAGAAGGAAGAATGAGGTAGGAGTTAATACCATTAGAAGGAAGGAGGACGAAGGGGTGTTAACAAATTTGAACGTTGGGATGACCTTTGGGGGTGCCTTCCAACTCTGTGATTCAGCGATGCCCAGAACAGCATCGATCCATCGGTTCCTAGAGCAAGACTTAGTCAGACGAGGTGTTGTCTCTCTTCCCCAGTTTTCCTTTTAAACTGAAGAAATGGCTGATTGAAGGAGAACGGAGTAAGCAAAAGAGCTCGGTCTGAGCTAATAAGAGGCATTTTCGGAATGAGTGGCACATTGATTGTCGTCCCTCGGCTTTCGATTTGGCACACAGAAAGCGAAAATTGATTTTGAAAGAGGGCTGAGGTAAACGGAAAAACTTCAGCAGTCAGAGCAAAAGTGCCTAAAAAAAAACAACAAAAAAAGTGTGGGTTTATTTGACCTTTTCAGCACGTGTGAGTGTCGTTTTGACGGCTGTTCTTGCAAATTTTGCTAACCAGATATCCCAAACGCCGTTTCCATGACCTCAATCTCATGTCTTTCTTGTATGTGGCCCAGAGTCGCATGAGAGAGACATGAGCAGGCAATAAATTTAATAAAAGTAATCAATAAATAGAGAACATTCGTAACTCCGGGTTGAACTGTGGGGGTCCTGGTCGCTCTTTGAGCTGGGGGGTTTTCTTGCAGACATTTCATGGCCCAACTACAGAACATCATCAGTGCTAAAAGGGAGGAGGAGGAGGAGGAGGAGGAGGAGGAGGAGGAGGAAGGAAGGAAGGAAGGAAGGAAGGAAGGAAGGAAGGAAGGAAGGAAGGAAGGAAGGAAGGATGGATTGTGGGTTCCTTGGTTCTCTCTGAGCTTGGTGGTTTTCGTGCAGACGTTTCATGACCCAACTAGGGAACATCATCAGTGCTAGAAGGGAGGAGGAGGAGGAGGAGAAGGAGGAGAAGGAGGAAAGGAAGGAAGGAAGGAAGGAAGGAAGGAAGGAAGGAAGGAAGGAAGGAAGGAAGGAAGGAAGGAAGGAAGGAAGGAAGGAAGGAAGGAGGGAAGGAAGGATTGTGGGATCCTGTGTGCTCTCTAATCTGGGTGGTTTTCTTGCAGACCTTTTGTGACCCAACTAGGTAAACTTATCAATGCTATCATTAGCATCATTAGCATGGATAATGTTCTCTAGTTGGGTAATAAAACATTTGCAAGGAAACAGTGAAGCTCAGAGACCACCTGGGATAAATAAACGAAGATGCTGAGACCCTGGAAAGAGAGAAGAGTCACAAAGATGTCTGCAGGCTAAACCAGACAACGAATGGTTGAGATAGCTAGGAATGTCTAAGCTAATGAAGAGACAAACTTAGGGTGACATGATAGCAGCTTTCCAATATCTGAGAGGCTTTCACAGAGAAGAGGGTCCACCTATTCTGCAAAGCACCTGCAGGCAGGACAAGGAGCGATAAAGGACAAAATATATGAATAACAGTTGCAGGAATTAGGTAGGTCCAGTTTAATGAAGAGAAGGACTAGGGGGGACATGATAGGCAGTCTTCCAGTATTTGGGGGGCTGCCCCAAAGAAGAAGGGGGGGTCAAGCTCTTCTCCAAAGGCCCTGAAGTAGGCAGGACAAGAAGGAGAGAATCAACCTGGAACAAAGGAGGAATTGTCTTGAGTCTTAGAACAATCAATCAGTGGAACAGCCTGCCACCAGAAGTTGAGGGTGCTCCATCGCTGGAGGTTTTCAAGAGCAGACGTGACAGCCATTTGTCCGGGATGTAATAAGGTCTCCTGCATCAGGCAAGGGTTAGACTAGATGACCTTAAAGGTCCCTTCCAGCCCCGGGAGTCTATGATTCTACGAAATAAACAAATTTCGCCTGCCATGTTTTTCCCAGAGTGACTCAGCAGTGCCTCCTCCATGCTGTGAGCCATTTCTGAAAACCAAAAGCAGAAACGCCTTTTCCTGGAAAGAGAAGTTCCTGTCACTTTGGAAAACAGCCGGTTCCTGGAAAGAAAACAGCGTCTTCTGGTGAAGCATCAGACACATCAGCAGATCACCCAGAAATGAATGTGTGTCTCCAGGGAACCGACCCATGTGCAGAGAACCCAAGAAAACGTAGAGACTCCCAGGGATAGGCCACCTTGGCCCATTTATGACTCGTGGACTTCAACTCCCTGAGCCAGCCATGCTGAGGGGAAAGGGGGAGGTTTCCAAGCTGAGCCAGGCTGGCTGAGGAATTCTGAGAGTTGAAGTCTGCGAGTCATGAAGGGGCCATAGTTTCCCCATGCTGGCTGAGGAATTCTGGGAGTTGAAGTCCGCAAGTCATGAAGGGGCCATAGTTCCTCCATGCTGGCTCAGGAATTCTGGGAGTTGAAGTCCACGAGTCATGAAGGGGCCATAGTTCCCCCATGCTGGCTGAGGAATTCTGGGAGTTGAAGTCCATGAGTCATAAAAGAGCCAAGGTTGCCTACGCCTGGCCTAGACCTTGTCTACCTTCAGAGCTGAGTTGCAAATATCTGCTGACGCTCCCTTGACTGCCACCTTGTGGACATCTGGACACTGGCAGCCCAGCGATGCCGCCTTTTTTTCTACCCCAAACCATAATGACTGGGATAGGTCAGAAGGACGAAATCACATCGTTTCTGAGACCAGAGACAAACAAAATTTCTCTATACCATTCCAAGTTACGATGATGCTGAAAAAAAGTGATTTATAGCCGATCCTCACCCTTACGACCGTCGCAGCATCCCCATGGTCACGGGATCAAAATTTGGGCAGTTGCAGTGTCCTGAGATCAAACGATCTCCCTCTGTGACCTTCGCAGCCGGCTTCCGATAAGCAAAGTAAAGGGAGGAAGCTGGAGTTGCTTAATGACGGTGTGATTCACTTAATAACCGTGCCACAAGGGGTCATAAAGTCAGGCCTGACTCACTTAACAACTGGACTGCTTAGCAAAGGAAATTTTGGGCTCAGTTCAGTGGTCATAAGTTGGGGATTACCTGTATTTCAATGGAAAGCGGGCTAATTTGGCCCCTGGGTTAAGCCCCTGCCTGCCCCTTGGAAGCGGGTGGGATGCCCCTGCTCCTCTTTCTTTTGCACTGGGGGGGGGCTGAATTTGCACCCGCACCCTGGCTGGAAGGGCCCATCCAAGAAGCCTTGGCAAAGGCCCAGGACCCCTGCAAAAACGGGCTCAGCTCATACGAATCAAAATTGGAATCAGAATAATGCTGGAAGGGACCTTGGAGGTCATCTAGTCCAACCCCCTGTGCAGGCAGGAGACCTTACACCATTTCAGACAAATGGCCGTCCAATCTCTTCTTAAAGACCTCCAATGTTGGAGCATTCACCGCTTCTGGAGGCAGGTGGTTCCACTGGTTAATTGTCCTCACTGTCAGGAAGTTTCTCCTTAATTCCAGGTTGCTTCTGTCCTTGGTGAGTTTCCAACCGTTGTTTCTTGTCCTTCCCTCTGGTGCGTTGGAGAATAACGTGACCTCCTCTTCTTTGTGGCAGCCCCCCCAAATACTGGAAGACTGCTATCATGTCTCCCCTGTTTCTTCTTTTCTTTAGACCAGCCAGACCCAAGTCCCGCAGCCGTTCTTCGTATGTTTTCGTCTCCAGGCCTTGGATCATCTTAGTTGCTCTTCTCTGCACTTTTTCCAAGGTTTCAACACCTTTCTTTGTAATTGTGGTGACCAAAGCTGGATGAGGCAAGGAAGTACAAGGAGAGGGGGAGGCCTCTTGGAGCGCTTCCCCCTTAATTACTCCAGGTGCAAATCCAGCTGGCGGAATTTCCCATCCGGTTTCTGCCAACGGGCGCCTTTCTTGAAGTCCAGCTGGGTCTCTGTTTTCCAAAGCTTGGCTCTTCCCACCTACCTGGCGGGAGGCCCAAAGGTGAGGGAATTCTCTCCCTGTCATCCGAAGCGTGACCTCCCACTCCATCAAGGAAGTGGGCATGAGTGAGCCCAGGACATTCCCCCCCCCCGTCAGGGTTTATGAGCTGATGTGAATCAGACCATCAGAGTTTGCACAGAGCATAATTCCGTGAACTGGGGCTTGTTTCCGTGTTGGCACAGTGGGAGGACAAGGAGAGGCCCCTGAGCTGGTTTTCATCCTGTGCATTTCCTCAAAGAGGTCTAGGAACTTTCCCAGTGGGAGCCTTCGAGTCGGGAAGGGGGTGGCATTTGGGCGGCTGGGTCAAGTGCCTGCCCTTCACTCCGACCCCTTTGGGTGGGTTTCGCCTGGCAGCCCCAGACTGACCCTGGAGACTAAAACATACGAAGAACGGCTGCGGGACTTGGGCTTGGCTAGTCTAAAGAAAATAAAAAATAGGGGAGACCTGATAGCAGCGTTCCAGTATTTGGGGGGCTGCCCCAAAGAAGAGGGGCTCAACTTATTCACCAAAGCACCACAGGGAAGGACAAGGAACAAGGGTTGGAAACTGACCAAAGAGAGAAGCAACCTGGAATTAAGGAGAAACTTCCTGACAGTGAGGACAATTAACCAGTGGAACAGCTGGCCACCAGAAATCGTGGTGGAGGTTTTAAAGAAGGGACTGGATAATTACCTGTCTGAGATGGTATAGGTCAGGCGTAGGCAACCTCGGCTCTTTTATGGCTCATGGACTTCAACTCCCAGAATTCCTGAGTCAGCATAGCTGACTCAGGAATTCTGGGAGTTGAAGTCCATGAGCCATAAAAGAGCCGAGGTTGCCTACCCCTGGTATAGGTCCTCCTGCTTGAGCAGGGGGCTGGACTAGAAGACCTCCAGGGTCCCTTCCAGCTGTATTCTATTCTAGTCCATTCTATCCTATTCCATTCCGTTCTGTTCTATTTTCTTGGGCATCTTCCGGCCGCGTCGGGGCGGCGGGGGCGGCTGAGTCACCCCGAGAGGAGAAAAATGCTGATTTGAGTTCGAATCTTGCTATAAAGCGCTCCTTCTGCCAACAGCCAGTCCTGCCCAGAGGGAGGAAGCAAGGACCAGCCATGCCCCCTTCAGGCCCAGGTAAAGCGTCGCTCCGGCCGCCTCCCTCCCACCTGCTCCCGGGGGTCGTGGGGGGGCGGAGGGTCCTCCCTCCTCCCCGCAGAAGGGCGCCTCTGCCAGCGCTCACCTGAGCCAGGTACGCCAAGCCCCCCCCCCCGGGGCGCCAGGCAGCCGGGCAAGGGGGGCTGCCTCGGCTCTGCTCGGCGGGGAGAGGACGGGGACCCCCTCCCAGGCGCCCCCAGAAAGCGCCCCGAGGAAGCCAGCGGGATCCCTTGCGAGAGGAGAGGCCCGGCCGGCTGGCTGGGTAGGGGGTCTCCGACGCCCCCTCCTCCGGCCGAGCGCCCGGGCGCAGGCAGGCGAGCCCTCCCGCGGGTCCCGATGGGCGGCGCAGGGCTGCCGGAGCCTTCCCGGGGATGCCGTCCGGATTTCAAGCGAGGCCAGGCGGCCTTTGAGGGCGGAGGAGCGGAGCCCGGACCGGTCCACTCGGACCGGGCGGTCCGGAAAAGATAAAAGGGCGGCAGCCCCTCCCTTCTTCTTCTTCTTTTTATAATATTTTATTGATTTTCCAATTTTACAGGGGACTATTTAAAAAGCCACGCGGTGACTGGGTGAATCGATGGTTCAATAACAAAATCTTTAGTGCCAATCTCAGGTTAATAATAATAGTAGTAAAGTTGGAAGGGACCTTGGAGGTCATCTAGTCCAACCCCCTGCTCAGGCAGGAAACCCTACACCATTTCAGACAAATGGCTGTCCAGTCTCTTCTGAAAAACTTCCAGTGTGGGAGCATTCACCGCTTCTGGAGGCAGGTAGTTCCACTGGTTAATTGTCCTCACTGTCAGGAAGTTTCTCCTTAGTTCTAGGTTGCTTCTCTCCTTGATGTGTTTCCATCCGTTGATTCTTGTCCTGAAGGCAGGTTAAAGCATCAGATATTTCTTCTCTTTTTCCCCTTAATTGTCTGGTATTCAGGTTAGTTAACACAGTTTGAATTACGTCATTGTTGCATTTATCAATAATTTTTTAGCTTATACATAACTTAATTGCATTTAAACTTCATAAACAATCCATATCCTGTAGCCCTTCCCTTCTTTGACCCGTTGCACGTTTTTGGTAGAATTCCTGCTAAATTGTAGGGATGAATAGCGAGGTGGGCGGCATATAAGTGGGATGGATGAGAGATGAGAGACAAGAGTTGGAAGGCACCTTGGAGGTCATCTAGTCCAACCCCCTGCTCAGGCAGGAAACCCTATTCCATTTCGGACAAATGGCTGTCCAGTCTCTTCTTAAAAACCTCCAGTGTTGGAGCATTCGCCGCTTCTGGAGGCAAGTAGTTCCACTGGTTAATTGTTCTGACTGTCAGGAAGTTTCTCCTTAGTTCCAGGTTGCTTCTCTCCTTGGTTAGTTTCCATCCGTTGCTTCTTGTCCTGCCTTCAGGCACTTTGGAGAACAGCTTGACTCCCTCTTCTTTGGGGCAGCCCCTGAGATACTGGAACACAGCTATCATGTCCCCCCTCGTCCTTCTCGTCATTAAACTAGACTAGACACACCCAGTTCCTGCAACTGTTCTTCATATGTTTTAGCCTCCACCCTGCTGATCATCTGTGTTGCTCTTTCTAGAATCTTAACATCTTTTTTTACATTGTGGTGACCAAAACTGGATGGAGGATTCCAAATGTGGTCTTACTGAGGCTTTATAGAGTGGACTTAGTACCTCGTGATCTTGATTCAATCCTTTTATTAATGTAATTTAGGATTGCATTGGCTTTTTTTGGCTACTGCTGCGCACAGCTGGCTCCCATTTGTCCACTACAGTGTTTCCCAAACTTGACAATTTTAAGGCATGAGGACTTCAACTCCCAGAATTCCACAGCCAGCATTGCTGGCTGTGGAATTCTGGGAGTTGAAGTCCACATGCCTTAAAATTGTCAAGTTTGGGAAACACTGCTAGGACTCCGAGATCCCTCTCACAGTTACTGCTATTGAGCCAGGTACCACCTACTCCATACCCGTGCATTTGGTTTTTCTTGCCTAAATGTAGTACCTTACTTTTTTTCTAACTGAATTTAATTTTGTTAGATAGCGCCCAATGTTCAAGTCTGTCCAGATCCTCCTGTATCTTAAGCCTGTCTTCTGGGGTGTTGGCTATTCCTGCTAGCTTGGGATGGAGAGAGAGAAGGAGAGATGAAAGAGAGAAAGAGAGAGATGAGAGAGAGAGAATGGGAGATAGATTCATAAGATAGATATAGATAAAGAGAGAGAGGTTGAGGGTGAATGGATGTCTGCCCTTAGTTCTCTCCCAGCCCACCTCTCAAGCTAGAAGGGTTTAAATTTGTTCAGGTATCTTCTTATACTACTTTATTTCTGTAATTTCTCTTTCCACAAGCTTCTAGTTGTTCCCATCCTTTTAATGTCGATATATTAATTTGGTTCTGTTTTATATTGTCCACTTTTCACTGTGGTTAAGCTGCTTTAGGATAAACAGTAAGCCAAAAACGCACTCAGTACAGTATAAGTATAAGAACGTCCTGCCGGCGCGCGAAACAAACGATCCACCAGGTACGTTGCGGTAGTCAACAAAGGTTTATTTCTCCGTTGAAAACAAAACCAGCTCTGGGACACACCCCTGCCCTGCTTCCTAAATAACCCGATCACCACACCCACTGTGTACGCCCCAATCACCCTGATTATCCCCGTAGATTACAGCCCCCACCTGTACCGCGTCTCCACCCCGCCCCCTTCCCAGCAACCACCACTTGTCAGACCCAGCGTCCTATATTTATATGTCCATCTTGCATAATGCCGGTCTATCCCGTCCTCTCCGTCGGCATGGTAATTAGTCATATGGGCCGTTCATCACTGTGTAAGCGCCGGCAGCAGTTCATTCACGTCACCGGTGCTCGGCTCCCACAGGGCTGCTTAGAGCGCTGTACGGAGATTCGGATACCGTGCATCTTCCACACGCAGGTAGGTCTCACGCTGGGTCTGACATTCGGCTCCCCCTTACCATAGAGCCCCCTGAAATGGAACATGAACAATTACATCCATTATCTAGCCATCGTGGGCGTATCACCCATCCCCTAGCCCCTTAGCTTGTGTGGCCACATCCTGTGATATCGACGGGTGAGGGCAGGGGCGAAAACATCCTCCTCCCGTACCCAGGATGCCTCAGTAAGGGGTATCCCTTCCATAACACCAGGTAATACAGGGTGCCCCTCCGCCACCGAGAATCTAGTATGTCTTGTACCTCATACCTTCCCGGGGCAATGGGTCCTGGGGGAGGTTTGTTGTGGGTGTCCCCCTCTACCGGCTTCAACAAACTCACATGGAACACTGGGTGTATCTTACCAAGCAATTCCGGCAACTGAAGCTGCACCGTAACAGGGTTGATGATGCGTACTATGCGGAAGGGCCCAATATATTTTGGCGCTAGCTTCTTGCATGGTACCTGTAACTTAAGATATTTGGTTGATAGGTACACCCGATCACCTACTCTTAGTTGCATTGGTAATCTACGACCCTTGTCAGCCTGCTCTTTCGCTATCCTTTCCGCTTGCTGTAAGGCCTTTTTTACTGTACCCCACACTTGGCCTGCACGGGCCATCCAGTCTCCAGGCTGTAGGTTCACGTCTCCCGGCGCCTCGCCCCCAGGCAGCGTAACTGGGTCGTAGCCGTAAACTACTTGAAATGGGGTCAACCCGGTGCTTTTATGTACTGCGTTGTTACGACTACCACAATATGATAGTAAAAGTCAATAGTGTAAATGTGTTTGCCACAATTAGTTTTAAGATGTCTCTATTACTTGCTATGCATTTATTGTTTTAATTAATTATTTTATATATTGAATTTAATTACTATCCTGTTATTAAATTATTATGCAAACTGCTCTGGGAAAACTTTGAAGGCATCTGCTAGTGGGAGTTCCTTCGTTCTCTCTGAGCTGGGTTGTTTTCTTGTAGACATTTCATCACCGTACTAGGTAACACCATCAGGATTGTGGCGTGAGTGTGTTTTGCTCACTGTTTATATGACAGCAGTTTGTCCTGTCAGTTTTGGTGGGAGTATGGATTTTTCTCATTGCTAGTTCCTCTATTAGGATATTTTTTTCTGCTTGATTGTTTGTCTGATGTTAATCCTTGCTTATCTGGGTGTGAGATGCTGGAGACAATCCGTTCACGCTTTTTGTTTCCTTATTTTATTTTATTATTGCCTCTCTTGAAAAAGAGAATGGGCAGCTTGACAGTGCAGGTTGACTTAGGATTTTATTATTTTTAAATCATTATTTTAGTACATTTATAAAGCTGTCCAACTCTAAACAAATATTTAAAGCCGAGGTGGGAACCGTGGCCCTTTTATGAATGGTTTCTGGACTTCAACCCCCACAATTCCGGTTTTTCTTGCTTAAATGTAAACCTTACATTTTTCACCACTGAATTTAATTGTCAAGGAGATTCTGTTTCATCACCGGCCCTTCCTGGGTTCAAGACCGCCGACTGGGAAACAGCCCCTTGCTCCAATTCCCAAAGAAGGCGGGAGGCCCATTGATCTCCCCACTCTTTTCTTTCCAGATGCCGGGCCCCTTGCTGTCTGCCTGCTGCTGGCCCTGCTTAGTGTGTCCCCCTCAATCCAAGGTAAGGCCACGGGGTGGCATTGCATTGTACTATGGTGATTGGTCGCACAGCCAGATGTTCAGACTGGATCCAGCCTTTTTTTACCATCTATATCGAGTCATCACCAAGGACCTGGGGATAGGCAGACGCTGTTGTTTGATGGGGTTAAAAGTCTCGTGGCAGGATTTCAGTCCTTCTGAGTCAAGCTGCCTTCCGCAATTGACCAACGGGGATTTTGTCAATGCCGACGGAGTTATTAATGTTTTTATTGTAGAGTAGAAGAGCTACTGGCCCCCTGCCAAGCCTGACACCATCATGAATTCAGCCCACCCCCAGGCCTAATCTTTGTCAAGGCAAGAAGCTGGCTTCTCTGTGGCCCCACAGCAGAGAGAGTGGGGCGCACGAGGGTCCCGAAGGTTGGAGGAGAGCGGGCAATCTAGGATTGAAATAGGGGAAAGGGGTGGGAGGAAGGAGGAGATGGGTGGTTATGGGGAGATGGGTGGTGCAGAGTGCAAATCTTCCATCAGTCCAGCCTCGCTAGGCTTCTGCTGAAGTGAACTGCAGCTGACAGAAGCAGCACCGGCTTTTTCATAAAGTGGGTTAGTCACAAAAGGAGCTCCCAGCCTCCACCAGATTGTGCTTTCCAGAAGAGCCTTTTAATTTTTTTTATTATTTTATTTTATTATTTATTATTTAATATATTATTTTATTTCATTTTATTTCATTTCATTTTATTTTTTTATTTTATTATTTAATATATTATTTTATTTCATTTTATTTCATTTCATTTTATTTTTTTTATTTTATTATTTAATATATTATTTCATTTCATTTCATTTCATTTCATCTTATTTTATTTATTTTATTTTATTATTTTATATTTTATTTTATTATTTTTATTTCATTTTATTATTTTATGTTATTTTTTATTTTATTTTTTATTTTTTATTTTATTTTACTATTTATTATTTAATATATTATTTTATTTCATTTTATTTCATTTTATTTATTTTATTTTATTATTTAATATATTATTTTATTTCATTTTATTTCATTTCATCTTATTTATTTTATTTTATTATTTTATATATTTTATTTTATTATTTTTATTTCATTTTATTATTTTATTATTTTATATATTTTATTTAATTATTTTATTTTATATATTATTTCATTTCATTTCATTTTATTATTTTTGCTTTTTGTTTTATTATTTTATTATTTATATTATTTTATATATTATTCTGTATATTATTTTATATATTATTTTAATATTAAGTTTATCGACTGCCCATTGCAGACCGCAGCACAAAGGTGAACGCAGGCCCCCTCCTACAAAGGGGGGGCCGAGGGGGGGCGCAGGTGTTGCACCACCAGGCCCCCCCATCCCAGCCCGCTCTCTTTTCAGCTCCGGCAGCAGACAAAGCACAGAAGGAGTCCTCCATCACTTCCTCTCTCCGGGTCAGCCCTTCCCTGGGTGAGTTGAAGAGGGAGGGCCAGGGAGGGGTGGATGAGTTGCAGTCTGAATAAGCCACAGCTAGTCCTCAACGTACAACAGTTCATTTAGTGACCGTCCGAAGTTATGACGGCACCGAAAAAAGTGACTTATGACCATTTTTCACACTTAACGACCATGGCAACATCCCCAGGGTCACGGGATCACAATTCGGACCCTGGGCAACTGACTCATACTTACGATGGCTGTCCTGTGTCCCCTTTTACGACCATCTGACCAGCAAAGTCAATGAGCGAAGCTGGATTCAGTTAATGACCATGTTACCAATTTATCAGCTGCAGTGATTCACTTAACAACGGGGGCAGAAAAGGTCCTAAAATGGGGCAAAACTCACTCAACAGAAATTTAGTACACGTCTTAGCAGAAATGTTGGGCCCAACTGATGTCGTAAGTCGAGGACCACCTGTCCAATGAAATCCACAGGGAGGCCCTCGGTGGCCTGATTGGGAGGAGAACATCTGGCGGAGGGATTGTGGATGGCCGCTGATCAGTGCCACCCGCTGCCTGTCAAGGGGTGGATGGGGGGCTCCAGGAGGCGCCCAGGTGGGCCTCTAAGATTCCTCCGTGGGTGAACAACGTCCCGCTTTTCCTTCTGGCTCTCAGGACAGAAGATTCGGGTCATCTGCCAGGGCGTAACCGCCCACCCGGAGAGTGGCATCATGTACTGGATGGCAAATGGCACTTTTGTGGACCAGCAGTACCCAAACGGATCAGTGAAGGAGGAGCCCACCGTGTGAGTAGAGAAGGTCCAGCTCTTGTCTCCAAGGCGGGGTAGGCAACCTTGGCTCTTTTATGACTCCTGGACTTCAACTCCCAGAATTCCTGAGCCAGCAGGGGGGAACTATGGCCCCTTCATGACTCGTGGACTTCAATTCCCAGAATTCCTGAGCCAGCATGGGGAAACTTTCGCCCCTTCATGACTCATGGACTTCAACTCCCAGAATTCCTGAGCCAGCATGGGGGAACTATGGCCCCTTCGTGACTCGTGGACTTCAACTCCCAGAATTCCTGAGCCAGCATGGGGGAACTATGGTCCCTTCATGACTCGTGGACTTCAACTCCCAGAATTCCTGAGCCAGCAGGGGGGAACTATGGCCCCTTCATGATTCGTGGACTTCAATTCCCAGAATTCCTGAGCCAGCATGGGGAAACTTTCGCCCCTTCATGACTCGTGGACTTCAACTCCCATAATTCCTGAGCCAACATGGGGGAACTATGGCCCCTTCATGACTCGGGGACTTCAATTCCCAGAATTCCTCAGCCAGCATGGGGGAACTATGGCCCCTTTGTGACTCGTGGACTTCAACTCCCAGAATTCCTCAGCCAGCATGGGGGAACTATGGTCCCTTCATGACTCGTGGACCAACTCCCAGAATTCCTCAGCCAGCATGGGGGATCTTTGGCCTCTTCATGACTTGTGGACTTCAACTCCCAGAATTCCTGAGCCAGCATGGGGAACTATGGCCCCCTCATGACTGGTGGACTTCAACTCCCAGAATTCCTGAGCCAGCATGACTCAGCTTGAAAATCTCCCTTTCCCCTCAGCATGGCTGGCTCAGGAATTCTGGGAGCTGAAGTCCACCAGTCATAAAAGAGCCAAGGTGGCCCACCCCTGCTCCAAGGGAAAACAGGAGAGGCAGGATCTGTCCCGGGTTAAACTTCTACTTAGGAAAAAGGACATATCTTAGAAAAAAAGCGTTTATAAAGCTTTCAGTCAGGCCACACTTGGAATACCTGCATCCAGTTTTGGCCCCATTACACAAAAAGATGCTGAGACTTTAGAAAAAGTGCAGAGAAGAGCAACTAGGATGATTAAAGGCCTGGAGACTAAAACGTAGGGAGAAGAACGGCTACAGGACTTGGGTTTGGCCGGTCTAGAGAAAAGAAAGACTGGGCGAGGGGCCAATATAGCAGTATTTCTAGTATTTGAGGGGCTGCCCCAAAGAAGAGGGAATTAAGCTATTTTCCAAAGCCCCTGAAGGCAGGACAAGAAGTAACAGATGGAAACTCATCAAGGAGAGAAGCAACCTAGAACTAAGGAGAAACTTCCTGACAGTAAGAACAATTAATCAGTGAATCAACCTGCCTCCAGAAGTTGTGGGTGCTCCAACACAGGAGCCTTTTAAGAACAGACTGGACAGCCACCGGTCTGAAATGGTGTAGGGTTTCCTGCTTAAGCAGGGGGTTGGACTAGATGACCTCCAAGGTCCCTTCCAACTCTATTCTGATTCTGATCCTGGAATGCACAACAGCTGAAGTCTGGTGGGTCCCCATTTCTGGTCTGGTGGGAAGAGAAAATGGGTGTGGGAAAAAGATCTGGATCTAGTACTTCTGGAAGGAGCCAAGAACTGGGCACGGGGCTGGGGGACCAGCTGGGGTCCTGGGAAGGAGCCGCTCCAGACAAGACGTCACGTTCCCAGGATGCTTGTGCTGGCCGTCTCCCTTCTTCAGCTTCTCTTCTGCTCCTTGTCCACAGAGAGAAAGGCAGCCAGTTGACCCGATGCCTGATCTTCTCCCCCTTGAGGGCGCAGGACCTCCACACCAGCTTTGAGTGCGTTATCACCGACCCCTCCGGCGTATTTCGGAAGGCCATCCAGTGGGATTATCCAGATAACAAAAAAGAGTGGAAGCCAAGCTCCCCGAGACTAGTGAGAAGAGCCCAGGGTGAGGAACACCAACCCAGCACACTTCAGGGCTGACCCAAGGGGCACGTAGGAGCTGAAGGTGGAGGATCCCGCTGGGGTCTGGTTCTGGTGAATCCATCTGCCCAATCCACGGGTCCAAAAAAGCGGCCAACGCAGGGCACCAATTCGAGAAGATCCAGATTCCCTGGCCTTGATGGTGGGACCCCATCTACCTTTCCATTAAATGAGTTTTTTTCCATTAAATGAGAGCTTGAGTCACAGAAGAGCACTGTGGATCTTCACAAGGACCCAACGCTTCCCTCCGAGAAGGTGGCATGTGAGACCCTCCCCAGGACTGGAGGGAACCAAATAACCTAATCTCATATGATAACTCCAGTGTCACAGCACATTTATAGAACACCCCCTCCCCTTTATCTGTTATTAAGGCGACCAACCGTCCTCCTTTAGGGAGGACAGTCCTCCTTTTGTGAGTTCTGTCCTCCCTTGAAAAGTGTCCTCCTACATGTCCTCCTTTTCGATATTTGAAGACTAATCTGCAGGGATTTTTTTTTTCTCATAGAACGCTCAAAACGGCATTCCGACACCTTTTTTTGATGGTTTTTTTTTCAACTTTTGCATGAGCTGTGCTACTCCCCCTATTGGCTTTCGAAAGCCAATAGGAATTGCTGCTGAGCGCGCCAAAACACCCGGCTGGCAAACTTTGCACATGCAAGTTGTCTGCAGCGAAGGCGAATTGGCAGGAACTTAGCACCCCTCCCTGCTACCCAACTACACCATCTCCTAGTTCAGCGGTTCTCAACCTGTGGGTCGGGACCCCATTTGGGGTCGAACGACCATTTCACGGGGGTCGCCAAACAACGCAGTCTGCCATTTCCCCCCCTTTTCCTTAGCTGTGCTACTCCCTTTTATTTTATTGGCTTTTGAAAGCCAATAGAATAGGCTCTCTTGAATAGAGTCTTTCTATTGGCTTTCAAAAGCCAACAGGAATTGTCCAGGCTGTCTCTGCCCTGCTGAGCCCGCCGAAAGTCCCAGTCTGCAAACGGTGCTGCACCTGTTGAGTAGTCCTCGACTTACGACCGGTTGGGGGTCGCGGCATTAAAAAGGTTGAGAACCACTGGACTAGTTAGTTCCAAAGATACCGTGCTGTGGGAGGCACGGGGCCCTCTCTACACGGGGCTGCGCAGGGTGGGCAGTGGTGCTGGTGGGGCGGCTGCAGGTGGGGTGTGTCGACGGCAGGCTGCCCCCCAGGGCTGGAGCTGGGGTGGCTGGTGCTTTGGGAGCCGTGGGGCCCGCTCTACATGGCAGGGCAGCAGTGCTGGCGGGGCGGCTGCGGGTGGGGGCACGGCAGGCGCTTGACCTTCCATGGGCCGAGCCAGTTTTTATGATATTTTTTTCTTCAATTTATTTGTGTCCTCCTTTTCACTGTAAAAAAGTTGGTCACCTTACTTTTATACAAGCTACTTCTGCCCCCTCCGCTCTCTCTCTCTCTCTCTTGCATTCCCCTTTTTTATTATAAATATTTTATTAGATTTTGTACGGGTAGGGAAAGGATAGGGTAAATACGGGTATGGGAAGGGGTAGGAATAAGGAATTGGGGATAGGGTAGGGGAAGGGACAATAATAGGGTTACCCCCAACAATAATCTCATGCTTTAACAAGCAAACTACCGTCCGGATATACATATTGAGTAAACATTGTTTGTATAATACTAGACAATTATAATGAGTAGAGTTGGCTATAATCATATAATTAGAAATTAATAGATAACCTTAATTAATAAAATATCAACTAATTCTGACTGTCGCCACTAGTATTTAAAATCACTAATAATAACGCTATTATTAACATAGAAGATAGAGCTTCGTAAAAAAACTAAAATCATATATTCTATTTAATTCCAAGCTCTTTTCTCATTCTGTCGTATTTCTAACCATGGATAAAAAAAAATTCCCCAAGTTTTAATGGAAATCCAGTCTTCTTTCTCTTTCATCTCCAAGGTTAATCTATCCATTTCTGCACATTCTAAACTTTTGGTAATTATACTGATCAGAGGGTAGATTTTTCCATTTTTCCAGAATTGGACAAATACTATTCTTGCAGCTGTTAAAATATGTAGTATTAAATCATCATTCTCTTTGCTATAATTAGGTCCTAATATTCCTAGCAAAAACAATTGCAATCCCGCTGTCCAAAGGATCCGGCTTTTCCTTGAGTTGCACTTCATTTTAATACAAAGAAGAAAAGTTACGAAGACTGGAAAAACCCAGATTGTGAAGGAGAAAGTTCTCACTCCGTTTCTGTAAAATGCTTCCTCTCCAACCGATACTTAATTCCCCTGCGGCGTTTACACCACCAATGATTAAAAATCAGAAATTTAAGTGCCAAATCATGTTGTTGATTTTCCATGCTAGAATAGAGAGGGATGGAATTATTTCCACAAGGAACGGTTCAAAACTGGGAACAGGCTGCCATTTCCTAGCACCTTTACAAATTCCTTGAGCAAAGGGCTCTTGGTGGCTCTTCCCCCAGGTCTCGTGTTCATATCTGCACTTTACGTAGTCCTCAACTTACAACAGTTCGCTTAGTGACCAAAGCTCAAAACGGCACTAGGAAAAGTGAGTTATGACCGTTTTTCACACTTACGACTGTTGCAACATCCCCAGGAGGGTCATGTGATCCAAATTAAGGCCCCTGGCAACTGACTCAACCTTATGACGGTCGTAGTGTCCTGGGGTCCCATGCGATTCCTTTTATGACCTTCTGACAAGCAAAGTCAATGGGGGAAGTCGGATTCGCTGAACGACGGTGTTACTGATTTAACAACTGCAGTGATTCACTTAACTGGGGCAAGAAAGGTCGTAAAACAGGGCAAAACAACCAACACTTCACTTAACAACATAAATTTTGGGCCGTTGAGGACTACCAGTTCTGGAGTGTGGGGAGGGGGGTTTCTTTGCTGCCTCCACCCCTGGAGAAGCCCCTTTATACTCCTTCCCTGGGGGGGATCCAGGGTCTCCTGGACACCCCACACCCCGGGGGACTTCTTCGGAGGAATCTTGACAGCTGGTCCTCCACATACGACTGTCAGGAAGCCTGCCTATTACGGTTAGGAGTTGTAAAAAGGGTCAGTCATGTGATCAATGTAGTTGTGAGGGGGTTTGCAGTGGTTAAGGTAGGCAACCTTGGCTCTTTTATGACTCGTGGACTTCAACTCCCAGAATTCCTGAGTCAGCCAAGCTGAGGGGAAAGGAAGGTTTCCAAGCTGAGCCAGGTTGGCTCAGGAATTCTGGGAGTTGAAGTCCACAAGTCATGAAGGGGCCATAGTTTCCCCCATGCTGGCTCAGGAATTCTGGGAGTTGAAGTCCACAAGTCATGAAGGGGCCAAAGTTTCCCCCATGCTGGCTGAGGAATTCTGGGAGCTGAAGTCCACAAGTCATGAAGGGGCCATGGTTCCCCCATGCTGGCTCAGGAATTCTGGGAGTTGAAGTCCAGGAGTCATAAAAGAGCCAAGGTGGCCTACCCCTGGGTTAAGTGAACAGTGATCATAAAATGTGAATCGGGTGTTCCGCCATGGGTGCCCTTTGGTTAAAAACTCAAATCCTAGTTTGGGGCAAAATGGTCATAAAACTGTCAAATGGCGGCGGGACGCTGGGAAGAGTCTCAAATCCATGACCACGATGGGGGAGGGCGGCTGCAGGAAGTTCGAACTCTGTCATAAGTTCCATTTTTCAGGTAGGTTGTAAACCGAGGACCACCTGGATCGTGTAACATTCCACAGTATTTGCAAAAAAAGAGGCTTTTCTAGAATTTTCTCTTTTGGAAAAGGCATTTTTGTAAGTTGCTGTTAAGTCTATTGACTTCCGGAGCCCATTTCAGCCCCCCACCTTAGTGTTGGTGCGAAATACGATCTGTGCGTACCCAAAAGTCAAAGGGTGACCCTCAAGGGGGGGGAAGAGATCCTTTGGGCAGGCCTGGAGGAGGTCAGCCACAGAGAAGGAAGTTGCCCCCTTGACCAGGACCACCAACAAGGCCTGTAACGACGGTGAGGCAAGACTATTAAGCTTTTTTAGTAATTACTTTCTTAATATTCTTAAATAAGCTTTGCTAACATTTCTTAGTTCCATAAATAACGTAGCTGAGGTTCCTGTAAATAAAAGGGGTCCACCTGCGGACTTCAACACCCAGAATTCCCCAGTCATCCAGGTCGGCTAGGGAATTCTGGGAAGTCCAAAGGTCTTAAGACTTGGCTAGGGAATTCTGGGAATGGAAGTCCACAGATCTTGAAAATGCCAAGGTTGGACACCCTGCTTGTAAAGGAAGATTCCCCCCCCCATGCTCTGTCTTACCAATTGTTCTTTGTAACTTACGATTAACGATTGTAACTATGATTTATGATCTATGACCTGCTACTTGCTGTTTGTACCTACACTGAGTACATTCAAACAAAAAGAATTCTATTTCTATTCTATATTCTGTTCTGTATTTTCTATTCCATTCCATTCCATGAGCCTCTCTGGATCCTAGATGTGTGAAATAACAACAGCAGCAGCAATAACAATAAAGTTGGAAGGGACCTTGGAGGTCATCTAGTCCAACCCCCTGCTCAGGCAGGAAATACTACACCACTTCGGACAAATGGACGTCCAGTCTCTTCTTAAAAACTTCCAGGGTTGGAGCATTCACCGCTTCTGGAGGCAGGTGGTTCCACTGGTTAATTGTTCTCACTGTCAGGAAGTTTCTCCTTAGTTCCAGGTTGCTTCTCTCCTTGATGAGTTTCCATCCGTTGCTTCTTGTCCTGCCTTCAGGCGCTTTGGAGAATAGCTTGACTTCCTCTTCTTTGGGGCAGCCCCTGAGATACTGGAATACTGCTATCATGTCCCCCCTCGTCCTTCTCTTCGTTAAACTAGACATCCCCAATTCCAGCCGCTGTTCCTTATATGTTTTAGCCTCCAGTCCCCTGATCCTCTTTGTTGCTCTTCTCTGCACTCTTTCTATACTCTCAAAACCTTTTTTACATTGTGGTGACCAAAACTGGATGCAAATCAAGTATCTTTTTTGCTGCAGCTTTGATTTCATCTTCAAGAGCCTTTTCTCCTTTTTTACAAGACCCCAGAAAGATTCCTGAGAGAGTTGTGTGCAGGAGGACCTGCTTCTTGGCCAGACCACAACTGCAGCCCCACTGCCTGGCCTTAGGCCGTAGGTCAGCCCTGTCCAGTCCAACACGATTATGAGGCTCCCCCCCCCAAATTCCCGATGGGGCTGACCTCTAAGTAGGCAGGGAAAGACTCACTGCAAAGCCACACTCAAAACCACTCTTGGGAGAAAAATACCATTTATTTACAAGTAGAAACATTATTTAAAATGACACATTTCCTGCTAACGTCTCTACAAAGGCGAGTAGTGGAGGGTGCAAGCAGGGGATGACTCCAGGTGGTGCCCCCCCCATCAGCCCGGGAGCCTTCCTCCGTCTGGGTCTCCCTATCACCGTCCAGTTGGGGGTCTCCGGTCGAGAGCTCAGGGCTGGGAGCGTCCCCAACCCCAGCTGACCCTGGGCAGCCCCACGGCATCGCTGGGCATTGTGACCCAGGCCCGGTGCAGGAGCCACCCTGCCCGACACGCTGCCCAGGGTCACCCTCACCCTGGCAGCGAAAGGCTCCCCTTCACCTACCTGCTCCAGGTGAGTTTCTGGCACCCCCACCTGGAAACCTCCCCCCGGCCCCAACCCAGGCTCTACGGATGGCGATACGAAGCAAGGAAGCTAAGTAAAGCGGTGACAGAAAGAGAGGCGTGTGCCCAAGCTGTCCCTCCCCACCCCGAAAAGAACGGCAGAGCCCCCGCCCCGGATCCTCTGCCAGGGCAAGCAGGTGCAAGAGAGGAGCCCCCCCCTCGCTCATCACTCCCCCGTCTGCGGCCCGGCAGCTGAGCCTTCCCAGAAGTACAAGGGACCCAGAAGGGACAAGACTGCAAGGGGAGGGGGCATTGGCAGGAGACCCCCGTAATAAAGAAGGATAAAAGAAGGAGTAAGGGAAGGAAGGGAAGATAAAAGTGAAGAGAAGAGGAAAGGAAAGGAAAGGAGAGGAGAAGAGAGGAGAGGGGGAAAGGAGAGGAGAGGAAGGGAAAGGAGAGGAAACGAGAGGAGAGGGAAGGGAAAGGAGGATAGGAGAGGAGAGGAAAGGAAAGGAGAGAAGAATGGATAGGAGAGGAGAGGGAAGGAGAGGAGAATAGTGGATAGGAGAGGGGTGAAAGGGAGAGGAGATGGAAGGGAAGGGAGAGGAGAGGAGAAGAGTGGATAGGAGAGGAGAGGAAAGGAGAGGAGAAGAGTGGATAGGAGAGGAGAGGAAGGGAGAGGAGAGGAGAAGAGTGGATAGGAGAGGAAGGGAGAGAGGAGAAGAGTGGATAGGAGAGGAAGGGAGAGGAGAGGAGAAGAGTGGATAGGAGAGGAAGGGAGAGGAGAAGGAAGGGAGAGGATAGGAGAGGAAGGGATTGGAGAGGAGAGGAGAAGAGTGGATAGGAGAGGAGAGGAGAGGAAGGGAGAGGAGAGGAGAAGAGTGGATAGGAGAGGAGAGGAAGGGAGAGGAGAGGAGAAGAGTGGATAGGAGAGGAGGGGAGAGGATAGGAGAGGAAGGGATTGGAGAGGAGAGGATAGAAGAGGATAAGAGAGGAGAGGAAAGGAAAGGAGAGGAGAGGAAGGGAAAGGAAAGGAGGAGAGGAAAAGGAAGGGAGGGGAGAGGGAAAAGGACAGAGGGTGAAAGGGGAAGTGGGGAAAAGGAAAGAAAAGGGATAAAAGGGGGAAGGGAAAAGGGAAGGAAAGAGAAGGGAGGAAGAAGGAAGACGAGGGGAAGGAAGGCACCTACACTCACAAGAGGCTGGGTGAACGGGAAGTCACCCCTGCTCCACCCCAGGCTGTGAAGGGGGAGGGAGGCGAGAAGGCCAAGCTGCTAGGCCTGCTTGAGGCAGGGGGAGAGGCCGCAGGGAGACGCGGGGGCTGGCAGCGGCAGAGGGGCAACGGCCCCTCCCCCCCTTTGCTCTGGGGAGCGATGAACGTGGTGAACGTGGTGGTGGTCGAATCGGCAGCCAGCAAGAGGGCTGGACTTAGAACTTCACCTTCTGGGACCTGGAGCTGGTCTGCAGGAGAGAAAGAGACAGGTGTTGGGACGCTGGCTGGGGGTGACCGGGGAGGGGGGGGGAGGCCCAGGAGCCGGGCACGCCTGGGGGAAACCCTCCTGCTCACCCCCCCCAAAAGAAACCGCCGGGAGCTGCATGAAGGCCTCCCAGGGCAGGGAAGCCGCCCGTGCCAGCAAATCAGCCAACGTATGTCAGGTGAGTGTGAGACAGGTGTGCACACCCCCCCCGCAGTGCTTGGATCCAGAAACCAGCCCCCCCCATGTGGGAGAGGGGAAAGGGGAGAGGACCCCCGTGTGCACAGGCCTCCGCTAGACCCCCGACAGGAAAGGCCACATGCAACCCTGCAGAGCGGGCCAGCGCGCACTTGCCTGGTGTGGCCGCCCCCAATGAGACCTGTGGAGGCAAAGGAGGCTCAGAAGGACCCCATTTGGGGAGGGGGGGGGAGGAAGGACGGGGAGGGGACGGCCCAGGCTGGGCAGCTGAGAACAAGGAGGAGGGGAACAAAGAACCTAACCCAGTTTGGGAATCGGGGTTTGCGGGTTCTCTTGCCGGGGGGCTGGGGTTGAATCCCCCTCCTACACCCCCCCTTCAAGCTTCTTTGAACCCGGGGCATAAGTGCCCCCAGGGAGCCTGCCAGAACTCTGAGCAGTTGGAAAGTGAACCGTCGTAAGTCGAGGACTGCCTGTATTAGGATGTCGATCATACACACACACACACACACACAGAGCAAAAAGTACTTTCAGCTCAGATTTGGAGTTAGGGTATCGGGGAGGGGGGCAGGTGGGGTGCTACTACATGGCAACAGGGGTTCCCTCCCCCCTCCCCTCGCTCACCTTGCCCTTCGAAGACGCAGCGGTCCTCGGAGACCTCCGGCTGCCGCTCCGGGGGGAACTTTTGGGGGTCACCTTCCGATTGGCCCCACGGCGCAGGAGGCTGTTCCCCAGTTTCTTTGGGGTGTTCAGGATGCTGAAGGCCAGCGACTGGCGCCTCTCCGACTGGGGGGGGGGCAGCAAAATAGGTTTCACCTTCTCCTCCCCCCCCACTTCAGGGCCTTCCGGTTAAAAGGAAGGTGAATCCCACCCAGCAGAAATCCATGCCTTCCACCCCCCCCCCGCATTCTTCCTGAACTCAGCTGAAATCCCAGCTGGGGGTCCTGGGTGCCCCCTAAGCTGGGTGGCTTTCCTGCAAACACTTCATGGCCCAACTAGGGAACATCTTCGGTGCTAGAAGGGGGGGGGGGAGGACAAGGAAGAGGAAGAGGAGAAGGAAGAGGAGAAATATTGTGGAGTCCCTGATTCTCTCTGAGTTTGGTTGTTTTGACGCTTCATGACTGAACTACAGAAGAGCATCAGTGCTAGAAGGCTGGGGAGTTGCAGAGAGGAGGAGAAGGAGGAGGAGGAGAGGACTGTGGAGTCCTTGATGCTCTCAGTTTGGTGGTTTTCTTGCAGACGTTTCATGGCCCAACTAGGGAACATCATCAGTGCTGGAAGGGAGGAGGAGGAGAGGAGGAAGGAAGGAAGGAAGGAAGGAAGGAAGGAAGGAAGGAAGGAAGGAAGGAAGGAAGGAAGGAAGGAAGGAAGGAAGGACTGTGGGGTCTTCGTGCTCTCTGTGCTTGGTTGTTTTCTTGCAGACATTTCATGGCCCAACTAGGGAACATCATCAGTGCTGGAAGGGAGGAGGAGGAGAGGAGGAAGGAAGGAAGGAAGGAAGGAAGGAAGGAAGGAAGGAAGGAAGGAAGGAAGGAAGGAAGGAAGGAAGGACTGTGGGGTCCTTGGCTCTCTCTGGTGGTTTTCTTGCAGACGTTTCATGGCCCAACTAGGGAACATCATCAGTGCTGGAAGGGAGGAGGAGGAGAGGAGGAAGGAAGGAAGGAAGGAAGGAAGGAAGGAAGGAAGGAAGGAAGGAAGGTAGGAAGGAAGGAAGGACTGTGGGGTCTTCGTGCTCTCTGTGCTTGGTTGTTTTCTTGCAGACATTTCATGGCCCAACTAGGTAACACCATCAGTGCTAGGAGAGAGTGGGTTTTGCAGAGAGGAGGGGGAGGAGGAAGACTGTGGGATCCTTCGTGCTCACCGACGGTTGTTTTCTTGCAGACGTTTCATGGCCCAACTAGGGAACACCATCAGGAGAGTGGGGTTTGCAGAGAGGAGGGGGAGGAGGAAGACTGTGGGGTCCTTGGTGCTCTCTGACCTGGGCTGTCTTCTTCCTGAGTGTTGTTTCCTGTCCGTTTACATGCAACTAGCCTTCTTGCAGAGAGCCAACCCCACCCCCTTCATAACCCTGATGAAGCTACCTAGTTGGGTCACGAAATGCCTGCAAGAAAACCTCCCAACTCACGGAGCCTCAACAACCCCGCAGGACCACCCTGAGCCACAAACGTGTTGAAACCCAACTAGTCAGAAATTCTAGCTGTGCTGTGGGAAGCCCGGACTGGAGTTTGAGGGCTGACCTTACCCTAAACACAATTAAACCCGTCAAAGGAACAGCCCCCCCAACAGTGGAACTCGGATCGAACCGTGTTCCCCACCCCTTCACACGGAAGACCTGGAGGCAGGCTCTGTTCTCTGGAAGACCCAAAGGACCATTGAGGCATGGAGAACATCTATCTAGGTCAGTGGTTCTCAACCTTTTTAATGCCGCAACCCCCAACCGGTCGTAAGTCGAGGACTACTCAACCGGTCGTAAGTCGAGGACTACTCAACGGGTGCAGCACCGTTTGCAGAACGGGACTTTTGGCGGGCTCAGCAGGGCAGAGACAGCCTGGACAATTCCTGTTGGCTTTGGAAAGCCAATAGAATTAGACTCTGTTCAAGAGAGTCTATTCTATTGGCTTTCAAAAGCCAATAGAATAAAAGGGAGTAGCACAGCTAAGGAAAAGGGGGGGGGGGAAATGGCGGACTGCGTTGTTTGGCGACCCCCGTGAAATGGTCGTTCAACCCCAAATGGGGTCCCGACCCACAGGTTGAGAACTGCTGTTCTAGGTGGTCACTAAAGAACTGACCACAGGCCGATGGCAAGAACCACTTGGTCTTCTGGGCGAGGATTTAAGTTTGGGGCTCAGACGCAAAGTTAGAAAGCTTCTCCAGCTGAAATAGCTCCCATTTTTACTCTCTGGGCTCTCCTCTGCAATGATGCTCTGCTCCAGCGGTGTCCAACTTTGGCCACTTTTTAAGACTTGTGGACTTCAACGCCCAGAATCCCCCAGCCAGCGCATGCTGGCTGGGGAATTCTGGGAGTTGAAGTCCACTAGTCTTAAAGTGGCCAGGTCTGGGGACCCCCGCTGATTGAACAGAGGAGGAAGGAACCCTTTTATGAGTCTGGGGTCTCCTGGGAATCCACAACCACTTTGGCCCCACTCCTGCAAGCCCCCAGAGGACCCCCCCACCTTCTTGTCCGCTGGCTGGGCTTTGCTCTTCTTGTCTCCCGCCAGGACTCTCTGCTTACGATCCTCAGTCTTCTCTTTCGGGGTCTGCGGCCGGGGGAAGCACGTGGAGGACTTCTTGAGCTACAGAGAGAACAGAGGGGGGGAGAGATGGGATTTCAAAAGCTTCAGCTGAGGAGACAAAAGCCTCCCTCCTTCTCTGGACAGCTAATTACACAATTAAAGAATGCCGCAGTTGGAAGGGGCCTCGGAGGTCATCTAGTCCAACCCCCTGCTCAGGCAGGAAGCCCTATTCCATTTCAGACCAATGGCTGTCCGGTGTCTTCTTAAAAACTTCCAGTGTGGGAGCATTCACCGCTTCTGGAGGCAGGTAGTTCCACTGGTTAATTGTTCTCACTGTCAGGAAGTTTCTCCTTAGTTCTAGGTTGTTTCTCTCCTTGGTTAATCTCCGTTGCTTCTTGTCCTGCCTTCAGGCGCTTTGGAGAATAGTTTGACTGCCTCTTCTTTGGGGCAGCCCCTGAGATACTGGAACCCTACTATCATGTCCCCACTCGTCCTTCTCTTCGTGAAACGAGACATTCCCCAATTCCACAACTATTCATTATAATATTTTAGCCTCCAGTTCCCTGATCCTGTTTGTCACTCTTCTCTGTACTCTTTCTAGAGCAGTGTTTCTCAACCTTGACCATTTTAAGGCATGTGGACTTCAACTCCCAGAATTCCACAGCCAGCATTGCTGGCTGAGGAATTCTGGGAGTTAAAGTCCACATGCCTTAAAATGGTCAAGGTTGAGAAACACTGTTCTAGAGTCTCAGCACTTTTTTTACATCGTGGTGACCCCAAATGGATGCCGCATTCTAAGGCATTATAGAGTGGTACGAACACTCCATGTGATCTTGATTCTGTATTAATCAATCTGAACAGAGCTGGAAGGGACCTTGGAGGTCTTCTAGTCCAACCCCCTGCTCAAGCAAGAGGCCCTATACCATTTCAGACGAGGGGTCTTCTCTAAAACCTCCCTTGGTGAGGCACCCACAACTTCTGGAGGCAAGTCGTTCCACTAATCAATTGTTCCAACTATCAGGAAATAGGGTTTTCCTGCCTGAGCAGGAGGTTGGACTAGATGACCTCCAAGGTCCCTTTCAACTTTATCATCATCACGGTCATCGTGATCATCAAATTCCTCCTTAGTTCCAGGCTGCTTCTCTCCATGATGAGTTTCCATCCGTTGTTTCTTGACCGGCCTTCAGGCGCTTTGGAGAATAATTTGACCCCCTCCTCTTTGTGGCAGCCCCCCCCCCAAATACTGGAATACCGCTATCATGTCCCCCCTAGTTCTTCTTTTCTCTGGCCAAACCCAAATCCTGCAGCCATTCTTCATAGGTTGGAGTCTCCAGGCCTTTAATCCTCTTTGTTGCTCTTCTCTGCACTTTTTCCTAGAACAGTGTTTCTCAACCTTGACCATTTAAGGCATGTGGACTTCAACTCCCAGAATTCCACAGCCAGCGTTGCTGGCTGTGGAATTCTGGGAGTTGAAGTCCACATGCCTTAAAATGGTCAAGGTTGAGAAACACTGTTCTAGAACCTCTATTTTGTATCGTGGGGACCGACCCTGACCAACAAAGGAAGCAGCAGCCAAGGAAGAAGCAAAGCAAAGCAGGCTACCGTGGGCCTCCCTCGACCCCAGGAGGCTGGCGTTGGTGCCTGGAAGGACACTGCCCCCCCTGTGGGCCACAAAGCCCCTCCCCAGCAGCCGAGGGGGAGGTCCAGACCCCTCCACCAGCAGCTGAGAGACAGGGGCAGCAGTAACGCTGGTCCTCCACAGTCTGCAAGAGTTGGGGCCCTCCAGCGTCCGCAGGCTCCGGGCCCCGGATGCTCCCGAGGGCCCAGCCTATCCCGAAGGGGCTCACCTCGGGGGTCCCCGGCCCCGTCTGGGGCTCATCCGAAAGGCGCTTCCGCTGCTGCCGCGTGGCGACCCCTCCCACCGCCCAGGCGGCGCTCAGGGTGTTGCGGCGGGTGCTGGGGCCCTCGACGATCTGAGTGGGCAGCATGCTGGCCCGCCGGAGGGTCTCCTTGGGGTCTCCGGTCATCACCTCTTCGTCCGTGATGGTGGTCAGGAGCGGAGAAGGCTTTGGGGAGGGGGGGAGGAGAGAAAACATCAAGGGGGGAAAACACGCCACGTTTCAGCAGCAGCCCCCGGCCCCAAAAGAGGGGTCTTTGGGCCGAGCTGCCAATCGCGGCCACTAAGAATAGTCCTTGACTTACAACGGTGCATTTAGTGACCGTTCAAAGTTACAACAGCCCCGGAAAAAGCGACGCGACCGTTTTTCACATCAACAACCGCTGTAGCGCCCGCTTCCAGGGTCACGTGATCCAAGTTCTTGGCAACTGGCTTACATGTATGACAGTTGCAGTGTCCCCGGTGTGTGTGTGTGGGGGGGGCGCGATCCCCTTTTGCGACAAGCCAAGTCAATGGAGGAAGTCAGATTCACTTAGCAACCCTGTTCCTAACTTAACAACTGCAGGGATTCGCTTAACAACGGTGGCAACAAAGGTCATAAAATGGGGCAAAAGCCACTTAACCAATGTCTCACTTAGCCACAGAAACTTTGGGCTCAATCCTGGCCGTAAAGTCGAGGACTGCCTGTAAACAGATGCATCGGGGGGGGGGGAACTGATGGAAATTTTGCTCTCTTACAAAATCAAAGACACAATGAAAACTTGCTGTGAAACTGTACGGGTCTTTCTCAGTTTTATGTCCAGATCTGAATAAATGTCTGACCTCTTTATCTATGCCAGGGGTAGGCAACCTTGGCCCCTTCATGACTCATGGACTTCAACTCCCAGAATTCCTGAGCCAGCATGGGGGAACTATGGCCCCTTCATGACTCGTGGACTTCAACTCCCAGAATTCCTGAGCCAGCATGGGGGAACTATGGCCCCTTCATGACTCGTGGACTTCAACTCCCAGAATTCCTGAGCCAGCATGGCTCAGCTTAGAAACCTCTCCCTCTCCCCTCAGCACAGCTGGCTCAGGAATTCTGGGAGTTGAAGTCCACGAGTCATAAAAGAGCCAAGGTTGCCTACCCCTGGTCTACGCCAAGCCAAACCTAAACCCCTGGTTAACTGGATGTCTTGTGCATTGGGGGGGGGGGGGAGGAACTGACCCACTGAGGGTCCCGGCCCAGCAGAAGAAAACCGGAAGCCCGTTATTGGCCGGAAGAGGCCAGGCCGCCACTCACCCGGGACTCCAGAGGGTAGCAGGTCTTCAGATGAGGCGGACACACCCGGTTGCGCTGCTGGAGTTCCGCAATGCGGTTCCAGCCGTCCAGCTGGTCGGGCTCGTCATCGCAGGAGCCGGCGTAGAAGCTGCTGCGGCCTGCAAGGGGGGGGGGCGAGAGGAGGTCAGGCAGGGCGTTGACCGACAGGCTTCCCAAAAGCTGAGAGATCCCGCTGGGAGGGAAATAGGGGAGACGGGCCATTCGGCGCAACCCAGTCGGGGAGCGGGACTGCGAGTCTGGGGGTGGCTCTCTAGGGCAGGTTTCTGCAATTGTGTTTGTGTGTGTGCTTGTATGTCCACCTGATGCTTTGCAGCGGGAAGTCAAATGCCCAGGGCACCCTTTCTCCACTGTGCCTGCTTTACGATGTGCGGACTTCAACTCCCAGAATTCATCAGGGCTGGCTAGGGAAATCTGGGGATTGAAGTCCACACATCTTAAAAGGAACAAAGGTTGTAAAAAAAAACCAGATTTAGATGGTTCTGGTGGGGGATTTGGATAAAGCAGGGCGGTGGGGGGGGGTGTCTTCCAACTTGGCCCTTTGATGACTTGTGTGTCAACGCTGCTAATATTGAATATTCTTGCTCTGACAATATATGCAGAACTGTCTGGTATTTTTAGAGTTAAATCAGGTGACAGCGAAAGGGGAGGAAAATATAAGGAAAGCCCAGGAAAAAGAAACGGAAGTGAATCTTTACCCTCCAAGTTAATTGGAAGATGTGAATCATGACCCCAAAATAGGGGAGGGCAAATGCCTGGAATGTTATGCGCAAAGGAAGGGAAATTCACATCTTGGCATTTCCACCATGCCGTGCTCACATCTCTGTAACACTAATAAAGGCTTTTTGGGTTAAAAAAATGCCTGAAAGTTCTTTGAAGTGTTTCGTTAATCAGACACATGACATTGTGGACTTCAACTCCCAGAATTCCTCAGCCAGGCACGCTGGCTGAGGAATTCTGGGAGTTGAAGTCCAGGGGTCTTCCAACTTGGCCCTTTGATGACGTGTGGACTTCAACTCCCAGAATTCCTCAGCCCACGTGCCTGGCTGAGAAATTCTGGGAGTTGAAGTCCAGGGGTCTTCCAACGTGGCCCTTTGATGACTTGTGGACTTCAACTCCCAGAATTCCTCAGCCAGCGTGCCTAGCTGAGGAATTCTGGGAGTTGAAGTCCAGGGGTCTTCCAACTTGGCCCTTTGATGACTTGTGGACTTCAACTCCCAGAATTCCTCAGCCAGGCACGCGTGCCTGGCTGAGGAATTCTGGGAGTTGAAGTCCACAAGTCATCAAAGGGCCAAGTTGGAAGACCCCTGAAGTAGGGGGGGGGTCTTCAAACTTGGCAACTTTAAGACTTGTGGACAGAGTTTCTTAGCCAGCAGGGCTGTTGGGGTGTTGAAGACCCCACGTGTTAAAGCTACTAAGTCTGGAGCCCCCCAAGATATGGTGGTGGAGGATCGTTGGTCAAGAGAAGCATTGTGGACCCAGGAGGCAAAGCCACAGCACCCTGAAGATCGGGGCTCCTCCCACCTCTAACATGGCAGGCTCCACGCCCTGTGCCCCCCATCCTCACCGCTGCTTGCGCCGCCGGCCTGGGAGTGTCTCAGAGAACTGCGGGTGGCAGGTCGATACCCCGGCAAGCTTTTCAGCGCAGCGTGTCCGGTGGTGCCGTCGGGCAATGAGGCGGTCAGCCGGCTGAGGGACTCCTGGGAGGGGAGGCTGGCCAGTGAGCGGATGGAAGAGGAGGAGGAGGCGGCCGTGGCTGCCGAACGCAGGCGGGTCTTGACCGACTCCTGGCCGCTGTCCCCGGAGCCGGAGGACCGCAGACTGACGAAAGACTCGTTGGTGCTGTCGAGAGGTTCCAGCTTGGGGTGTTTCTGGGAAAGGACACAAACGGGGGGGGGGAGGTCACACCCAAAGGGGCAAGAAACAGCCCCGCGTGCGAGGGAGGGGCGCCCACTGCTGCACCCCCCCAGCCCCCAGGGGCAGGGTCAGGTCTCCCGTGGGCCTAGGGCAGTGGTTCTCAACCTGTGGGTCGGGACCCCATTTGGGGTCAAACGACCATTTCACGGGGGTCGCCAAACAACGCAGTCCGCCATTTTTTCCCCCCTTTCCTTAGCTGTGCTACTCCCTTTTATTCTATTGGCTTTTGAAAGCCAATAGAAGAGACTCTCTTGAATAGACTCTAATTCTATTGGCTTTCAAAAGCCAATAGGAATTGTCCAGGCTGTCTCTGCCCTGCTGAGCCCGCCAAAAGTCCCAGTCTGCAAACGCGGCTGCACCCGTTGAGTAGTCCTCGACTTACAACCGGTTGGGGGGGTCGTGGCATTAAAAAGGTTGAGAACCACTGACCTAGGGTCTGGCGCCCTGGCTGCCCCCTTCATTTCCCCCCACCCCTTACTTTGATCATGGTGATGTTGATCAGCTGTGTGGGTGCGCCGGCGGCCGGAGAGAGCTGTCCGCCCGGAGTCCAAGGTGATGTTGCTGATGGAGTCGATGCTGCTCTCCAGCTTGGACCGCGAGCGGGTGGGGATGGGCGTGAAGGAGAGGTTCTCCAAGGACTCTCTCTTGTGGGGCGGCTGCTGGGGGGTCCTAGACGATTCCACGGCCCCGGATTCGGACAAAGAACGGCGACTCTTCCTGCTGGGGAGACGCATGGAAGCAGGCCGTGGAAACAGAGGCCAGGGCCTGGCAGAAACCTCCACGCCCAGGTGGGCAGCTCCAGCCTGGGAAATCCTGGCTGCTGCGGCCTGTGTGGTCTTGGGCAAGCCTAGATTTGCAGATGGGTCACTTGGGAGAGCTCCACTGGCTGCCCGTTGGCTCCCCAGTCCAATTCAAGATCTAGTTTTCCTTTCTCAAGCCCTGCCTGGTTATTTCAGGGACCCCCTTTTCCCAGTGACCTCCTCCTGACCCATCAGAGCAGGGAGGAAGGGGATGTGACAGGTTCCCCCCTCTTTAAGGAGGTCCATCTGGTAGGACCTAGAAGAAGGGCGACCGTAAGAAAGGCTGAGCGCCAAAGAATGGAGGCCTCTGAACTCTGGTGCTGGAGAAGACTCCTGCAAGTCCCCTGGACTGCAAGGCATTCAAACCGGTCAGTCCTGGAGGAGATCAACCCCAACTGCTATTGAGAAGGCCAGATCCTGAAGTGGAAACTCAAGGACTTTGGCCACCTAATGAGAAGGACGGACTCCCTGGAGAAGAGCCTGATGCTGGGAAAGATGGAGGGCAAGAGAAGAAGGGGACGACAGAGAAGGAGGTGGCTGGATGGAGTCCCTGAAGCAGGAGGTGGGAGTTTCAATGGACTCCAGAAGATGGTAGAGGACAGGAAGGCCTGGAGCAACATTGTCCATGGGGTCGCGATGGGTCGGACACGATTTCACAACTAACAACAACAATAAGAAGGGCCTTCTCCATGGTGGCTCCTTCCCTGTGGAACATCATCCCTGCGCAGATAAAACCGGCCCCCACCTTGACTCTCTTTCGAGAGGCCTTGAAGACCTGGTTCTGCCAACGGGCATGGAGACCCCAGAGGAAGGGCTTGCTGCAATTGTTACCAGGGGGTGCAGGTGTGTGTGTGTGTGTGTGTGTGTGAGGGGGGGGGTGTTATTTGGGTACGTGTTCGGCTCTTACTTCTGTAAGCTGCCCAGAGTCACTGCGGGCAGCTTTACAAAGATCCTTAATAAATAAATAAATATGTTTCACGCCCTGCCGCTCCCAGCCGTAATCTCCAGAAGAGTCAACCCCCCCACTCAGTCTGAAGACCCCCAAAAGAACCAACAGAAGAAAACATTTGTAGCTCAGGATCGAACGGAGGGGGTCCTGGTTGCTCTCTGAGCCTGGTGGGGGTTTTTTTTTGCAGACGTTTTGTTATCAAACTAGGTGAGTGAGGAGTTAGAACAGTGTTTCTCAACCTGGACCATTTTAAGGCATGTGGACTTCAACTCCCAGAATTCCACAGCCAGCATTGCTGGCTGTGGAATTCTGGGAGTTGAAGTCCACATGCCTTAAAATGGTCCAGGTTGAGAAACACCTGAGTTAGAAGGAGTGAGGTTTGCGAGGAGGAGGAGGAGGAAGAGGAGGAGGAAGACTGTGGCAACCTTGATGACCTCTGAGCTTTTCTTACAGATGTTTCATCCCACAAATAGTTAATGTTACCTAGTTGGGTCACGAAATATCTGCAAACACACACCCCCCCCCAAGCTCAGAGAGGACCAGAGACCCCAAAAGAATCGCCCTCTGTTCTATGGCCACCCAACAGCCCCGCTCTGTGGCGGAAGGAAAAACTGGGTGGGGGGGAGGAAGAGGAGGAGGGGGCCAGGATGCGGAGGAAGGCCCTTACCTGGTGGAGTTAAGGGGCTGCCCTTCATCGCTGGTGCTCAGGTCCAAGCTGTCGCTGCTGATGTCGGCCGAGCTCTGCTTGAAGGACTCTCGGCCTTTTAGGTTCTCCAGGGCCGCCTGGACCTTGCCCTGCTCCCGAAGCTGCCGATCCGAGAAGTCCAGCTGTGGGGGGGGGGGAAAAGAGTTTGGGCAGAATTAGAAGCGGAAGCCCCAGGGAGGGAAGGAGAGTTGGCAGAGCCACCACCACAGAGCCCATGGGGCCCATCTCAATGCAGAAGTCCTGCCGAAGGTTGTCCTCAACGCAGCACCGTTTGGTTCGTGACCTCTTGAAAAAAGGGACCAGCTGCAAGGCTCTTAGGAGGGCCATATTGGAAGAAAGATGCTTTGTCTACTAAAGTATATTCTTTGCCTAAAAATATATGAGCCGAGGTGGCGCAGCAGTTAGGATGCAGAACTGCAGGCCACTGTAGCTGACTGTGTTCAGCAGGTCAGGGGTTCAAATCTCACCGGCTCAAGGTTGACTCAGCCTTCCATCCTTCCGAGGTAGGTAAACTGAGGACCCAGATTGTTGGGGGCAATGAAAATATATATATATATATATATCCCAGCCTAGGAGCCGCACGCAACAGAGAAGTAATCAGCTGCAAGAACTTAGAACTCAGAAATACTTCTGACATGAGTGATGAGAGGATCAATCAACCGGGCCCCATAACGAGGTCTATGAGCCATGTGCAGGCGCATTTGTGCTTATGAACGAGCTCCCCCACCCTCTGGCTTTTAACACCCTGACGATGATGGCAGCAATATAGCCATCGAAAGCTAGGTTATTTATTTATTAAACATTTAATTGTTTTACCTCCTGGTGCTCGTTTTTATCTGTGTGTGTGTGTGTGTGTGTGTGTGTGTGTGTGTGTGTGTGTGTATACACACACACACACACACACACACACACACATATATACATTGCTTACTGGTGTACACTGCTTAGAGAGTGCTTGCACTTAAAGCGGTATATAAGCCTCATAAATAAAATAAATAAATAAATTTGACGCTTAAGGTGTCAAATTTAGCAGAAATGGCAAAAATTTCTGCTTACTTGAAGGATCACTCACAAGAAAGATACATTTCGGTTTGGAGAAGATGGATAGATTATATTCAGAATAAATATGGGACTAAAAAGTTTCATTTAGCTTAGGAGTAAACTTTAGAGCAGTGGTTCTCAGCCTTTTTAATGCCGCGACCCCCAACCGGTCGTAAGTTGAGGACTACTCAACCGGTCGTAAGTCGAGGACTACTCAACTGGTGCAGCACCGTTTGCAGAATAGGGCTTTTGGCGGGCTCAGCAGGGCAGAGACAGCCTGGACAATTCCTATTGGCTTTGGAAACCAATAGAATTAGACTCTATTCAAGAGAGTCTCTTCTATTGGCTTTCAAAAGCCAATAGAATAAAAGGGAGGAGCACAGCTAAGGAAAAGGGGGAAAAAATGGCGGACTGCATTGTTTGGCGACCCCCGTGAAATGGTCGTTCGACCCCAAATGGGGTCCCGACCCACAGGCTGAGAACCACTGCATTAGCAGTTTGCAACAGTGGACAATACACGCAGCAACAGTTTTACAACAACTGTCCCACTTGGCAACGGAAATTTTGGCTCCACTGTGGACTACCTGCCCTTGGACGCAAAGTCTGAAATTTAAGTGGAACCATCATTTGAAATATTTTTTTTTAAAAAAAATAAAACGATGTATCGCTGGTCTTTCGCCCCCCGGCAGACCTGCCCGGCTGGCCGTCGCACCTACCTGCGCCTGCAGGACCCGGACCTGGCTGGTGAGGCTCTTCAGGCTGAGCTCCGACTCGGTGGCCTGCAGGGCCGTGCGCTGCAATTCCTTGGCCAGGCGCTCCGATTCAGCCTTCAGCTCGGCGTTTTCCTTCTCCAGCTGCTGCAGGCCCTTCAGCTTCTCCAGCAGCTCCTGGTTCTGCTGCTTCTTGGCGTCGTAGTGCATCTTCGCCTTCTCCATCTGTGGGCACAGAAAAGGGGCACCGCTCAGCCCGGCCTCGGCTTGATCCACGACCCTCAGCTTCAGGCAGCGAGAAAGGTATAGTTTACTACAGGGCTTTTCAACCTTTTCACCCATTGTACCACTTTTAGGATGTGGCAACATCCGAGTACCACCAGTAGCCTAGCAAGTTGTCTAAAACTTGATGATCAAAAAAAAAGGGGGGGAGGGGAGTAATAAAGTACAGGTAGTTCTCGACTTACAACAGTTCGCTTAGTGACTGTTCGAAGTTACAATGGCACTGAAAAAAGTGCCCCCCCCAGGCACAGCTGAGCAAGACACCTGCCTGCCCGCCCGGCGGCGCTCTTCCTCCTGTCCGAGGTTTTCATTGTTGTGAGCATTTCTGTTGAGGATTGGCAGTGGGGGTGGGGTGGGGGGTGTTTGGTTTTTATTCCCCCCCCCATCTGCTGGGTGGTTGCAGCAGGTTTTGGTCACTTCCCATGACCCTGGGACACTGTGACCGTCATAAATGTGAATCGGTTGCCAAGCATCTGAATGTAAATCACAAGACCCTGGAGAGGCTGCAACATTCCAGCTGATCGGCGCTTCTTCGGGGCTCAGCAGAAGCGCCAGGATCAGCGCCGAGCTCCAGCTGGATCCTGGCGCTGATCCTGGCACTTCCACTGAGTCCCGACAGTCCCAAAGAAACGCCAATCAGCTGGAAAGCAGCACTGATCCTGGCGCTTCCGCTGAGCCCCGACAGCCCTGCAGCTCCAGCCATCTCTCGCTCAGGCTTGTGAGGTGCTGCCCCCGGTTCAGCTCATTCCCTCCCCTGCTACCCCTTTTCTAGGATGGTCGCGTACCCCCTGCCAGGTGCCCATGGACCACAGGTGGTACCTCTACCCCTGGTTGACAAGCCCTGGTTTACTAGACCTCAAGTGAATTACAGGAATGCAAAGCTGGAACTGTCTAACTTTTCCTTCCCTTAGCTGCCCCCCCCCTTGCTGCCCCCCAGGTCCAATCAAATTCAGACAAGACATCCCAGCTGGTTGACCTTGAAGCAGCATCTCAGGGCAGATGCAGTGAACTTTTAGTTTCCCTTGAATCCTCCCTCCTCCCATTCAATGTCAACGCTGCAAATATTGTATATTCTTGCTTTTGACAATATGTAGAACTGTCTGGTAATGATGGGGTTAATACAGAGCAGAAGGGGGGGCGTTGGGGGTCAAGCCCGGGAAAGAAAGAGGAAGAAAACCTTTGACCTTCATACTAATTGGATAATGTGAGATATGAAGGCTAAGTTAGGGAGGGAACATGCTGATAATTGAACTGCTCAGATCCAATGCGCCTGTGCTGACATTTTGTAACAATAAAAGACTTTTAGGAAAATCAACGCCTGGAAGTTCTTTGGAATGTTTCATTAGCCGGAACCACAACAACCCAGCTGATGGCAGGCTGGCACCGGGTGACAGTGAAGTGCAAGTGTGAGGTGCCAGCGGACCGGACCCCCTTCCAGCTTCCATCAAGGGGGTCCCTCTTGCAAGCTCTCCCCTCCCTTCCCCCTGGCCTGGGGCGGGGAGGGGGCGGCAGACGCCCGGGGGTCCTACCTGGGCCTTGTAATGGTCGGCGGCCTGTTCCTTCTGCGCCAGCTGGGTCTGGAGGTCCGCCGTCTTCTCCTTCAGCTGCTTCATCTCCGAACGGAGCTCCTCTTCACGCGCCTGCGGAGGGGGAGGCACACCTCACACCATCTCAGAGAGGGAAGCGTCCCTTCCATCCGAGCCCACTCAGGCCCCCGGGCCTCTTGGGATGGTCCTTCCGCTCCAGGATTGAAGGCTTCAACGTCAGGTCTGGCAGGACGCAGAGTTGTCCTCCTGCCTCTGGACCTCAGCCCCCTTTCTCCGGGGGGGCTCAGACAGACCCCCCCCCAGGGATCTTCGTTTCCCTTTCGGCCTCGCAAGAAGGGCGGGATCGACCCACGTTACGAGATCCAGCAGCTGTGACGTGCTAAGTTGCTTCTGGGCCCAAATCAAGAGGTTGGGGATGACTTTCGAAGTCATTTAGCCCACCGGTGGGGGGCTTTCAGAGAGAAGATGCTCCCCTGGAGCCCTGTCCTTGAGGGAGCAAGGAAGAGGGTGGGCCCGGGTCAATCCTTCTCTCCGGAGGTCCCAACGGGATGGGAACCTTGCCTCACCCCCCAGAGCTTCACCTGGCCCCTTCCCTCTTGGCTTGGAAGGGACCTTGGAGGTCTTCTAGTCCAGCCCTCTGGTCAAGACACAGACCCTGTTCCATTCCAGATAAATGGCTGTCCAGTCTTTTCTTTAAAGCCTCCAGTGATGGAGCAGCCACAACTCTTGGGAGGCAGGCTGATCTGATCTGTCTGTCTGTCTCTATCATCCATCCATCTACCTACCTATGATCTACCTCTACCTACCATCATCTCCATCCATCATCTCTCTCTCTCTTTCTCTCTCTCTCTATCATCTATTTATCTATCTATCATATATCTATCTCCATATCTATCTATCTATCTATCTATCTATCTATCTATCTATCTATCTATCTATCTATCTACCTATCTACCTACCTACCTATCATCTATATCTATCATCTATCTGTCTGTCTGTCTATCTATCCATCCACCTATCTACCTCTACCATCATCTCCATCCATCCTCTATTTATCTATCTATCTATCTATCTATCTATCTATCTATCCATCTATCTATCCATCTATCTACCTATCATCTACCTCTACCATCATCTCATCCATCCTATTTCTCTCTCTCTATCTATCTATCAATCACCTATCTCCATATCTATCTATCTATCTATCTATCTATCTATCTATCTATCTATCTATCTATCTATCATCTATCTATCTTCATATCTATCTATCATCTATCTTCATATCTACCTATCCATCCATCCATCTCTAACTACCATCATCTCCATCCATCCTCTATTTCTCTATCTCCATATCTATCTATCTCCATATCTATCTATCTATCTATCTATCTATCTATCTATCTATCTATCTATCTATCTATCTATCCATCCGCCCACCTATCTACCTCTAACTACCATCATCTCCATCCATCCTCTATTTCTCTATCTCCCTATCTATCTATCTACCTACCTACCTACCTATCATCTATATCTATCATCTATGTCTGTCTATCTATCCATCCACCTATCTACCTCTACCATCATCTCATCCATCCTCTATTTCTCTATCTCTCTATCTATCAATCACCTATCTCCATATCTATCTATCTATCTATCTATCTATCTATCTATCTATCTATCTATCTATCTTCATATCTATCTATCATCTATCTTCATATCTACCTATCCATCCATCCATCCATCCATCTACCTCTACCATCATCTCCATCCATCCTCTATTTCTCTATCTCCATATCTATCTATCTATCTATCTATCTATCTATCTATCTATCTATCTATCTATCTATCTATCTATCTATCTATCTATCTATCTCTACCTACCATCATCTCCATCCATCCATTCATCCAATCTGTTCCTTCTGGAGCATTATCTTCTCTCTCTCTCTCATATGTATCTTACAGTATCTAAATCATAGACTCCTAGGACTGGAAGGGACATGAGGAGATCTTCTAGTCCAACCCCTGCTCAAGCAGAAGACCCTCTACCATCCTGGATAAGTAAGGTTCTCCAATCTTTTCTTGAAAACCTCTGAGAAGGAAGTCAAGATGGATCCGTTTCAGCTGAATTTGAGGAATGAAATCAATTTATTTAGGTCAGCTGCTAGGGGTGGGTTGTTATTTTATTTTAGCTTTATGAGGAAGTTCGGCTGTCGTGTTTTTCATGAAGGCAAATATATTTTGCATCGCACGGCCCAGAGGCTACCACACGAGGACAAATAATGCATTGTAAAGATCACTCGGAGGCAGGAGATACTTCCGATGTAATCTACCGGGTCCCCTGCATGGACTGTCCCTGTGACTATGTAGGACAGACGGGGAGGACGCTAACCAGCAGACGGCAAGAACACAAGCAAAGTGGGTCAGACGAGCAGACCCGAGCTTATCGGTAGCCTCACATTGCAATGAACAAGGGCAACATTCAATTTCACAGCTACTAAGGTTGTCGGCTGAGCAGGGGCCAAAATAGCCAGTGAAATGATGGAAGCCTGGGAAAAGAGCCCCTTGTCAGTCAAGAGTGCTGATTTATCATTGGCTTATCAGGTATTTAGGAGCTGAGGGCTTGGAGGCACAAGGAAAGAAAAGCCAGCCATCAACACAACATTCAGCCAACAGGAAGGCATCGCATAAATACATTGCGACTTGAACACTGAGCACTATCTAAGAAAATGAAATTCAGTAGTGAAAAAAGGAAGGTTCTACATTTAGGCAAGAAAAACCAAATGTACAGGTAGAGTATAGGGGGTACCTTGCTCAATAGTAGCAACTGTAAGAGGGACCCGAGTCCTAGTGGACAATCACTTAAATAGGAACCAGCCATGTGCTGCAGGTGTCAAAAAAGCCAACACAGTGCTGGGCTGCATTAACAGAGGGAGAGAGTCAAGATCAGGTGAAGTCTTAATACCATTTGACAAGGCCTTGGTGAGGCCACACTCGGAATCCTGCATCCAGTTTTGGTCACCACGATGTAAAAAAGATGCTGTGACTCTAGAAAGAGTGCAGAGAAGAGCAACAAAGATGATTAGGGGACTGGAGGCTAAAACATACAAGGAACAGCTGCTGGAATTGGGTATGTCTAGTTTAATAAAGAGAAGGACCAGGGGGAACAGGATAGCAAATCTTCTAGTATCTCAGGGGCTGCCCCAGAGAAGAGGGAGTCAAGCTGTTCTCCAAAGCGCCTGAAGGCAGGATGAGAAGCAATGGATGGAAACTCATCAAGGAGAGAAGCAACCTAGAACTAAGGAGAAACTTCCTCTGTCTGCCAGCCAGCTGGGTAACTTCCTGACAGTGAGAACAATTAACCAGTGGAACTACCTGCCTCCAGAAGCGGTGAATGCTCCAACACTGGAAGTTTTTAAGAAAGAGACTGAACAGCCATTTGTCCGAAATGATATAGGGTTACCTGCCTGAGCAGGGGTTGGACTTGATGACCTCCAAGGTCCGTTCCAACTTTATTATATTATTATTATTATTTTTCAAAGATAATTTTTATTAAATTTTTAAAATTTTACAAAAACAAAATAATCTTCCCCCCAACCTCCCCAACCCTCCCATTCCCTCCCCCAACCGATTATTATTATTATTATTATTATTATTAGTAGTAGTAGTAGTAGTAGTGAGAAGTTCCCTGAGGATGGGCTCCAGTATGAATCAGACAGCTTGGAAGGCTAAACCCCTGATCCCGGTGATAGGACCCAGACAGGATCTTGTCATGGTTTTAATTGCACTGGTGTTCTGGTGGTATTTAAACTAGTCAAAACCCCGCTGCCGTGTTCTCGCATTGAGCGGCTTCACCTCAGACTTTCCCTGGAATCCTGGCTTGCAAGCCCGCCCCATCGTAGCAACGGGTGGAGTGGAACTAAAGAGTGAAATAAAATGGCGCAAGCCAATCCCAGTGAGGCCTAGGACTACGTGGGCCTTTCTCTCGGAGGGCCTGAGGCCTGGTGGAGGGTGTGTGCAAGGCTTCCTGTGCTGGACACCCACCTTTGCTTTCTGCTGATGGCTCTGGCCGGCCTTCTCTTGCTGAGCCAGCTTCTTTTTCAGCTCATCCAGCTGGAGGAGGAAGAGGAGGAGGAGAAGTCATTCCAAAGCCTCCCCCCCCCTTTGCCTGGGTCCCCCAGGAGCTTTGCTGGCCTCCAGCCCCCCCGTGCCCTCATGGGGCCCACATTTCACACAGAAGTCTTCTGGGGCTCCTATGTGTGGCTTATGCAGCTCTGTCTGCCAGCCAGCTGGGTAAGGAGGCAGCACCCATGTTCCCCAGCCCCTTGAACGGTGGGAGTTGAGGTCAAATCCCCCTGGACCAGTGGTTCTCAACCTGTGGGTCGGGACCCCATTTGGGGTCGAACGACCATTTCACGGGGGTCGCCAAAGAACGCAGCCCGCCACTTTTTCCCCCTTTTCCTTAGCTGTGCTACTCCCTTTTCTTCTATTGGCTTTTGAAAGCCAATAGAATAGACTCTCTTGAATAGAGTCTAATTCTATTGGCTTTCAAAAGCCAATAGGAATTGTCCAGGCTGTCTCTGCCCTGCTGAGCCCTCCAAAAGTCCCAGTCTGCAAACGGTGCTGCACCCGTTGAGTAGTCCTCGACTTACGACCGGTTGGGGGGGGGGGTTGTGGCATTAAAAAGGTTGAGAACCACTGCCCTGGAGGGTTGTGGTGGACTCTCCTATTGTTTGCACCCCAGGACCAGGATTGGGGGGAGAGGGGAAGGACCCAGCAAAGCCATGAAGGGAGAGAAGGCAGACCCCTCCCCAAGGGGAACTTTTGGTGTGGGGGAGAGATGATCTCCACAGCTGCCCTAGACTTTATTTATTTATTAATAAAATTTATATGCCACACAATCCCTTAGGGACTCAGGGCGGCGTACAAAATTAAAACAATAAACAATAAAAATGAATACATTCACACAGCATGTTCCAATCGTATCCCGCCCCCCCCCCCGGGGACATCAACCCCAAGCCTGCCGGAACAGGAGAGTTTTAATAGCTTTCTCGAAGGCCGGAAAGGTGGGAGTAGTTCGAATCTCGGCTGGAAGTTGATTCCACCAGGTCGGAGCCACCACAGAAAAGGCCCTTCCCCAAGGGCCCGCCAGCCGACATTGTCTGGCCAATGGGACCTGAAGGAGGCCCAATCTGTGGGACCTCACCGGTCTCTGGGAACTAGCAAGGATCTGTGGGGGGGGGAGGGGAGCTGCATCAGGGACCCAATGACCTGGACCAGCTGATGGGCAGCAGCAGATGCATGAATGGACCTGCTGGGGGGAGAATTTGAGGAGCAGACCCAGGGCTCCCCCCCCTCCCAATGGCCTCTGGTTGGCTTCTGGAGGGACCCTTCGCTCTTTTTTCAAGGGAAGGAAAGTTTGGCCAATGGGCATCCTGAGACAACTGGACAACAATCCAGCTGGGGATCACACAGGGAGTCCTTGACTTACCACAGAGTTCATTCAGTGACCGTTCGAAATTACAACAAATGGACTTACGACCGTTTTTTTTTTTCGTACTTAGGAACGTCGCAGCCCCCATTCCCCATGGTCACGTGATCAAAATGCGGACCCTTTGCGATGGGTTCGTATTTATGGCGGGCACAGTGTCCCGTGATCAGCACGTGTGACCTTCCGAGAAGCAAAATCAATGGGGGGGGGGGAGCCCGATCCGCTTAACCACTGTGGTACTAACTTGACAACTGCAGCGGTTCGTTCAACAACGGTGGCAAGAAAAGCCGTAAAACGGGGCTTAAAAACTCACTGAACAAATGTTTCGCTGAGCACCAGAAATCTGAGGCTGAATTGTGGCCGTAAGTCGAGGACCCCCTGTGCAGCCTTCCTCTGGCCTTGTTTCTAGGAGAACCCCCCCACACACACACACAGTTCAGAGGGGTCTTCCACAGCCCCCCACCCTCCCCTGGGAAGAGGTCACCAGAGGAGACGCTGGGTCCGCCGCGGAAGGAGAGACCGAGGCAATGTGCAGTCGCCACGGAAGCAGCCAGCTATCCTGCACACGTTACCTGCTTCGCTTGTTCCCGCTGTTTCTCCAGCTTCTCTGCCTGCGAGTTGGGGAGAAGGAAAGGCTGTAGAGCAGGGGTTCTCAAGCTTGGCCACTTTAAGACTTGTGGACTTCAACTCCCAGAATTCCTCAGCCAGCAAAGCTGGCTGAGGAATTCTGGGAGTTGAAGTCCACAAGTCTTAAAGTGGCCAAGCTTGAGAACCCCTGCAAGTGTAGAGGTTGGGGACATCACAATTCAAAGCACCCCGAGAGCCTGTGGCATTGCTGGGGGGGGGGGCTGGTCAGCTCACCTCCTCCCCACCGTTCCCTTCCTAAATCCACCCACAGACAGCAGAAATAAGAGATGGCTGAGCCCGCCTTACCTGAGGCCACCAGTCCCAGGTAAGACCAAGTGGTTCGTTTTATGGGCCACCCTGTCTAGGGCAGGGCAAAGGGGATGGAGGCGCCTCGCGAGCAGCCAGCACTGAGCTCACGAGCCAAACCTGGGAGTCCTCCGAGGTACTCTAGACCAGGGATAGGCAACCTTGGCTCTTTTATGACTCGTGGACTTCAACTCCCAGAATTCCTCAGCCAGCCTGGCTCAGCTTGAAAACCTCTCCCTTTCCCCTCAGCATGGATGGCTCAGGAATTCTGGGAGTTGAAATCCACGAGTCATAAAGCGGCCTAGGCCTAGAGCAGGAGTAGGCAATCTTGGCTCTTTTATGACTCGTGGACTTCAATTCCCAGAATTCCTGAGCCAGCATGGGGGAACTATGGCCCCTTCATGATTCATAGAATTCAACTCCCAGAATTCCTGAGCCGTCATGGCTCAGCTTGAAAACCTCTCCCTTTCCCCTCAGCATGGCTGGCTCAGGAATTCTGGGAGTTGAAGTCCACGAGTCATAAAGCGGCCTAGGCCTAGAGCAGGAGTAGGCAATCTTGGCTCTTTTATGACTCGTGGACTTCAATTCCCAGAATTCCTGAGCCAGCATGGGGGAACTATGGCCCCTTCATGATTCATAGAATTCAACTCCCAGAATTCCTGAGCCGTCATGGCTCAGCTTGAAAACCTCTCCCTTTCCCCTCAGCATGGCTGGCTCAGGAATTCTGGGAGTTGAAGTCCACGAGTCATAAAGCGGCCTAGGCCTAGAGCAGGAATAGGCAATCTTGGCTCTTTTATGACTCATGGACTTCAATTCCCAGAATTCCTGAGCCAGCATGGGGGAACTATGGCCCCCTCATGACTCGAGGACTTCAACTCCCAGAATTCCTGAGCCAGCATGGGGGAACTATGGCCCCTTCATGATTCATAGAATTCAACTCCCAGAATTCCTGAGCCGTCATGGCTCAGCTTGGAAACCTCTCCCTTTCCCCTCAGCACGGCTGGCTCAGGAATTCTGGGAGTTGAAGTCCACGAGTCATAAATGGGCCAAGGTTGCCTACCCCTGCCCTAGACCAGTTGGCTCTGCTCTACACACTCTTCTCCTTAGCAGATGTGACCACCCACCCCCAGCCCAACAAAGGCCAGGATGGTCATTAACTGTGGGGTCCCCGGTGTTCTCCGAGCAGACATTTCAAGACCCAGCTAGGGAACATTATCAGTGCTAGAAGGGGGTGGGTGGGTTCCTTTTGGGTTATACACAGAAGCTTGCCCTCCCAGTACTGGTGGGATTGTACTTTTCTCCTTGGCCATTTCTTCACCAGGGAGCTGTTTTCTGCTTAATTGTTTATCTGGTATTAATCTCTGCTTATCTGGATACAGATGCTGTATATCAGTGGTTCTCAACCTGTGGGTCAGGACCCCATTTGGGGTCGAACGACCATTTCACGGGGGACGCCAAACAACGCAGTCCGCCATTTTTTCCTTCCCTTTTCCTTAGCTGTGCTCCTCCCTTTTATTCTATTGGCTTTTGAAAGCCAATCGAATAGACTCTCTTGAATAGAGTCTGATTCTATTGGCTTTCAAAAGCCAATAGGAATTATCCAGGCTGTCTCTGCCCTGCTGAGCCCGCCAAGAGTCCCATTCTGCAAACGGTGCTGCACCCGTTGAGTAGTCCTCGACTTACGACCGGTTGAGTAGTCCTCGACTTACGACCGGTTGGGGGGTCGCGGCATTAAAAAGGTTGAGAACCACTGCTGTATATCAGTGTTTCCCAAACTTGACAATTTTAAGGCATGAGGACTTCAACTCCCAGAATTCCACAGCCAGCAACGCTGGCTGTGGAATTCTGGGAGTTGAAGTCCACATGCCTTAAAATTGTCAAGTTTGGGAAAAACTGCTGTATATGAACATGGAGCACACTCCCTCACACTGGTGATGTTACCTAGCTGGGTAATGAAACATCTGCCAAAAAAAACAAAAAAAACAAAAACAAAACACCTACCAAGCTCAGAGAGCACCATGTTCTTCTTCTTCCTCCTCCTCCTCCTCTTCTTCCGCCCCCCTCCCCGTCTCCTCCACAACCGCTTCTGGCACTGATGGTGTTCCTAGCTAAATCATGAAACGTCCACAGGAAAACACCAGGACCTCACAGTTCACTCACCACCCTCTTCTACAAAGGCTCCCTTCTACCGGTCACCCTTACGAACAGCCCTCTCCCATCTTGGGAGAATTCCGTGTGGAAGGCGCAAAGGGCTTACTTACTTGAGCTATCAGCTGACGCTTGGTGTCCTCGTGGCTCTTGGCCATCGCCTCCAGCTTCTCCTCGGCCTGCTCCACCTCCCGCTTGCTCCCGGCCCCCCGCTTCTCGGAGTCCAGCTTGGCAGCCTCCAGCTCCAGGGCGTGCTTCTGCTCGGCCTGGGCCAGCTCCGTATCCAGGCGCTGCTGCCCCTGCGCGGCCTTCTCCGCCAGCTCCCTCTTCTCCTCGGCCAGCTGGGTGTGGGCCCGCTGGAGGGCGGCCAGGCGCGCCGCGTGCCCGCTGCTCTCCGCTTGAAGCTGCTGGAAAAGGTGCTCCTGGTGAAGGAAGCGCTCCTTGAGGGAGACCGTCTCCGAGAGCTCCTGCTTGGTTCTGCTCAGCTCCGCCTGCAGGAGGCCGGTGGTCTTCTGCAGCTGCTCCACCTCTTCCCGATGCTGGTCCCCCTGCGAGGCCTGCTCAGCCTGGAGCTGCTGGTACAAGCGCTTGACGGGCATCAGCTCGCCAATCAGAGCCTGAGCCCCGGCCAGCTCCTGCTGCTGGCCTGCCAGGAGCTGCTCCTTCTGGAAAGTCTTCTCCTGCCAGGACTTGAGCTCTTGGCAGAGGTCCTCCTCCCGCTTGGAGAGCCTGCTCAGCTCCTTCTTCAGGGTGTCCGCCGACAGCCTCAGCTTCTCGGCCTGCTCTTGAGAGTTCTGGGCGTCCGCTTTCATGGAGGAGCACCTCTCCGCCGCCCGGGATGCCGCCGTGGCCATCTCCGACTGGAGGAGCCTCAGCCTCTCCTCCAGCTTCTTGCTCTTCTCCGATTCGGCCATGACCAAGCGACGGAGGTCCTTGCTCTCCGCTTCCTTCTCCACCAGCTGCCGGTGCAGGATGGACCTGTCCTGCTCCAAGTTGCTGATGTGGCTGGCCTTCCTCTCCGCTTCCTGTCGGTACCGGGACATTTGCTCCTTCCGGCTCTCCTCCAGCCTGTCCTTCTCCTGCGCCGAGATCCGCAAGGAGGCCAACTCTTCCTGAGCTCCTGACACAGCCTTTCGACTCCGGACCAGCTCCTCTTCCGTCTCCAGGAGCTCCCTCTTCAGCTTCTCCACGGTGGCCTTGGACGCCTCCAGCAACGTCTCCAGCTCTGAGACCTTCTGCCTCTGGTGGCCGGCTTCCCGCTTCAAGGCCTCCGCCTCGGCGTGCTGCTGCTCCTTCGAGGCGGCCGTCAACTTCTCCAGTTTGGTGATGGTGCTCCGCTGCTCCTTGCATTGCTTCTCCAGCTTGCCAAGCTGGCCGTGGAGATCTTCGCCCTCCTTCAGCTGCTTCTCGTACAGCTCCCGGATGGAGGCCGACTCCTTCTCCCATTGGAGCTTCTGCTCCTCCAGGCTTTGGAGGGACGTGTCCTTCGAGCGCACTGTGGCTTTCAGACTGTCGATCTCGGCTTCCCGGGTTCTGGCCACTTCCAGGAAGCCCTGCAGCTCGTTCTCCATCTTGGCCTCCCTCTCCTTCAGCGCCTCGACTGAGGCCAGCTCTCCTTTTAGCTTGCTCACCGTCTTCTGCAGGTCCCTCAGCTCCTCGCAGCGGGAGACGTTCTTCAGCCGCAGCTCCTCCAGCTCCCTCTCCTTCTCACCCACCAAGTCCTGGGCCCTGGCCACCTCCTCCTGGAGACCGGAGACCTCCACCCGGTGCTCGTTGGTGAGGTTCTGCAGCTGCACCTCCAGGGCTGTCTTCTGGGCCTTCTCTGCAGCCAGCTCGGCCTGGGCCCGTTCCTTCTGCGCTGCCAGCCGCTTGGCTTCTTCACGGTGCTGAGCCAGCTGGCTTTTCTGCTGCTGCAGAGCTTCCTCCAACTTGGCCTTCAGCGTCCTCACCTGGGCAGAGACCTGTTCGGCCTCCTGCTCTTTCTCCTTCAGAGTGGCCCTGAGGCTGGACAAACTGGACTCGGCCGTGGTCAGATTTTTACTGGTTTGCTCTCCCAGCTGCTTCACTCGGGCTTCCAGCTCCTGCCTCTTCAGTTGCTCTTCAGCCAGTCTCTTGACAGTCTCGGTAAGCTCCTGGTCAGCCTCGTGCCCATCCTTCTTGGCCTGAGCCGATTCGTGACGTGCTGCGGCCACCTGCTTCTCCAAGGTGGCCACCTTGGCTCGGAGCTTCTCTTCCGAGCTTGTCTTCTCCTTGACTTGGGAAACGGCCTGAGACAATTTGGCTTGAAGGGCAGCCAGAGCTTCTTGGTGTTGGGCGCTGAGATTTTTCAGCTGGGCTTCCAGCGCGGCTAACTTCTTCTGGTCAGCCTGAAACTTCTGGCCACTTTGCTCCTGGCCCGTCCTGGCCGCTTGAGCCAGCCCACTGTGTTCCGTCAGCTCCCTTTTGGCAGAAGACAACTCAGCCAGCTGACGCTGAAGCTCTTCCAGCTTCCACTTGGATTCCTCTTCCAGTCGTTGCATCTGGCCCTCCAACACTTGCCTCTTGGCTTTCTCCTCCACCATCCCTTCCACCGCCTGGTCCTTGTGCTTGGTCAGGGCCTGGATCTGTTCCTCCAGCTCCGCGATCTGCCGGAGGTTGCTCTCCAGGGACTCCGCCGCCCTCCTCTTCTCGTCCTCCAGGATCCCCTCGGTGTTGCGGACGGACTCCTCCAGGACCATCAGCCTCTCCTGGAGACGAGCGTGCTCCTTGGCTAGCTTCTCCTTCTCGGCCAGCTTCTGCTGAGCTTCCCGCAACTGGCTTTTCAAGGCCGGGATGGCTGCCGCCTGGGCCTCGCTCTGCTGGCTCTGGGCGGTGAGGGCCAAGACTCTGGCCTCCAGGGCCTGGATCTTCTGGCTGGCCTCGATCTTCTCCTGGTGGAGCTCCACAGCGGAAGAGGTGCGAGCCTGCTCCAGGGACTGCAGCCGCTCTGCCAGGGAGGCCACTTCGGCGTCTTTCTCCTGCAGCTGCCTGACGGCCAGCTCCTTCTCCTGGGCGATCCTGTTGTACTCTTCCTGGCTGGCCGCTTCAATCTGGGACACCTTCTGGTTGCTCTGCTTTAGGGAGCTGCTCAGCTGGTCCACCTGGTGGCTCAGGTCTTCAATGGCCGCCCGGGACCTCTGCTCCTTCTTCTCCCAGTCCTCGGCCAGCTGGCCCTTCTGGCTCCTCTCGGCTTCCACCTGCTGATGCAAAGCCAGCAGCTTCTCGTCCCTCTGGCGGAGGAAGCCCGTCAGCTTGGCGATCTCGGCGGTGAGGCTGTTGGCCTGAGCGATCAAGCACTCCTCCTGGGCCCGGCAGTCCTGCTCCAGCTTCTCCTTGGCGCGGGAGATTTCGGAGCTGGAACTCTGCAGCTCCGTCAGGAGGCCCGTCAGCTGGGCTTTCTCCGCTTCGAAGCTTCTCCTCTCCGACTGGAGGCTGGCCTCCAGAAGACGCTTCTCCTCTTCCAGGCGCAGGACGGTGACTTGCAGTTCGGCCCGCTTGCTGCTGAGGCTCTCCACTTGCTGGTTCAGGCCTTCCAGCTGCGAGAGGAGGAAGCAGGGATACACACTGCTTAGCCCAGAGGGTCATGTCTCCCGCTCCCTGGTCGACGGGCCCTGCTTTCGATCCGCCTCTAGGCCAGTGTTTCCCAAACTTGACCATTTTAAGGCATGTGGACTTCAACTCCCAGAATTCCACAGCCAGCAACGCTGGCTGTGGAATTCTGGGAGTTGAAGTCCACATGCCTTAAAATGGTCAAGTTTGGGAAACACTGCTCTAGGCTAACCGGGTCAAAAGGGCTCCCACCATTCGCAGGGAGCGATCAGAAATGGACCAGAATGGAGATCGGGACATAAAGCGGGTGTTTCTCAACCTTCGTAGACACTTCCAGGTAGATGGGTGGACCTTGATTCCCAGAGTTCCCCAGCCAGCCAGCCTTGCTAGCTGGGGTGTTCTGGGAGTCAAAGTCCACGCAACTGAAAGTTGGATGGATGGAAGGAAGGAGGGGGAAAAAGGAAGGAAACGGAAGTGAGGAAGGAAATGGATGGGAGGGAGGAAGGGAGGGAGGGAGAAAATGACAGGAGGAAACAGGAAGGAGGGAGGAAAGAAGGGAGGAAGTAAATGGGAGAGAGGGAGGGAGGAAAGAAGGGAGGAAGGAAGGAAGGAGAGGAAAAAAGGAAGGAAACGGAAGTGAGAAAAGAAATGGATGTGAGGGAGGGAGAAAATGACAGGAGGAAACAGGAAGGAGGGAGGAAAGAAAGGAGGGAGGGAGGGAGGGAGGGAGGAAGGAAGGAAGGAAGGAAGGAAGAAGAGGGAAAAAGGAAGGAAATGGAACTGAGGAAGGAAATGGATGGGAGGGAGGGAGGGAGAAAATGATAGGAGGAAACAGGAAGGAGGGAGGAAAGAAAGGAGAAAGTAAATGGGAGAGGAAGGAAGGAAGGAAGGAAGGAAGGAAGAAGAGGGAAAAAGGAAGGAAATGGAAGTGAGGAAGGAAATGGGAGGGAGGGAGGGAGGGAGGGAGGGAGGGAGGGAGGGAGGGAGGGAGAAAATGACAGGAGGAAACAGGAAGGAGGGAGGAAAGAAAGGAGAAAGTAAATGGGAGAGAGGAAGGAAGGAAGGAAGAAGAGGGAAAAAGGAAGGAAATGGAAGTGAGGAAGGAAATGGATGGGAGGGAGAAAATGATAGGAGGAAACAGGAAGGAGGGAGGAAAGGAAGTAAATGGGAGAGAGGGAGGGAGGATGGAAGGAAGGAGAGCGAAAAAGGAAGGAAACGGAAGTGAGAAAGGAAATGGATGGGAGGGAGGGGTAGAGAAAATGACAGGAGGAAACAGGAAGGAGGGAGGAAAGAAGGCAGGAAGTAAATGGGAGAGAGGAAGGAAGGAGAGTGAAAAAGAAAGGAAACGGAAGTGAGGAAGGAAATGGGAGGGAGGGGGAAAATGAGAGCGAGGAAACAGGGAGGAAGGAAGGAAGGAAGTAAATGGGAGAGAGGGAGGGAGAGATGAAAGAAGGAAGGGAGGGAGGAAGGAAGGAAAATGGGAGGGGAGAGGAAGGGCAGGGGTAGGAAAGGGGAAGGAAGAAAAAAAAAAGAGAGAAGAGCTGAGTGACTTTGGGCCTGACCCTCTCTCAGCACCTCACAGGAGACAAGCACATTAGACCCGTTCACTGACTTATTTGTAGAAAATAATAATAATAATAATAATAAAGGAGGGATGCTAATAAAGGAATAACTAGCTGAAGCTACAGTTCACTTTTATCTTTGAGAGAGGAGCCTGAAGGGGCAGCCGGGGAGCACCTCCCCTCCCCTCCCGGCTGGGGCCAGGCTCCCACCTTCAAGACGTCGCCCAGGACCTCTCCTTTCACCGGCAGGGTCTCGGTCAGCTTGGCCAGCTGGTCCTCCAGCAGAGCCATTTTCCCCTGCAGAATCTCCACCTGCTCCTCCAGGCAGCTCTGGAGAATGAGAGAGAAGCCATGAAAGTCCGGCTGCCCCGCTGTCCTTGCCCCCACCCTCCCCAAAAGCGGATCCCCCCCCATCATCCCCAGATCGTTCAAGGGAAGGGAAGGAACCCCGCTACCCACACAGGCCCCAGGGGTCCCAACTCCCCCCCCTTCGCGCTTGCCTGTGGTGACACCCCGCGAGGGAAGCCCACCCCACCAACCCTCCCTCCAGACTGGGTCCTTCAAGGTGGGCAACCTCCGGAGTCACCTGAGACGCCAGCCGACCTGCCTGCCTGCCGGCCGTGGGCTGCTGCTCTGCCTGTCTCAAAACTATCAAAGGGGGAGCTTGGGGGGGGGGGGGGAGGTGTTTATTCCGGCCAGAGCTCTTCCGTCCGTCTGTCTGTCTTCCCTCCCTCCCTCTATATCTGCCTAAAATTTGTCTCGTCCATCCATCCATCCATCATCTAACATCTCTCTCTATATATCTACCTATCTCTTCATCATCATCACCTATCACAGCGGTTCTCAACCTGTGGGTCGGGACCCCATTTGGGGTCGAACGACCATTTCACGGGGGTCGCCAAACAACGCAGTCCGCCATTTCCCCCTCCCCCCTTTTCCTTAGCTGTGCTCCTCCCTTTTATTCTATTGGCTTTTGAAAGCCAATAGAAGAGACTCTCTTGAATAGAGTGCAATTCTATTGGCTTTCAAAAGCCAATAGGAATTGTCCAGGCTGTCTCTGCCCTGCTGAGCCCGCCAAAAGTCCCATTCTGCAAATGGTGCTGCACCAGCTGAGTAGTCCTCGACTTACGACCGGTTGAGTAGTCCTCGACTTACGACCGGTTGGGGGTCGCGGCATTAAAAAGGTTGAGAACCACTGATCTATCATCTTATTAGATCTCTATTTATCTTTATCTCTCTCCCTCTCCCTGGCTAACAGCGAGCACAATTAACCAGTGGAACAGCTGGCCTCCAGAAGTTGTGGGTGCTTCCTCAATGGAGGTTTTTAAGAAGAGACTGGACAAGTCTGTCTCAAATGGTCTAGGGCAGTGATGGCGAACCTTTTAGAGACCAAGTGCCCAAACTGCAACCCAAAACCCACTTATGCATCGTCCGGTGCTGGGTGGGTGTGGCCAGTTAGATGGGCATGGCCCCTTGGGTGGGCATGGCTGCGGTGGTAACGGCAGACTGGGTGGGACTAAAAAGATCAATCAATCAATTCCAACTTTGTGAGATCCTTTTTTTCCCACGAGTTGAAATTGATTGACTGATTGAACCTTTTTTTTTTTGCACACAGCAATGGAGCCCTAAAGCGAAAAGGTTTTATAAAACCCAGCTGAAGGCGCAGGACTGGGGCGACGGCGCACGTGCCTACAAAGCTCTGAGTGCCGCCTCTGGCACCCATGCCATAGGTTCGCCACCACTAGTATAGGGTCTCTGGGGCTGGACTGGAAGACCTCCAAGGTTCCTTCCAGCTCTACTCTATTCTGATTCTTATTCCCTATCTATCCATCGTCTATCTACCTATCTCTTTATTATCCTCATCTCTCTCTCTGTCTCTCTGTCTCTCTCCCTCTCTCTCTCTCGTATGGCTGCCCATCTTTCAGCCAATTCTGGACACTCCCAATCACTTGAATGAGATGAGTGGTGATCTAAAGGATAAAATTAAATCAGAGGCACCCAACCTTTTGGGCACCAGGGACCGGTTCCGTGGAGAGGGGCTTTTCCACGGACCGGAGGGTGCGTGGTTTTCTGTGCTGCCTGCATCCTGCGGATGGGGCTTTGCTTGTTTGTGTGGCCGGTACCGGTCCACAGACCGGGGATTGGGGACCCCTGAATTAAATAAGCAGTGCACCCTTTGTGTGTGGGTGTGCTCTTCCTTCGCTTCAGAAACCAGCGGCTGCCTCTCCAGGATCCCCATCAGCCCTGCTGCTCCTGAGGAGAAGGCAGCTGGGGCTCCTGGGGCCCAGAACCGACCGCTCAGGGTCCCCCCACCCCGAGTGGGCCCGTTTCCTTCTTGCTGACCTTCTCGCTCAGGGCCCCGTGCAGATCCGCTTCCAGGCGACTCCTCCGCTCCTCCCATTCCTTCAGGGACTTGTCCTGCCCTTCGCTCATTTCGTTCATGGCCTCCTGAACCTCCGTCAGGGTGCGGGCAAATTCTCGGAGCTGGGACAGAAGACGGGGGCGGCTTCGGTTGGACCCTCTCCTCTCTTTCCTTTGGCAAGGGTGCCGGGCCTTCCACCCGGAGGACGCGGAATGCCAAGCGCCCCCCCCCCCACCCCGAGCCCCATGGCTTCAGGGCCTCATCCTTCCCCCCCCCCCCAATTCTAGAATCCAGGCTCCGACGCAGAAGGAAGCGGGCGCCCTCCTACCCGGAAAGTGAGGTCCCCGTTCTCCTCGGAGAGCTGGCTGATCTTCCGGTCCATCTGCCCCTTCTCCATCTTCAGATCCTGGCACTGCTTCAGCGTCTCATGCAGGCGCAAGAGAAGGCTGCCAGGGAAGGAGGAGAGCCCTCAGAGGGAGGAGACGGGCACGGCTGCCTCGGGCAACAAACTCCCCAGTGCATTCCCAGAGCTGGCTGCGGGGCCTCTCCCGAAATTTATTTGCTTTCTTTCTTTCTTTCTTTCTTTCTTTCTCTTTCTTTCTTTCTTTCTTTCTTTCTTTCTTTCTTTCTTTCTTTCTTTTTTTCTTTCTTTCTTTCTTTCTTTCTTTCTTTCTTTCTTTCTTTCTTTCTTTCTTTCCCTCTCTCTCCCCCTTCCTTCCTTTCCAAGAACTGGCTGCAGGGGCACTCGTAAATTATTCACTTGCTTACATTTATTCTGAGAGCCGGCTGCAGGGGCTCTCCCCAAATTAATTTCTTTCTTTCTTTCTTTCTTTCTTTCTTTCTTTCTTTCTTTCTTTCTTTCTTTCTTTCTCTCTCTCTCTCCCTCCCTCCCTCCCTTTTTCTTCCTTCCTTCCTTCCTGCCTTTCCAAGAACTGGCTGCAGGGGCACTGGTAAATTATTCACTTGCTTACATTTATTTTGAGAGCAGGCTGCAGGGGCTCTCCCCAAATTAATTAATTAATTGATTAATTAATTAATTCAAAGAGCCAGCTGCGGGGACTTCCCCCAAATTTATTTGCTTCTTTCTTTCTTTCTCTTTCTTTCTTTCTTTCTTTTTCTTTCTTCCTTTCTTCTGCTAATTTATTTGCTTGCTTATTTGCTTATTATTTGCAAATTTATTTACTTTCTTTCTTTCTTTCTTCCTTTCTTTTTCTTCCTTCCTTCCTCCCTCCCTCCCTTCTTCCCTCCCTTTCCAAGAACTGGCTGCAGGGGCACTGGTAAATTATTCATTTGCTTACATTTATTCTGAGAGCCGGCTGCAGGGGCTCTCCACAAATTAATTATGTAATTAATTATGTAATTTATGTAATGTAATGTAATTGATTGATTAATTAATTAATTCAAAGAGCCAGCTGCGGGTGTTCTCCCCAAATTTATTTGCTTCTTTCTTTCTTTCTTTCTTTCTTTCTTTCTTTCTTTCTTTCTTTCTTTCTTTCTTTCTTTCTCTTTCTTTCTTTCTTCTTTCCTTTCTTTTTCTTTCTTTCTTTCTTCTTTCCTTCCTTCCTTCCTCCCTCCCTTCTTCCCTGCCTTTCCAAGAACTGGCTGCATGGGCACTCGTAAATTATTCATTTGCTTACATTTATTCTGAGAGCCGGCTGCAGGGGCTCTCCCCAAATTAATTAATTGATTAATTAATTAATTCAAAGAGCCAGCTGCGGGGGCTCTCCCCAAATTTATTCATTTCTCTTTCTGCTAATTTATTTGCTTACTTATTTGCTTATTAGGAAGTATAATTGCTGCCCATTTCAGACCCAACAACTCTGGGTGGCTTACAACATAAAAAAATACAAAAAAACACATTAAAATTGTTGATTATAAAACAACAGAGCAGATAAAATCATTAACACAAGATGGAAAAGGAGGAAGCTGAATAGTGGGAAGAAGGGCCGGTTACGTGGAATTAATTTTTAAACTGTCAACTACCACAGTTGGGAGAATTGCATCCAGTTTTGGTCCCCACGAAGGAAAAAAAGATGCTGAGACTTTAGAAAGAGTGCAGAGAAGAGCAACAAAGAGGATCAGGGGACTGGAGGCTAAAACATACAAAGAACGGTTGCTGGAATTGGGTGTGTCTAGTTCAGGGGTAGTCAACCTTGGCTCTTTTATGACTCGTGGACTTCAACTCCCAGAATTCCTGAGCCAGCACAACTGGCTCAGGAATTCTGGGAATTGAAGTCCACGAGTCATAAAAGAGCCAAGGTTGACTACCCCTGGTCTAGTTTAATGAAGAGAAGGACGAGGGGGGACAGGATAGCAGCCTTCCAATATCTCAGGGGCTGCCCCAAAGAAGAGGGAGTCAAGCTCTTCTCCAAAGCACTCGAAGTTAGGACCAGAAGCAACGGATGGAAACTAACCAAGGAGAGAAGCAACCCGGAACTAAGGAGAAATTTCCTGACAGTGAGAACAATCAATCAGTGGAACAGCTTGCCACCAGAAGCTGTGGGTGCTCCATCCATCTCTGGAGACTTTTAAGAAGAGACTGCACAGCCACCTGTCCGAAATGGTGCAGGGTCTCCTGCTTGAATGGGGGGGGGGTGGACTGGAAGACCTCCAGGGTCCCTTCCAGATTTGTTCTATTACTTCCGGAGTGAAACTCCTGCCCCTTGGGTCCCCCCCCTCAAGCCGTGGGGCAGAGGCAGATCTTTGAAGCTCTGGCCAAAAGCCAGGACGGACCTTTCGTTCTTCTCCCGCAGCTCCTCCAGCTCCTTGGGCTCCAGCTGATCCGCAGCTGCCTGCCGTTCCTGCAGGAGAGTCAGGCGGTCGATCCTCTGCTTCAGCATCAGGATCCGGGTGTCTGCGGAAAGAGCACCAAATCCTCCTCAGAGCCCCAGGCGCCTTCGTCCGCAGGGCCCCCCTTCAGACGACCCCCCGGGAGGAAGCTGCTCCGGGATGGCCCGGTCCACTTTCTCTCACCCAGAAAGAGAAAATGGAGACTCCACAAGGGAGCCAGGACTGGCCCCGGGGGAGAGAAGCCGCAAAGCTGAACATTAGACGGGTCAATATATATATATATTTTAATAGTTTTTACTCTTTTAAAATGGTTTTTAAGGTTTTAATTATAGTGCATAGTATAATTATAGCGGCCCAGAATTGTTGGCGGAGATGCGTGGCTATAGAAAAATAAAATAAAATAATAAATTAAAAAAAAAACCTAAAATAAAGTGAAATAAATAAGTAAAATAAAAACTGAAGTAAAATAAACAAAGTAAAGCAAAATAAAATAAATAGGTAAAATAAAAAACTGAAGTAAAATAAACAAAGTAAAGTAAAATAAATAAGATAAAAACAAGGAAAATAAACAAATAAAGTAAAATAAAATAAGTAAAATAAAAACTGAAGTAAAATAAACAAATAAAGTAAAGCAAAATAAAATAAATAAGTAAAATAAAAAACTGAAGTAAAATAAACAAAGTAAAGTAAAATAAAAAAGTAAAAAACTGAAGTAAAATAAACAAAGTAAAATAAAAAAGTAAAAAACTGAAGTAAAATAAACAAATAAAGTAAAATAAAAAAGTAAAAAACTGAAGTAAAATAAACAAATAAAGTAAAGCAAAATAAAATAAATAGGTAAAATAAAAAACTGAAGTAAAATAAACAAAGTAAAATAAATAAGATAAAAACAAGGAAAATAAACAAATAAAGTAAAATAAAATAAGTAAAATAAAAACTGAAGTAAAATAAACAAATAAAGTAAAGCAAAATAAAATAAATAAGTAAAATAAAAAACTGAAGTAAAATAAACAAAGTAAAGTAAAATAAAAAAGTAAAAAACTGAAGTAAAATAAACAAATAAAGTAAAATAAAAAAGTAAAAAACTGAAGTAAAATAAACAAAGTAAAATAAAAAAGTAAAAAACTGAAGTAAAATAAACAAAGTAAAGCAAAATAAAATAAATAGGTAAAATAAAAAACTGAAGTAAAATAAACAAAGTAAAGTAAAATAAATAAGATAAAAACAAGGAAAATAAACAAATAAAGTAAAATAAAATAAGTAAAATAAAAACTGAAGTAAAATAAACAAATAAAGTAAAGCAAAATAAAATAAATAAGTAAAATAAAAAACTGAAGTAAAATAAACAAAGTAAAGTAAAATAAAAAAGTAAAAAACTGAAGTAAAATAAACAAATAAAGTAAAATAAAAAAGTAAAAAACTGAAGTAAAATAAACAAATAAAGTAAAATAAAAAAGTAAAAAACTGAAGTAAAATAAACAAATAAAGTAAAGCAAAATAAAATAAATAGGTAAAATAAAAAACTGAAGTAAAATAAACAAAGTAAAATAAATAAGATAAAAACAAGGAAAATAAACAAATAAAGTAAAATAAAATAAGTAAAATAAAAACTGAAGTAAAATAAACAAATAAAGTAAAGCAAAATAAAATAAATAAGTAAAATAAAAAACTGAAGTAAAATAAACAAATAAAGTAAAATAAAATAAATAAGTAAAATAAAAAACTTAAGTAAAATAAATAAAGTAAAGTAAGATAAAATAAATAAGTAAAATAAAAAACTAAAGTAAAATAAAGTAACACGAATAAAATAAAGTAAATAAAATAAAAATAAAATTGAAATAAAATAAAAAAAATAAGGCAAAATAAAATAAATAAGATAAAAAATAAATAAGATAAATTCATTAAATTAATAAAGATACAATACAATACAATAAAATTAAATATTTTTTTTAAAAAAAATGGCAAAAGAATAGCCTCGAAAGACCAGAACTGGGGTGAAGTCAAAATCTGAGCCCAATTGTGGACATAACTTGAGGACTGCCTGTACTGACGGAGTTGTCTTTCCTAGTCTGGTCTGCCTGGGAAGGCTGAGAGAACCTGGTTTGGCCTTTTAAGCCGGCAACATACAAGCAGAAATATAACAAAAGGGGATGTTTGGATAATGAAAAGTCTGCAAGAAAACAGGCCAGCTCAGAGAGCACCAAGGACCCCCCCCCCATTAAAAAAAGAGGATAAAACTGAGGCTGGGAATGGCCCGGGATGTCTGGCTCAGGGGAGGACGTCCCGTTCTGCTCCGCCACCACGGGGGCTTTGTAGTCCCTTGAAGGTGGGCTGGTTGGGTGATCTCCACACCCCCTCCTCACCTTTCTCGTCAATGAGCTTCCGATTCTCGGCCAATTCGTGCTCCAGTTCGTCCCGATTCTCCCGCTCCGCTTCCAGCAGCTTCTTCAACCTCCTCATCTGGAACTGGGGGGTCTGCATGATCTCCCCCATGGGGGACGTGGAGGAGGGAGGGAGCAACCTGCCAACAGGTCCCAGCCAAAAAGAAACAGGTTAAACATCTCTAGACAGCCACCTGTCTGAAATGGTCTAGGGCAGAGGTCTTCCAACTTGGCCCTTTGATGACTTGCGGGCTTCAACTCCCAGAATTCCTCAGCCAGCGTGCCTGGCTGAGGAATTCTGGGAGTTGAAGTCCAGGGGGTCTTCCAACTTGGCCCTTTGATGACTTGTGGACTTCTACTCCCAGAATTCCTCAGCCAGCGTGCCTGGCTGAGGAATTCTGGGAGTTGAAGTCCAGGGGTCTTCCAACTTGGCCCTTTGATGGTGGACTTCAACTCCCAGAATTCCTCAGCCAGCGTGCCTAGCTGAGGAATTCTGGGAATTGAAGTCCAGGGGTCTTCCAACTTGGCCCTTTGATGACTTGTGGGCTTCAACTCCCAGAATTCCTCAGCCAGCGTGCCTGGCTGGGGAATTCTGGGAGTTGAAGTCCAGGGGTCTTCCAACTTGGCCCTTTGATGGACTTGTGGGCTTCAAACTCCCAGAATTCCTCAGCCGCGTGCTGGCTGGGGAATTCTGGGAGTTGAAGTCCCACAGTTTTTCTACACTGTCACGGTTTTCTCTCGCTCGGCATCGTCCTCGCCAGCTCCCAAACAAAGGACCTGGTGTCTCTCGCATGAAATCGAGTTTGTTGTCGGGACTCAGACCTTTCTATCACACCACATTCACACCCGGGAACTTGAGAGCCAGTTTGGTCTAATGCAGTGTTTCCCAACCTTGACAATTTTAAGGCATTTGGACTTCAACTCCCAGAATTCCACAGCCAGCATTGCTGGCTGTGGAATTCTGGGAGTTGAAGTCCACATGCCTTAAAATTGTCAAGGTTGAGAAACACTGGTCTAATGATTAAAGTAGCAGGCTAGAAACCAGGGGACAGTGAGTTCTAGTCCCACCCTAGGTGTGAAAGCCATCTGGGTGACTTTGGGCCAATCACCAGGAGATGGTGAGTTCTAGTCCCGCCTTAGCTATGAAAGCCATCTGGGTGACTTTGGGCCAATCACCAGGCGACGGAGAGTTCTAGTCCCACCTTAGACACGAAAGCCAGCTGGATGACTTTGGGCCAATCAGCAGGAGACACTGAGTTCTAATCCTGCCTTAGGCATGAAAGCTGGCTGGGTGACTTTGGGCCAGCCCCTCTCCCTCAGCCCAACCCACTTTGCAGGGTTGTTGTGGGGAAGGAAGGAGGAGGAAGATATGTTTGTCATATTTGCCACTTGGAATTATTTATAAAAATAATACAGCTGGGAAAATAAAATCATAAAAAATAAAATAAATAAAATAAAATGAAATAATGAAATAAAATAAAATCATAAAAAATAAAATAAAATAATGAAATAAAATAAAATAAAACAATGAAATAAAAAATAAAATGAATAAAATATAATAAAATAAACAATGAAATAAAATAAAATAAATAAAATAATGAAATGAAATAAAATAATAAAAAATAAAATAAAATGAAATAAAATAGTAAAAAAGAAAATAAAATGAATGAAATAAAATAAATAATGAAATAAAATAAAATAAATAAAATAATGAAATGAAATAAAATAATAAAAAATAAAAAATGAATGAAAAAAATAAAATAATGAAATAAAATAAAATAAATAATGAAATGAAATAAAATAATAAAAAATAAAATAAAATGAATGAAAATAAAATGAAATAAAATAAAATGAAATGAAATAAAATAGTAAAAAAGAAAATAAAATGAATGAAAAAATAAATAATGAAATAAAATAACAAATGAAATAAAATAACGAAATGAAATAAAATAATAAAAAATAAAATAAAATGAATGAAAAAATAACGAAATGAAATAAAATAAATAAAATAATGAAATGAAATAAAATAATAAAAAATAAAATAAAATGAATGAAAATAAAATAATGAAATGAAATAAAATAGTAAAAAAGAAAATAAAATGAATGAAATAAAATAAATAATGAAATAAAATAAAATAATAACAAATGAAATAAAATAACGAAATAAAATAAAATAAATAAAATAATGAAATAAAATAAAATAAATAATGAAATGAAATAATAAAAAATAAAATAAAATAAATGAAAAAATAAAATAATGAAATAAAATAAAATAAAATAATGAAATAAAATAGTAAAAAAGGAAATAAAATGAATGAAATAAAATAAAATGAATGAAATAAAATAAAGTAATAAAATAAAATAAAAATATAAATGAAATGATAAAACATCCCCGTCAGGTGTGGGAAGAAAGCCAGCCTTACTTATTCATGCTGGAAGAGGAGGCGACCTTGTGCAGTTTCAAGAAAGGCACCCCTCGTTTGGGCGGGGTGCTCTCTTCCGAGCTGGCACTGGAGGAGCTGGAGGAGGCTGGAGGCACTGGAGGAAAAGCAGAGCAGGCAGGCTGTGAGGCTGAGCAGGCCTAACTAAGAAGAAGCTCAGCCTCCAATTCAACTGGCCTTTTCCTACCGGTAGTAAATAAGAAGTTTCAAAAGAAGTTAGTTTTGCTGCAAAGGAGAAGTCAGGTTTAGGAGCTTCTTTTTTTTTGGAGAAAGTGACCCGGAGAAAGAGCTTTCTAGAGTCAGGAAAAAGAGAGGAACTACCAACGCTGGGAGTCTGAAAATGGAACCAGAGATAAACTTGGACATGGGAACCCATCATGCACGCCTCTGCTGCAGCATCTTTCAGTTATAGCCGTCAAGCAATCTCCCTCTTCTCAACCTAGCGGCCTCCAGACATGGTGCACTGTCAACTGTTACACAACTGTGCTCTCAGGTTCTGCTCAGGATCACCCACTCACCAGCCTGGAAAAACTGCCACACTCCATCCCAAATCAACTGAACTCGGAGGCACAAATCCTTCTTTAAAATACACAGAGGCCCAGTGAATTTAAAACAACAGCAGACTTTCACTGATATATTTTTGTTCTTACACACACACACACACACACATCCACACTTACCCAGTGTCCACTACGAGGCTGCCAGGCACTAGCCAGAGGGACAGAAGCTACCAAATCTGGGATCCCAAAAAAAAATGACTCCAAAGGCTGGTCAGGCTTCGGGAAGTCTCTTTACCCCCACCCACCCCCCAGAGTTGGTGGGGAGGGGCTTCCCATGCAGGCCCAACTCCTTTGTTGGTGGGCCCTGGGGGGGAGGGGAAGGGGGAGGGCTTGCCATGCCACGTGCCCAGACACAACCTTTGTCCTTTTGTTCTGTTAACGACTTGGTTCCTTTGGGGGGGGGGGGAAGCTTCTCCTGGCTTTTGTCCACCCTGCTTCCATGCCTTTGTCACTTTTAGGTAAGGTGGCTTTGGCTAGTCTCAACCACGCCCCGTTCTGGGGGTCCTTAGTGCCTTAAGCCAGGCCAGCCCTGGAATGCCTGCATCTAGTTTGGGTCACCACATTACAAAAAAAAAAAAGACGTTGAGACTTTGGAAAAAGGGCAGAGAAGAATGAAGGAGATAAAAGTTATTCTTTTATAAAATTATAGAAAAATAACTGTAGAAATGTAATGCCAACATATGAAACTGTCTCTTTAGTACAAATGTAACACTGTAACACAAATGTAGCAATACACTGCCAAATGTGAAAGATAACAACAAGCTAGGCCTTTTATTTTATGCCCAGAAGAAATCCAACACAAGTAATAGTAGTAAAGTTGGAAGGGACCTTGGAGGTCATCTAGTCCAACCCCCTGCTCGGGCAGGAAACCCTACACCATTTCGGACCAGTGGCTGTCCAGTCTCTTCTTAAAAACTTCCAGTGTTCGAGCATTTACTGCTTCTGGAGGCAGGCTGTTCCACTGATTAATTGTTCTCACTGTCAGGAAGCTTGCCTAAAATTCCTCCAGACACAGGAACTTTGAGTAGAAATCAAAGAGGGGGATTTTGACCCAAACCAGACTTGTCTTCGTATTGTGAGTATCAAAATTTGGGGTTTTTACATCTCACAAGAGCAACTAGGATGATGAAAGGCCTGGAGGCCAACACATAGGAACAAGATCGGTTGCAGGATTGGGGAATGGCCAGTCTAGAGAAAAGAAGGAGTAGGGGGGGGGACATGATAGGAGTGTTCCAGAATTTGAGGGGCTGCCACAAAGAGGAGGGGGTCAATTTATTTTCCAAAGCATCTGGAGGCAGGACAAGAAACAAAGGATGGAAACTGATCAAAGAGAGACGCAACCTGGAATTAAGGAGAAATTTCCTGACAGTGAGGACAATTAACCAGTGGAACAGCTGGCCTCCAGAAGTCGCAGCTGCTCCATCACCGGAGGTTTTCAAAGAGACTAGACAGCCATTTGTATAAAATGGTATAGGATCTCCTGCTTGAGCAGGGGGCTGGACTAGACGACCTCCAAGGTCCCGTCCAGCTCTATTCTGATTCTTATTCTCTCTGCTCCCTTGCAGACGTTTTATGACCCAACTAGGGAACAACATCGGTGCTCTAGTCGTTACCTCAGTGGTTCTCAACCTGTGGGTAGGGACCCCATTTGGGGTCATCACGGGGGTCGCCAAACAATGCAGTCCGCCATTTTTTTTCCCCTTTTCCTTGGCTGTGCTACTCCCTTTTATTCTATTGGCTTTTGAAAGCCAATAGAATAGACTCTCTTGAATAGAGTCTAATTCTATTGGCTGTCAAAAGCCAATAGGAATTGTCCAGGCTGTCTCTGCCCTGCTGAGCCCGCCAAAAGTCCCAGTCTGAAAACGGTGCTGCACTAGTTGAGTAGTCCTCGACTTACGACCGGTTGAGTAGTCCTCGACTTACGACCGGTTGGGGCTCACAGCATTAAAAAGGTTGAGAACCACTGCGTTACCTAGTTGTGTCATGAAACATCTACAAGGGAGCAGCCAACTTCAGACAGCACCAAGGACCCCACAGTCTTCCTCATCTCTGTCCTTGTCCTCCACCACTCCACAAACCCATCTAGCATTCATGACATTCCCTAGTTTGGTAATTAAACGTCTGCCAGAAAACCCACCCAGCTCAAGAGAAAGCCACAGTTCAACAAAGTTCAACAGTTCCAAGAAAGCTCCACACCCAGCTGCACCACTCAAGTGACCCTGAGGACACAGGCAAAACTCCAGTTGGCCTCAAGGATTCTCCAAAAGGATGCACATGACCAGCTGTCTGTGCAAGGAGTGTAAATCCCTTCATTTCCCACCATCCAGTCAGAGCTGAGGACGCTTCTTGGATGAAAAAGCATCTTTGGGACAGCCATGACCTGGGTGACTGAGAACCCCCAAAGAACTTGAGGTACAAAGATTCTTTTCTTTGGGTAAGTGTGGAATCCCCAGGCAAAGCACCACATTCTCCAACCTGCTTGGTTCACACTTACTTTTCTTTTGGAGAAAGTTCTCCAGATCTTCGCCGAGACAATCTTCATTGTAGAGCATGAAGTTCAGGAACTTGGCCATCTCCGTCTGGGGGGCGAGAGGGGGGGGGGGACAGGCAGCCCCTGAGTTATCCAGGGAAGGGGTGTCACAGGAAATCAAACCCAGCCTATTCCCCCCCCCCCCACAACCAAGCTAGACCTCAACTCGGCTTTGAGGGTGCCCTACCCTTCTGTTTTTCCTCCAGAGAAGGAGAACTACAGGTAGTCCTCGCTTTGCAACCGCAGCTGAGCCCAAAATTTCCGTTGCTAAGCGAGACAGTTAAGGAACATTTTGCCCCCGTTTTATGATCTTTCTTGCCACTTCAGTTAAACCACAGGTCGGCAACCTGCGGCTCTTTGAGCCTCCCCCTGTGGCTCCCAGCCTCCTCTGCCTTTGCAGAGAGAGACAGAGACAGAGAGAGGCACTTGCGCTTCCCTGCTTCTCTCTCTCTCTCTCTCTCTCTCTCTCTCTCTCTCTCTCTGCGTGTGTTTGTGTGTGTGTTTGTGTGTGTGTGTATGTGTGTGTGTGTGTGTAAAAGAGAGTGCATTCAGTGTTCTCCGAGGAGCTGAAAAGCTTACTGGGTGGAGCTCCTCCCTTTGCTGCGTCTCTGCAGGAAGCACAGGAGAGAGCTAGCTAGCCCAGCTAGGCTGACTCAGGAATTCTGGGCGTTGAAGTCCATGAGTCATAAAAGAGACGAGGTTGCCTACCCCTGAGATTGTTGGACAACAGCTTGAGGCTTGCCAGGTGAGCAGCAGATAGGAGGGGGGGAGAAAGAGAGAGGGGGGGGAAGAGGAGTGGCAGACCAAGAGTAGATAGAGAGGGAGGGAGGGAGAGAGACAGAGAGAGAGAGACCCTTTTGACATCTAAAATGAAGATAACGCTACATATATCCTTTTTTTACCTGTGTGTGTATGTAATTTTATTCTCTTAAAGCATTCTCTTGGTGATCATTGTTTTAATAGTATGGATATTCCCAAGAGTGATATTTTTACTTTTATTTTTAATGTGTGTGTGTGTGTGTATGTGTATGTATGTATATATACATGCAGACAGCCCAGGTTCGAATCTCAGAAGGGTATGTCTGGTTGAAAAGAGCTAAAGAGTTCGAAATAGCTATTCCAGTTCTCCCTTAATTCTTTGCTAGCAATCCAAATTTTAGAAATGTATATGATGTCACAGTTGTGACTGCTGCCTGTGGATGGCTCTAGTTTGAGCTGATACAAGGCAAAAGATTTCTGTCTCCCATATTTGGGCAACAGGGTGTAACATACAGCATTCTAGTTATATATATATATATACACACACATACACACACACACATACATACACAAACACACACACATACACAAACACACATACATACACAAACACACACACACACACACACACCTATAATAAAGGTAAAAAAGGATATATGCAGTGTTATCTTCATTTTAGATATCAAAAGGGTTTTGCGGCTCCCGGTGTTTTGTTTTTGGTGGGAAACGGGTCCAAGTGGCTCTTTGAGTGTTTTGGGTTGCCTACCCCTGAGTTAAACGAATCTAACGGCAGTTGTTAAATTAGTCAAACTGTGGTTAAATAAACCTGGCTTCTCTCCCCCCCCCCTTGACTTTGCTTGTCAAAAAGTCAGAAAAGAGGATCACGTGACCGCGGGGGGGACACTGCAGCTGTCATAAACACGAGTCATTTGCCAAGTGTCTGAATTTTGATCACGTGACCCTGGGGAGGTCGTTAAGTGTGAAAAACTGCCCTAAGTCGCTTTTTTCAACGCCGTTGTAACTTCGGTCACTAAGTGGACTGTCGTAACTTGAGGACTACCTGCGTTGCTGAACCTGCATGAGGCAGCTAAAGGCGAAGCCTGCCGAGGCGAAACGCAGCCTAGCACCCCAGAGGCTGACAGGTAAGAGACGAGGAGGCACCTGGCCGACCAGATTCCAGATGGAATCCAGAAGATCTCCCTTACCTGGAGGCCGTATTCCAGCGCGGTCCACTCCCGAGGGATCTTATCACTCATGGAAGAATAGTACAGCAGCAGCGTCACCACCTGGGAAGAGCGGAGGAAAAACAGTCACCAAGACACACCTGTATGGGAGCGGAAGGACGCCCAGCAGTGGCGGTCAAGAAGCTCCGTGAGATGGTAACATGCCTCTAGAGCAATGGTTCTCAACCTTTTTAATGCCGCAACCCCCAACCGGTCGTAAGTCGAGGACTACTCAACGGGTCGTAAGTCGAGGACTACTCAACTGGTGCAGCACCGTTTGCAGAATGGGACTTTTGGTGGGCTCAGCAGGGCAGAGACAGCCTGGACAATTCCTATTGGCTTTTGAAAGCCAATAGAATTAGACTCTATTCAAGAGAGTCTATTCTATTGGCTTTCAAAAGCCAATAGAATAAAAGGTAGTAGCACAGCTAAGGAAAAGGGGAAAAAAATGGCGGACTGCGTTGTTTGGCGACCCCCGTGAAATGGTCGTTCGACCCCAAATGGGGTCCCGACCCACAGGTTGAGAACCACTGATCTAGATGGCTTCTGACCAAAGGCAGCTGGGAAGACTTTGAGGACATGGGCAAGGCCTCGTAGCTGGGAGCTTGGCCAACTGGACTCCGGCCCCTCCTGGCTGGTCAAGGCCTCCTGGCAGGTAGCATGGGGTTGGGCCCCAAGCCTTGGTTTAAGAGGGGGCCTTCAGCCACCTTAAAGGAGCAGGAGGTGGTGCCCCTCTACTCAAGAGGTCATCCTTGGCTTTGACTATTTTGGAGGACTTTTCTCCAGTCTCCAACTTCTCCCAAAAGCCTGGTTGACCAGCTGGAAGGTGCCCAGCTTCAGAGGACCCTGGATGAAGTGATACCTGGACCCTGTTCAGGAAGGGGTCAGGCCAGGCCATGAACTTAATGAAAGCCAGCTGGGTGACTTTGGGCCAATCACCAGGAGGCGGTGAGTCCTAGGCCCGCCTCAGGCACAAAAGCCGGCTGGGTGACTCTGGGCCAATCACCAGGAAGCAGTGAGTTCTAGTCCCGCCTTAGGCATGAAAGCCGGCTGGGTGACTCTGGGCCAATCACCAGGAGACAGTGAGTCCTAGTCCCGCCTCAGCCATGAAAGACAGCTGGGTGACTAGGCCAATCACCAGGAAACAGAATTCTAGTCCTGCCTTAGCCATTCAAGGTAGCTGGGGGACTTTGGGCCAATCACCAGGAGGCGGTGAGTTCTAGTCCCGCCTTAGGCACAAAAGCCGGCTGGGTGACTCTGGGCCAATCACCAGGAGGCGGTGAGTTCTAGTCCCGCCTTAGGCACAAAAGCCGGCTGGGTGACTCTGGGCCAATCACCAGGAGGCGGTGAGTTCTAGTCCCGCCTTAGGCACAAAAGCCGGCTGGGGGACTTTGGGCCAATCACCAGGAGGCGGTGAGTTCTAGTCCCGCCATAGGCACAAAAGCCGGCTGGGGGACTTTGGGACAGTCCCTGTCTCTCAGCCCAGCCCGCCTCACAGGGCTGTTGTGGTGGGGAAAATAAGAGGAGGAGACGTGTGGGGGAATGCTCGCTGCCTTACCTGCAAACACAATAAAGGCAGGATAGACATAAATAAACAGTCCTCGACCATCTTCTCCTAACTGGCAGCTGAGCCGTGAGCCCCGGCCTATTCTTTTCCCCAGGCTGCGCCCCACGGCTCTTCCACCCGTCCGGGCCAAGCCCGGGCCCCAGACATGGAAAGCCCCACGTTCCAACGGCCGGACCCCACCTTGGCTAACTCCAGCTCTTCCGCTGCTAGAAGCTTCTCCTCGGAGACCAGGCTGTGCGGGAGGGGTTTGTGCTTGCAGATTTCTGGGAGGAGACGGGTGGGAGAAGCGTAAGTGAGCCCTGAACGCCGCCCCATCAGGGACCCCCCCTCAGCTCCCGAACCCCCCCCCCTCTCCCCACCCTCTGACTCAGCCCAACGACGTCTTCTAAGCAGGACCCCTTTTGGTTGGATGCGGCTGCTCTTGGAATGCGCTTCCCGCCTGAGCAGCCTGCAGCTCTTCTACAGGTTGGTTCTCAACTTACAACCATTCATGTAGTGACAGCACTGAGAAAAAGTGTCCGTCACCCTTGGAATCACAGATTCATGGAATCACAGGGTAGGGGAGGGCCTTGGGAGGAAACAGGGGAACGGCTTTGTTTTTTGTGTCTCTCTGTGTGTGTGTGTGTGTGTGTTGGGGGTGTGTGTTTGTGTGTGTGACTGCCGGGACAAAGGTTCCCCACCTCCCCCAGATCCAAACGTCCTCCGACTGATGGGGAGCACTTACTTTGAAGGAAGCTGACCACTTGGGTCACCCGCTCTGCCACACTCTGCTGGGAAACATCCTGCCCCTCTTCTGTGCCATGTCTGAAAAAAGAAAGAAAGAAAGAAAGAAAGAAAGAAAGAAAGAAAGAAAGAAAGAAAGAAAGAAAGAAAGAAGAAGAAGAAGAAGGAGGAAGGGAAGGGAAAGAAAGAAAGAAAGAAAGAAAGAAAGAAAGAAAGAAAGAAAGAAAGAAAGAAAGAAAGAAGAAGAAGAAGAAGGAGGAAGGGAAGGGAAAGAAAGAAAGAAAGAAAGAAAGAAAGAAAGAAAGAAAGAAAGAAAGAAAGAAAGAGGAGGATAGAAGAAAGGAAGGAAGGAAAGGAAAAGAAAGAAAGAAAGAAAGAAGGAGGAAGGAAGGAAAGGGAAAGAAAGAAAGAAAGAGGAGGATAGAAGAAAGGAAGGAAGGAAAGGAAAAGAAAGGAAAAGAAAGAAAGAAAGAAAGAGGATAGAAGAAAGGAAGCAAGGAAAGGAAAAGAAAGAAAGAAAGAAAGAAAGAAAGAAAGAAAGAAAGAAAGAAAGAAGGAGGAAGGAAGGAAAGGGAAAGAAAGAAAGAAAGAGGAGGATAGAAGAAAGGAAGGAAAGGAAAAGAAAGAAAGAAAGGAAGGAAAGAAAGGGAAAGAAAGAAAGGGAAAGAAAGAAAGAAAGAAAGAAAGAAAGAAAGAAAGAAAGAAAGAAAGAAAGAAGAAGAAGAAGGAGGAAGGGAAGGGAAAGAAAGAAAGAAAGAAAGAAAGAAAGAAAGAAAGAAAGAAAGAAAGAAAGAAAGAAAGAGGAGGATAGAAGAAAGGAAGGAAGGAAAGGAAAAGAAAGAAAGAAAGAAAGAAAGAAAGAAAGAGGAGGATAGAAGAAAGGAAGGAAGGAAAGGAAAAGAAAGAAAGAAAGAAAGAAGGAGGAAGGAAGGAAAGGGAAAGAAAGAAAGAAAGAGGAGGATAGAAGAAAGGAAGGAAGGAAAGGAAAAGAAAGGAAAAGAAAGAAAGAAAGAAAGAGGATAGAAGAAAGGAAGCAAGGAAAGGAAAAGAAAGAAAGAAAGAAAGAAAGAAAGAAAGAAAGAAAGAAAGAAAGAAAGAAAGAAAGAAAGAGGAAGGAAGGAAAGGGAAAGAAAGAAAGAGGAGGATAGAAGAAAGGAAGGAAAGGAAAAGAAAGAAAGAAAGAAAGAAAGAAAGAAAGAAAGAAAGAAAGAAAGAAAGAAAGAGGAAGGAAAGAAAGGGAAGGAAAGAAAGGGAAAGAAAGAAAGAAAGAAAGAAAGAAAGAAAGAAAGAAAGAAAGAAAGAAAGAAAGAAAGAAGGAAGGAAGAAAGAAGAGGAGAGGAGAGGAGAGGAGAGGAGAGGAGAGGAGAGGAGAGGAGAGGAGAGGAGAGGAGAGAATCAATCCACTTTGGAAAAAGCAAAGTCAACTGGAGTCTTCCCTGGACAAAGGGAGGATCAGCATCCACCCAGGCGAGGGAAGTGCCAGGCTGGAGGCTGGCGGGGCCAATCCCGGGATGCTGCCCTCAAGGGAGGGGCCCTGCGGGATCTCAGCAGCCCATCTGTGGCAGAAGGCTGGGCAGAGGTCTCCTCACCACCAGGCAAAAAGAGTTGGGGGTCTTTCCGTAGTCACACTCAATCCTGAAGACCTTAAGAAGCCTCAGCCTTTTCAGATGACGCCAAAACAGGAAGATAGCCATAGCCCTTAGACCAGGGGTGGGCAACCTATGCTCTTTTATGACTGGTGGATTTCAACTCCCAGAATTCCTGAGCCAGCCACGCTGAGGGAAAAGGGAGAGGTTTCTACGCTGAGCCATGCTGGCTCAGGAATTCTGGGAGTTGAAGTCCACCAGTCATGAAGAGGCCATAGTTCCCCCATGCTGGCTGAGGAATTCTGGGAGTTGAAGTCCACGAGTCATGAAGAGGCCATAGTTCCCCCATGCTGGCTGAGGAATTCTGGGAGTTGGAGTCCACGAGTCATGAAGGGGCCAAAGTTTCCTCCATGCTGGCTGAGGAATTCTGGGAGTTGAAGTCCACGAGTCATGAAGGGGCCACAGTTCCCCCATGCTGGCTGAGGAATTCTGGGAGTTGAAGTCCACGAGTCATGAAGGGGCCACAGTTCCCCCATGCTGGCTCAGGAATTCTGGGAGTTGAAGTCCACCAGTCATGAAGAGGCCATAGTTCCCCCATGCTGGCTGAGGAATTCTGGGAGTTGAAGTCCACGAGTCATGAAGAGGCCATAGTTCCCCCATGCTGGCTGAGGAATTCTGGGAGTTGAAGTCCACGAGTCATGAAGGGGCCAAAATTTCCTCCATGCTGGCTGAGGAATTCTGGGAGTTGAAGTCCACGAGTCATGAAGGGGCCACAGTTCCCCCATGCTGGCTCAGGAATTCTGGGAGTTGAAGTCCACGAGTCATGAAGGGGCCAAGGTTGCCTATCCCTGCCTTCGACTTATACATCGCTTCACAGTGCTGTACAGCCCTCTCTAAGCGGTTTATAGAGTCAGCCTGTTGCCCCAGCAATCTGGGTCCTCATTTTACTGACCTTGGAAGGACGGAAGGCTGAGTCAACCTTGAGCCGGTGAGAATCGAACTGCTGGCAGTGGGCAGAGTCAGCCTGTAACACTGTCTTCTAACCGCTGAGCCACCAGGGCTCTTATTATATAAGATATAATGGAACAAATCATCTGGACCAGTGTTTCTCAATCTGAGCAACTTTAAGATAGGTGGACTGCAACTCCCAGAATTCCCCAGCCAGCGGATGCACACGGTGGGGGGGGGAAGGGGAGAAAGAGAGAGAGGGCAGGGATGTGGGGAAGGGGAAGCACAGCTCAGGAACAGCTGGAGGGGTCAACAGCATCCTAAACAAACAGGGTCCAAGACACAGCTTCCCCAACCTTTTTTGGCTTTGTGGACTGGCGAGTGGGGGGGGGGAGAGGAAACGGTCGTGCGAATGCTGCTTTCACAAATGCAGCTTCATGCCCAACACTTCTGCAGCCAGGTTCCGCACAAGCTGCAGCCCGGCACAGGGGTCACAGCCCAGGGATCGGGGACCCTTGTGCTAACTAGAGCCTACAGGAAGAAAGACAAATCGGCCTTACATTTTGCCGATGATCTTGAGGAAGAGGCTGCAGTCCTGGAGCTGAGACAAGGAAGTGACAGCATCACCCAGCTTCAGGCTGTTCACCTGCGGAGAAGGAGAGTCGAGTCAGAGGGTGCCAGGCCAGCCATGTGCCAGGCAGGGGGCAGAGTTCCCAGGGTGTGTTTGTGTGTCCTGTCCGGCGTCGCTCTGAAACGCTGGTCGATGAGGCAGGCCAAGACAGAGCAACTATGCCAGAGAAACATGTGGGAAGGGGTTCCCAAGGACAATAAATTCTGGCCTGTGCTCAGAAAGAACATTTTTCCCTTTAAGTTCTCCTTAGGCCATTAAGTGAGTTTTTAAACTCTTCCATTATAGGCCCCATTAAAAAAAACCATTTTTAAGTCTAACTCTAGCTTTCTTTTTGTGCCAAGCAGGCTTCCATAGCAATGCCTTTTAAAAGATACTAATTGATTTAATATTTAGGATCTAGATCTATAAGGGAAATAAACAATAGTTACTAGAATAATAGTTTTGGATTATAATATAGAACTTGGATTGAGATGATAAAGGTTATCTTTTATGAAAAGTTGTGGGTTAGGGTACAGAATGATTTGAAGAATTGGGAGAAGTTGCAATTATCCCTCATGGGAAGAATTGCAGTGATAAAAATGAATATTCTACCCAAGTTTCTCTTTTTGTTTCAGATGCTACCGATTTTGAAGAATGAGATTAATTTAAGTGAATGGCAGAAAGGCCTTAATAAATTTATTTGGGCAGGGAAAAAGCCAAGGGTTAAGTTTAAAATTATGCAAGACTTTCGTGAGAGGGGTGGACTCAAGGTACCGAATTTGAAATTATATTATTATTATTTTTTTTTTATTGAAAGTTTTATAAATTTTACAAAAAGACAAAAACAATACAAAACAAAAGACAACATATACAAAAAAAACCTAAACATTACATATATATAAAAAAAAAAAAAAAAGAAAAAACCCCCCATCCCCCACCCCTCACAAAAACCCTCCCTTCCCCCCCCTGAGCTTCCCAGAGCAGAATATAGGCTTAATTAAAAATTAAGAAATAAAAATAAAAAATTAAATTAAAAAATTTATATTTATATATATATATAAAAAATATCTATATATATATATAAAAATAAAACTTATAAAAAAGCTATGTAATATTTTTGTATACCCAATCTAAATTGTATAAATTTTATCCATTTGTCCCAAACAGCAAGGAACTTCTCTTGCGTTTGTTGCTTTAAGAAAGCCGAAATCTTTGCCATTTCCGCCAGATAAGCTACTTTAAGAAACCATTCCTGCAATGTAGGCAAAGATTCCTTCTTCCAATATTGTCCTACTAACAGCCTAGCGGCTGTAATCAAATTTAACATCAATACAACCTCCTTTGTATCACAATCTGTAACAATGCCTAACAAAAATAATTGCGGAGTAAATTTTACCCTCCTTCTAAAAATTCTCTGGATATTCCACCATATTTTGATCCAAAATGCTTTTATCTCTCTGCAAGACCACCAAATATGATAATAGGAAGCATCCTTATAACCACATCTCCAACATTTGGGTTGCACGTCAGGGTACATAAGAGACATTTTTTGTGGATCAAGGTGCCATCTATAAAACATTTTATAAAAATTCTCCCTAAGGTTCTGTGCTTGTGTAAATTTGACATTTCTCACCCAAATGGTTTCCCAAATGTCCAATGAGACTGGGACACCAAAATTCTGCGCCCATCTAATCATACAATCTTTAATTAATTCCGTTTCTGAGTCCATTTCAACTAATACCCCATAAATTCTCTTGATATGGGTTTGTCTTTGATCCTTGACTTGCTTAATAAGATTTCCATCTTCTCTAAGAAAACCCAATTTACAATCCACCTTCCATTTATCTACTAGTTGCCTATATTGAAACCAAGAATAAATAATATTTTCTTGCGCTAAATCTTCCCGTAATCTTAACTGCCAGTTTTGCCCATCCCATCTAAGTAACTGACTATAAGACACCATGTCCATTTTTACTCCTCTTTTTATTCCTTCTATCGCATGCCAAGGTATAGCCCATAATGGAACTTTAAAATCGCTTTTATAATATTTTCTCCAAATCCTAAGTAAAGAAATTCTTAAAATATGAGATTTAAAGGCCCAGTCCATTTTTTTATTAAATATTAAATAGGCATGCCACCCATAAAGTAAATCCCATCCCTCTAAATGAAGTATCTCAGGATTTGTCAAATTTACCCAATCACTGATTAGTGTTAAGACCACCGCATCGTAATATAATTTCAAATTTGGTACCTTAAGTCCACCCCTCTCACGGAAGTCTTGCATAATTTTAAACTTATATTATGATGCGGTGGTTTTAACACTAATTAGTGATTGGGTAAATTTGACAAATCCTGAGATACTTCATTTAGAGGGATGGGATTTACTTTTTGGATGGCATGCCTATTTAATATTTAATAAAAAGATCGACTGGGTTTTTAAATCTCATATTTTAAGAATTCCTTTACTTAGGACTTGGAGAAAATATTATAAAAGTGATTTTAAAGTACCATTATGGGCTATACCTTGGCATGCGATAGAAGGAATAAAAAGAGGGGCTAAAATGGACATGGTGTCTTATAGACAGTTACTTAGGTGGGATGGACAAAACTGGCAGTTAAAATCACGGGAAGAGTTAACACAAGAAAATATTATTTATTCTTGGTTCCAATACAGGCAATTAGCAGATAGATGGAAGGTGGATTGTAAGGTGGGTTTTCTTAGAGAAGATGAAAATTTTATTAAGCAAGTGAAGGATCAAAGACAAACCCACATTAAGAGAATTTATGGGGTTTTAGTTGAATTGGATTCAGAAACGGAACTAATTAAAGATTGTATGATTAGATGGGCGCAGAATTTTGGTGAGCCAGTTCCATTGGACACCTGGGAAACTATTTGGGTTAGAAATGTCAAATTTACACAAGCACAGAATTTAAGGGAGAATTTTTATAAAATGTTTTATAGATGGCACCTTGATCCACAAAAAATGTCTTTTATGTACCCTGACCTACAACCTAAATGTTGGAGATGTGGGTGTATGGATGCTACTTATTACCATATTTGGTGGTCATGCAGAGAGATAAAAGCATTTTGGATTAAGATATGGTGGAATATCCAGAGAATTTTTAAAAGGAGGGTAAAATTTACTCTGCAATTATTTTTGTTGGGTATAGTTACTGATTGTGATACAAAGGAGGTTATATTGATGTTAAATTTGATTACAGCCGCGAGGCTGTTAGTTGGACAATACTGGAAGAAGGAATCTTTGCCTACACTGCAGGAATGGTTTTTTAAAGTGTCTAATTTGGCGGAAATGGCAAAGATTTCGGCTTTTTTAAAGCAACAAACGCAAGAGAAATTTCTTGTTGTTTGGGATAAATGGATAAAATTTATACAGTTTAAAATGGATATTAAAACATATTATATAGCTTTTTCTTAATTTTTATTCATATATATATATATATATATATATATATATATATATATATATATATTAAAATATAATTTTTCTAATTGTTTTTTTAATTAAGCCTATATTCTGCTCTGGGAAGCTCGGGGGGGGGAAGGGTGGGTGCTTGGGGGAGGTTGGGGAAGGGAGGGTTTTTTGTGTAATGTTTAGTTTTTTCCTTGTATATGTTTTTTGTCTTTGTATTGTTTTGTTTTTTTTCCTTTTTTGTAAAATTTATAAAACTTTTAATTAAAAAAAAGGTTATCTTATTAGTAAGGGATAAGAAATAGAATATGTTTGTGAAATAAAGTAAGAAGCTATCTGAGTAAATAATAAACGTATTTTAGATAGGACAATTATTTTGTAATGAACTAAGGGAACTTGGGGTCACCTGAAATCTAAAGACTATGGATATTAAGTTAACTGGAATGCTGTAACTGAAATTAGCTGAAATTCAAAACAGGATATGAAGGCGTATAAGACAAAATATATTGATAAATGTTTTAACTGACTGAGTTATAATTAGCAATGTATTAATTTGAATGTGATACAATAACTAAGGGAAACAGAGAGGAAATTTTTGATGACGTAACCTGACATAGGCATGAAAGAGCTTGTTCTTTGATTATGGACCACCCAATCACCATGTTGCTTCCCTAACACTTGGGAGTTTTGTAAACTTGGAAAATTAATAAACCTTGTTTTTTTTTTTTTTAAAAAAAAAGAAAGAACATTTTTCCCAACTGTCTCCATGCTTTCAAACGTTAAGGCCTTTTTTAAAAACGCTCCTAGTTTAGCCAAAGGATGCAGTTATTTATATTTCTAGCACACGGTTGCAATATCTGATGATCAACATCCTATTTCCCTACGCTAAATATGACCCAATAAACCCATAAAGATGAAGAGTCACCAGCTGGGGCAGACGCATCCCATCACGTCTCACCGATAGTAACTGTTAAGAGGTGTGGACTTCAACTCCCAGAATTCCTGAGCCGGCCATTTTGGCTGGCTCAGGAATTCTGGGAATTGAAGTCCACGGGCCGTCAAGGGGCCCTAGGTCGCCCACCCCACAACCCAAGCGGTTTTCTCAACTATAAAGAAGGGGCTACTTTACCCAGGCCAGGAGTGCCGAGATTCTGGTGTTGTGAAGCGACGACATCTTTGTGTCTTTCCCAGGTTACATTCAAGCCTAAAGAAGCAGGAGAGAGAAGAAAGAATCCATTAAGGGCAGGAAAGTTTCCTCCCCACCTAGGAAGCTGGGCAGAGGAAGGGCTGAAAGAGAGCAAAACCACAGGGTGAATAAAGAGGGGATCTTATGGAAACTCATCCAGGAGAGAAGCAACCTGGAGCTAAGGAGAAACTTCCTGACCGTGAGAACAATTAACCAGTGGAACTACCTGCCTCTAGAAGCGGTGAATGCTCCAACACTGGAAGTTCTTAAGAAGAGACTGGACAGCCATTGTCTGAAATGGTCATGGGTTTTCTTGGCTGAGCAGGGGGTTGGACTAGATGCCCTCCAAGATCCCGTCCAACTTTATTATTATTATTATTATTAACCTGGCCTTGCTTTAAACAAGTGTCTGGGTCACGTAGCAGGGGTAGTCCTCAACTTACGAATACCCGCTTAGTGACTGGGATCTGTGACATTTTTGCCGGAAAGTGGCACGCGCTTCTGGTTTCCAGCAAAACCAGCCCCACGGCAGGGCTCCCCAACCTATGGTCCACGGCCCACTGCCGGGCTGTGGCCTATTGGCCAATGGGCCGCAGGACACTCAACTCCGCTTGCGCTAGATTTGTTCGTGCCTGTGCGTGGCGGTAGCGGAGGCGGTGCCCAGCACCTGCAGAAACAGAGCCACTAGCAACATACAGGTTGCATGGCCCATTTGCGCCTGCGCACAGCGCTAGCAAAGGCAGCGCCTAGCGCAGTGATGGCGAACCTTTTAGAGACCGAGTGCCCAAACTGCAACCCAAAACCCACTTATGCATCGTCGGGTGCCGGGTGGGCATGGCCCATTGGGTGCGCGTGGCCCATTGGGTGGGCGTGGCTGCGGTGGTAACGGCAGACTGGGTGGGACTAAAAAGTTCAATCAATCAATTCCAACTTTGTGAGATCTTTTTTTTTCCCTCGAGAAGTTGAAATTGACTGATTGATTGAAACTTTTTTTTTTTTTTGCACACGGCAGGGGAGGCCTAAAGCGAAAAGGTTTTATAAAACCCAGCTGAAGGCCTAGGACTGGGGTGATGGCATGTGTGCCCACAGAGAGGGCTCTGAGTGCTGCCTCTGGCACCCGTGCCATAGGTTCGCCACCACTGGCCTAGCGCCTACAGAAACGGAATCACTAGCACTGTGCGGGTTGTGTGGCCCATTCGCGCCTGAGCGCAGTGCTAGCAGAGGCAGCATCTAGCGCCTGCAGAAACAGGTCTGTTAGCAATGTGCGGGTTGCGTGGCCCACTTGCGCCTGCATGTGGCGTTAGCAGAGGTGGTGCCTAGGCCTGTGGAAATGGGCCCAGTAAGACCGTGCGGGTGCACATGGCCCCATTCGTACAAGGCCCTGTTTGCATGGGTGTGCAAATTGGGGGGACGGGAGAGAAAGGTCGTAAAATCAAAGTCAGGTGACACAATGACCAACTTTACGACCATAATCACAAGGGCTCCATTAATCACTATTCCTGTAGATAAAAAAATGGCCGTGAACAGAGGCTGTGAAGAGCCTGCAGATGCAAAGGATTACAGGCAACCCTCGGCCTACAAACGTTCGTTTAGTGACCGTCTGAAGTTACAACGGCACTGGAAAAAAATGATTTAGGACCATTTTTCACACAATCATTGGGGCATCCTCCCCACGGATCACGGGATCAAAATTCAGGCACTGACTTACGACCTCACTTGGGCCCCAAATTTTTGCTGCTAAGCCTGACACTTGTTAAGTGAATTTCTGCCTCTATTTTACGACCCTTCTTGCTACAGTCGTTAAGTGAATCACTGCAGTTGTTAAGTTAGTAACACGGTCGTTAAGCGAATCCGGCTTCCCCCCATTTGATTTTGCTTGTCAGAAGGTCGCAGAAAGGGACTCCCGTGACTCCTCCTGGGACGCTGCGACCGTCGTAAATACGAGTCAGTTGCCAAACCGTCATAAACATGAGTCAGTTGTTAATTGTCTGGTTGTGTGAAAGGCGGTCACCAGCCACATTTTTCACTGCTGCTGTAACTTTGAATGGTCACTAAACAAACTGTCGTTAAGTTGAGGACCACCCCTGTCTTGGGAATTCTAACATTAATCAAACTGCTCAGCTGACACTCAAAACACATACAACTAGTGCGCCCCCTTCGATGACCTCGATGCCCTTGTAGTTATTTCTGACCAGTTCCCCACAGCAAATTAGCCTAAGTCACCAACACACACACACACAGACACACACATTTCCCAATTGCTGCTGCTGCCTTCACGACTTTAATCCAGCTACACCCACCTGCAATGGCTCAAGACCTAGGGTCTTCCAACTTGGCCCTTTGATGACTTGTGGACTTCAACTCCCAGAATTCCTCAGCCAGCGTGCCTAGCTGAGGAATTCTGGGAGTTGAAGTCCACAAGTCATCAAAGGGCCAAGTTGGAAGACCCCTGCTCAAGACTATATAGGAAGTCCTTGAATGAACCATTCATTTAGTGACAGTTCGAGTCACGACCATTTCCCACACTGACGACTGTTGCAGCACCCCTGTGGCCACCTTACCAAAATGCAGATGCTTGGCAACTGGCAACTGTGTGTACCACGGCCGCAGTGCCCCTGGGGTCATGGGGATTGTCTTTCGCAACCTTCCGATGAGCAAGGTTCGTCAACAACTGTGCCATTAACGTAAGTAACTGCAGTGACTCCGTTAACAACGGTGACAAGAAAGGTCGCAAAACAAGGCAAAAACACATTTAAGGACCGTCTTGCTTAGCAACGGAAATTTTGGGCGCAGCGGCGGGCAAGAGGTCAAGGACGGCCTGCATCGACTGACATGTTTCTTTGCTATTTTATTTTTTTTTAAATGCAGAAATGAACAAACGCCCAAATGCAGGCGTATTTTGCAACGTCCCGGTGTGTGGCTTGCAACCGCTTTGCTCTCTGTGCTCCAGAACCACCAGGAAGTTAAGAAACCTCAACCCAAATAATTGCAGCTCCACCTAGGCGTAAAAGTTTTCATCAGCCTCGGGCCGGTCACCACCCCATGATCTAGCCATAAAGTCACATCGCACATCACACAACAGCAGCCACAGCAACTCAGCAGCGAGGGATTCCCCAGCTCTACACAATTCTTACTCAGCTCAGCAGGATATGCAACCAGAGGCCAGGAAAGGGGGACACAGACTTGCTAGCGGCTACAGAAGAATGTACACAAACACACACACACACACACAGAGGGAGCACGCCCACAGAAAAACCGCTTGGAAACACCCACAAGATTTAAAGACACACGTTCCATTAAACGGCTGCATTTTCTCGCCAGCAGAGATTTTTAAGTGGTTCTTCACAACTCCCAAGTATGTATGAGGAGGGGAGTGGGAGAACGAGGGAGGTACTAAGTATTAGTCCTGCTTTATAAAGCCTTAGTAAGGCCACCCCCGGAACACTGCATCCAGTTCTGGTCACCACCCCAATTACAAAAAAAAGATGTTGAGACTTTGGAAAGAAGTGTGGAGAAGAGCAACTAAGACAGTGGTTCTCCACCTGAGGGTCGGGACCCCATTTGGGGTCGAACGACCATTTCACGGGGGTCGCCAAACAACGCCATCCACCATTTCGCCCCCCCCTTTTCCTTACTGTGCTACTCCCTTTTATTCTATTGGCTTTTGAAAGCCAATAGAATAGACTCTCTTGAATAGAGTCTAATTCTATTGGCTTTCCAAAGCCAATAGGAATTGTCCAGGCTGTCTCTGCCCTGCTGAGCCCGCCAAAAGTCCCATTCTGCTAACGGTGCTGCACCCGTTGAGTAGTCCTCGACTTACGACCGGTTGAGTAGTCCTCAACTTACGGCCGGTTGGGGATCGCCGCATTAAAAAGGTTGAGAACCACTGAACTAAGACGATTAAAGACCTGGAGACGAAAACCTATGAAGAACGGTTGCGGAATTTGGGAATGGCCAGTCTGGAGAAAAGAAGGACTTAGGGGTTACTTGGGGGGCTGCCACAGAAAAAAAGGGGGGTCCACCTATTCTCCAAAGCACCAGAAGGCAAGACAAGGAACAATGGATAGAAACTCATCAAGGAGAAAAGCAACCTGAAATGAAGGAGGAATTTCCTAGCAGCGAGAACAAATCACTGGAACTCTTTGCCTCCAGAAGTTTTGGGTGCTCCATCACTGGAGGTTTTGAACAAGAGCTTGGAGAACCTGTTGTCTGAAACGTTACAGGGTCTCCTGCTAGAGCAGGGGGCTGGACTAGAAGACCTCCAAGGTCCCTTCTGATTGATGGATTGGGGGCAGAGAAGGGGGCAGGGAAGCAGCCAGCTCTTTGCACAGCTCAGAACAGCTGGATGGGACAGCAGCACCCTGAACAAACAGGTAACACATCTTAAAAGGCCTGAATTTCTCACACAAAGCTGGTCAAGCTGAAAAAGGCAGGGAGAGCCATTTCCAAGGGATGCCATTTAATAATAATAATAAAATTGGAAGGGACCTTGGAGGTCCTCTAGTCCAACCCCCTGCTCAGGCAGGAGACCCTACACCATTTTGGACAAATGGCTGTCCAGTCTCTTCTTAAAAGCTTCCAGTGTTGGAGCATTCATTGCTTCTGGAGGCAGGTGGTTCCACTGGTTAATTGTCCTCACTGTCAGGAAGTTTCTCCTTAGTTCCAGGTTGCTTCTCTCCTTGATTAGTTTCCATCCGTTGCTTCTTGTCCTGCCTTCAGGGGCTTTGGAGAACAGCTTGACTGCCTTTTCTTTGGGGCAGCCCCTGAGATACTGGAACATGGCCATCATGCTATCACTGCTGTTTAAAGGGACCCAATCCATTGCAGGAAAACAAGTCTGCAGAGACTGCTTTCAGCTAATCCTGCTGTCTTAAAAACAAGTTATAGGGGCGAGAGAAGCATTTGCACCAAAATAAAACTGAACTCGAAACTGGCGGGCAGAGTCAGCCGTATAACAAAGGGCAGGGATGCAAACTTCATGCAAGATTTTTTTTTTCTTCCCGCTTCAACAATTTTAT